CCAATAGTTAAACCTTCAAACAAAGTAGCATAAACGTACAATTGCATATAACTCCAGCTTCGTCATACCCAACCTACAGTTATGAACACCAACTCCATTGTGTTCACATTCACTTAGCATATCTTCATCTCCTCTGCAATAAACATTGTCCAGGTAATAGAATAATGACAATTCATTTGTCAAAACAGGATATCCTTGCAGTGAGATAGAAACTGTAATAAAAGTAAATCAGTATTTGAAAGTTCCAACTACCAAAAACTCACGCCCGACATATCCTAGTTGTCGGCACACCACTTGTGCATCTCGGGCATCCCACAGTCATCACACACTGAACCCCACAACCCATTGAAACATATCTCCACTCTACCATTGGCATTAGATAGCCGCCCATCAACCAGTCTAACATCAGTCTCATTGCACTGCGAACCTGCACATTATTGGTCATCAACTTGCACACTCACTTGGAATAACCATTTGCTAACTTTGACATATTACTCCAGCATCTTCAGATGAGTAACAATAAGCAGAATAAGAGCAGTACTGAAGGTGAGTCTCATGTCCATCACACGAGAAACGAGGACGGTAAATTTGATCAGATATTCTGCCGTGGTCGACAGGCGCACCATCTGCATGACAATTATTATTTGTTTGTCAGTCATTGGGGCAATTTTTTATTAATGTACATTGGAATCCAAGCTCCCCGCAGGTGATGCGGGCCTCGATTCTATCCCATCCAGTACCACAGACAGCGCTCCAACGCCGGCTGTAGCATATCTCCACTCTGCCTTCGTTCTCAGTCATTCCGTCAACTAATCTAACTGCTCCTTCATTGGAGCACTGCTGTCCTGCAACTGTTGGACACAACGCCGGCGTACCAAGTTATATATAGGATTATCTACTTACCTTCACACGCAATCGACAGTAATACACTCGCGATAACTACGCGCACACCAGGCATTATCAATCAAAACTCCACTTCCAGCGACAAGCATAGAGTGAAGGCTACCACTGAAAGCCACAGAATAAATACTCGTTGCGCAATGGCATCGAGCATGCGCAGTATAATTTTACAAAACATTAATGTTCGAGGTCGGAGGTCGCCACGTGGGCGGAATGGGGAAGATGAAGCGGTGTTCTCGTGGTAGAAAAGCGAGGTGCAGACCCACGGGGCTCTCTTCACTCCTGGAGACAGAGAAAGGAGTGGGGGAGAGCATACCTAAAGTGACCATACCTCTTCTGGAAAAGGTCTAGCCCCTCTCAAAGTCCACCCCTGAAATGAGGACACCTTTTCTTTCCCTAAGAACAGTTTCTTGCATACAATGTAACACTGGCAGTAAGGAAACTTTGCATGGAAACTTAGGTGTCCTGATTAGAAGGGTTCCACTGTACATTCATAGTCATACACCAAGCAGTAGAATGAATTCTGTACGAGATTCTCGTATGCCGGCAGCTCTCATCTACGGAGGTGGCAGAGAGGGAGTGGGCCTGCCGCTCCGTTGCACACCTGCTGTGCGAGACAGACGCCCAGCAGACACTGCTTAATCACCAGGGACTTCCCCGCTCGTTGACAGCTCTGTTACTGGACCCTGAGTGGAGTGTGAGAGAGGCAGCTGCTGGGGCCCTCAGGTCAGTCTCCTAGGCCAGCTCTTCCCTTTATCATCTTCTATTATGAAGTACGCCGTATGCCACCAAGTTTTTGCACGAAAACTAAACTTGGTACACTACGGAATGATTACATGTGAAAATCAGGTGTGTCTTGCTGCAGGAACCTGAGTTCAGTGGGAGGAGACAGTGTGTGTCAGACTCTCGTCAGAGATGATGTAATGACTGCTCTTTCAGCTCTTCTTAGACAGGTATCGTTGCTACATAATGTGGATACACATATTTTAACTTAAGAAAGTACGTTAGTTTTACTCTAAATACATTTGTTTTATGGTATAATAATCATTGTCTGGCAAAGTAGTTGGCATAACCTCATGTTTGTGTGTGTGTGTGTGTGTGTGTGAGCTTTTCTTCTCTCCTCTTCCTTGTCCAGTGTATGTCTCAGGTGCAGAGGTACCCAGTGGCTGCAGTGAAAGTGCCCGATTCTCTCCCTACCCCACCCTCCCCTGTTCCTCCTCCCCACTCTCAACCCCACTCCCCACACTCCCTCCCCCTCCCCCTCCCCACACTCCCAATAGGACAGGGAAAGGGGAAAGGGAAGGCCAGAAACAACGTAACTCTTCACCATGTTTTGGCCACCATTGAGCAAAGCTTGCACCTTCTCCTCAACATCGGGTATGCATTGCTTGTGTGTGAGTGAATACATGTTCGTGATACATTTGCAGTGAGGGTTGTAGTGCAGTAGTGGGTCTGGCAAATCGTGAGGAGTTGGTGCCTGTTCTGCTCTACTTCCTCCAGCCATCTGTCTTCTTCCCTGACATCCTCACAACTGCAGGTGTGTGGAGACAATGTTGGTGGTTACTTTATGATGCTCGAGGGGTCCCCTGTAATATGTAATGTATCAGTGCACTAAATTTACACGGACATGGTTTATGGAATAGTACATGCACTTGTTGTGCATTTCGAACAGTTTCATTCCATATGAATATATAAGAGCTGCTGGTATGACTTGCAACTGCAAAATACTACTTGAGCAATTCACACTAAATCCTTGTTACTTCATATAAGACTGAATTTTGAGTCGTTGTTGGTTACCCAATGCAATGAAAAGCACTGAAGTGCAAACCCTCGGCGCACTGTGACGCGAACACATGCGCCGTACCACTAATTGATGGGCTGGGTTTAGTTTTAGCTGTTACTCGTGGTCTCTTGCCAGCTCGCGCAGAGTCTGACGCGGGATAACTACACTACTAGATAGCACGCGAGAGGCGATACACGCCCTGCGTTGCATCTTCTGGTGCCTCCGAAGTATGCAGAGCACGCGGATCGATCCGACTGTGGTAAGCCATCCCGTCCGTTGTTTATTTGCATATTGGATTTTTCGCGCTCTAGCTTTGCAACGGAGCAGTTTCAGAGAAAACCGTTCGAAATTTCTGACCTTCATTGCCCGTTAAGTAGGTCGTATCCTTTGTGAGACACCCGAGAAGTGAGATTGAGAGTAACAGACAGACAGACACACAGTAGTTGGGTTTGTCTGTGTGTCTGACCAGCAGATTTCATGACCAAAACTTAGTCTTATAATTATGAAGAACCAACCCACTTAATAGTCAATTTCTATCTCATATTATTGTGTGTGTGTTCTCCAGCCATGTGTCTGTATACGGTGACAGAGGACAACCCTCCCTCCCACCACCTCCTCACCTCCACACCCTCACACCTGGCACACCTGGAGACCCTCCTAGCCCCGCCCCCTCCCCTGACCGACCTCCTGGATCAGAGGCACTGGATTATCCTCTCCACTCTATCTGCCGGTATACATACACACTTCCACAGTGGAACCTTCAGCTAATGGACATGTTGGGACGAGGCTAATTATTGAGGGTCGTTTCCTTTACTCGGAGTGTCCTGTAGAGATTCAAAATATCGTTCAACTGACTCAGTACACGTACACAGCATCTTATTGTATGTTCTACGTAAGTTCTGGAATATTCCATGCACGTGTACACAGGTCAGAGGTCGTTCACGTTTATATGTCAGAGGTCTCCACAGTCCTTTAGCATGGGTTCTACTGTATGTACTACTGTCATTTTCTGCTATCGGCGCATTATTGAGGACTGAATGCATTTAGATTGTATTGTGGTATGGGGAGCACCTTATTTTACATTTCTATTCAATAAGGTGGGCTTGCTTTGCTCACTAATAATAGTCTGCGATCAGTGACCTCACTAAATATACCATTCTCTTTCTCCACCCACTCCAGGAGTGTTTCAGCACCTCCTCCCCTCCCTCCCCACCCCTCCCCCCTCACCCCTCATCTCCTCAGTCTTCTCCGTCCTGACGTCTGTGCTGGACACTGACGTCTCCTCACTCCTCACCACTCTCACATCCACACCTCCTCACACACCCCCACAGGTAGGAATATCACTGTGCGACACCCTAATTGGGGGTTAGGATGTGGGGTACAGCGAAACAGGGGCGAAGCAGGTTTTGGTGACACTAAACAGGTGCAGGAAGATAGAGTACATTACTATTCCGCACTCCAACAGTAGTCAAAATAATACGGATGGTTGGCTTGTCTCTTCTTGCACTAATGTACCTACAACAAATGCAATATTGTTGACACCCTAATGAGAGTTTTAGGGCTAATAGTAGCGAAAGATGGATTGGTGAAGCTAGATAGGAATAGGTGCAGGAAGATAGAGTGTGTCACTATTCCGTACACCAACGACAGTCAGAATATTACACATTGTTGGCCTGTCTCTTCTTGCACTGTTGTTCCTACAAAAAAAGCAAAATTGTTGACACCCATATTAGAGTTTGGGGGGGGAGGAGATTAGCAAAATGATAGGAAATTAGAGGCGAAAGAGGGAACGGTGAAGCGAGCAGTATATAGGCAATGTAAAGTTATGGAAGTTGATCGGTCTTCCTATTCAGTGGGAAAGAATGGTAAAGGTCTCCACTATGGATGGCCTCAGTAGCATTCCTGATGTAATATTATTCCTGCTCGTTTCCATAGGGTGAGTGTGAAGTTGAACACTCAGTTGAGGGTTGTCTGGACTCTGTGGTAGGTCCTAACAGACTGGAGTCAGAGAATGAATATCATTTCACCACACACACCAACAGTTGAGCGAGGCTGAGAGTGTTCTGACTGCACAACTACTGGCACTGGAGATCACTGCCAACCTCTGCTACACCGAGAGTGAGTGGAACTTTCATCACTCGCTGTGTGATGTCACTTATTTCGTGATAACCCTTTGGATGCCATGGGGATCTGCTTATAATAAGGAGAAATTGATGAATAAAGTATTAGCGCCTAGTATTATAACCCCCATATAAATTCTTATGGACTTATGAAGGCTCTGGACACATTTTATGTGTCTGTGTCTGGTGAAGTGTTAACTTGTCCATGAAAATGGTAAAATACCCGCTCATGTGGTATTTATCACATCCTAGTTTTGGAAGCGTAAGTGCTTCTTGTATGCATTCTGCAGCACTAAAATATTAAGTGCTTGAGTAAAAAAATTATGCATACCTCATAAGTGCGGAACATTAAAGTCTGCTGTGAGTGAACGCTGGCAAAAAAACCCTTGAGGGAGAACACTCGGTTTTGCAATGAAAAATTCACAGAGATGCTCGCAAACCTTTGGTGAGAAAGCTCGCTTGTGGCTCTCAACCATGCAAACCATTTCTCCTTCATGTTGTCCCGATATAGGGTGCCATAATATTATGTCATCACGTGTGTCTCTCTGTTGTAAGGTGATGAGGGAGAGTGGGAGGATGTGGAGGAGGAGGAGGTGATTGGTGGAGATCTCCCAGAGACAGACGAAGGGCCAATGGAACTGGAGGCCCACCATCAGGTGATGACCTTCATGACAGAGTAGTGTCCTGTGTATTATGTAATGTTGTGTCAGGCTCCAGAGTGGCTGAGTGGTGTGCTGGTGGAGACAGGGATGGTGGGCAGAGTGTGGAGGAAATGTGTGTCCCCTCTCGTGTCCCCTCTCCCTCCTCGCTCTCTCCTCCATCACTGCCAGGTGAACACTAGAGTCTCATTATAAAGAACCCACAAACTTCTGGATTCCACTAACACACCCTTGGAGCCTAGCCCTATACAATACTGTATATACATACATACTGAGAGAAAATTCGCAATTCACACAATTATTTAATTAAAACCAGTCCTATTGTACTAAATTCCACTTACAGTGAACAAATTCTTTAGGTCCCCAGCAATTCCACTGGATAGACTCACGTGGCATACAAGTATGTGGTAGCAAAAACCATGTTACACATGTACAACATTTTTGGTTGTGAATGGAAAAAGCTAGCTTGATTTCATGGTGAGTAGAATCTATAGCACTTCAAATCTCGAGCTATATACAGCACACATGATGAAGCACTGAAACACACACTGTGTAATGTATCACTGGTATTATGGTGTTGTCTACAGGTGGAGGGAAGTACAGATGAGAGGCATGGCAGCTCTCCAGAACATGTTGTCAGCTCTGCCTCCTAGTGCCACGCCCCCAGACTCTACCCTGGCCATGTGGAGAGGTGTCCTGGAGATGGTGGGGTCTTCTGGGGGTGTGGCCATGTGTGAGGAGGTGACAGGGTTGTTGGCGGTGCTGGTGGAGAAGATGGGAGAACAAAACATGCAGGTCTGCCTCAGACGTTTGTGGAAGGGGAATTTCGTGCACCTTGGGAACTATTATGTGCAAATTCTGGGAAAATTTAGTGCCAGCTACATTGGGCTCATTGCTTTCACCTTTAACTATCCAAAACCAATGCCAACTGGTGCACTCCCTAGTTTCCATACTTCCAACCCTCCCTCCCTCTCTTTCCCTCCCTCAGTGTGTCAGTGTCGACCAACTGGAGGTGTTATCAGCAGCCAGTCGAGAGAGGCTGGCTACCAACCAGTACCAGCAGGTGGTTGATATCATTCTCACCATGAGATGTGTTGGTAAACACTCCCTCCACTTCCCTACATCCATCAAGACTCCCATACTGGAGGTTAGCGAAGTGTTGCCAGCCTACAGAGAAAATTCTTGAATATTATAGTTCCCCTCAATATTTCAAGGTACAATAAAATTATACCTCTGGGTGTGTGGTGGCCACCTGAGTGTTATTAACCCTTGGCGTGCATGTCGGGCTCTCCGCAAGCTACTAGCGGGAGACCACGGGGGTAAACATACTACTAATAGCCCAGCCCATCATTTAGTGGTACCGCGCATGCGCTGTTCACCGAGGGTTTGCACTTTAGTGCTTTTCATTGCTATGTGTACACGAGTAATGTAAACACGAAAGCACCGGCATGGATTGCTCTTTGCTACGATGTGCACACAGGTGGTGGGTAGGACTCTGAGAGAGTGTATGTCTGGTGGAGGGTCAGTGTGGGTGGTGGCCAGAGCTCTGGACACTCTCTACGACGTCTTCGGCGCCGATGAGTGTCCGCCTCACCTCTTCTCTGATCTCCAAATAATGCCCATCCTCAAAACTATCGCTGCACAATTGCCCAAAAGAGTAAATGTTTGTGTGTAGATAGTAGAACTACTAGTTGTCTGAATTGCATGATTTTTCTGTTGTATAATTTGTATACAGCGCTGTCCATGCCGTAATCCAAGTATTTCTACAACTGCAGAAATATAGCTCTCACATTCGCTCGCCAATAATGCATTGCATTCGTTACTTGTGGAAATACAGCAGAATGACTGTTGTGTTAATAATTGTCCCCATACTCAGTTGATTTTTCCTTGTGCAGGGGTCTGGTGTAAGCAGAACGGAGCTGGGCACTGCAGTGTATGGAGAGGTGGTGTGTGCCAGAGACAATCTCCTGCCCTTCATCGACTACATGACCACCAGAACTTGTCCCAATCTCTAGTCCAGTTCTGACTTGTTAGCAAAATTTTCTAATCTGTGTCTGTGGAATGATGAGTGTGGATATCTGTGAATGCTTTTGCACACTCCGCTGGATACAACTGGCCCCTTTTCCTGCAACTTTGAATTTGAGTGGGCATAAGGCTCCATTTCTTCTGGTACACTATAATATCCAAGAAACTGTCCATTGCCATACGATTTGTGCAGCCGTTATGCTTACAGCAAATCTTACAAAGAATTTTCATACAAAAATTGTCATTTCTCATTTGAGAACAGGGATCGAGTCTCAGGCGTTTGTCTTGCTCAGCTTGCTGGCGGAGGCAGTATCCAAGAACCAGATGAGCTCTCCTGTGTGAGGGAACACTCGGGCAATTGGCAGGGCCGGCTCCTCTGAGCCAGGGTCCGGCTCCAGACACTTCTTGATGACGTCAGCCTTGCTGGACCCTGTGCCTATCACCACAACACACCTGGTGGTTATAGGGAAAGAGATTGAGAAATGTTTTAGGTTATGGAACAGATTCTTGGAGCTATACAGATTCCACTGTTAGGGTGTACAGAGTAGAGGATGTCATTCTAGAGCATCGTGGAAACCTTTGATTCAGCCACAAAAGGAACAAAGCAGTGCATAAAGTGTCTCTACCCGCTAAAAATTGGCCAAGAAAACTTCACAAAAATCTCCCCTAAATATTTGCTCACTGGTTTGTAGTTTAATTTCTCTATGATGGAATACCCTAATGTATAGGGGCTCATACTGATTACACACATTCAGTCCAACAAACAAGAACCTCTAGCAAGCTGCAGGCTTTAGGAGTCCTTGTAAAAGAATGTAAGAGTATGACGACACGTTGCAGTACAAGCAAGCACACAGACCTAGCATTGTTGAGCACGGGGTAGGTGAGTGTGATCCTGTTTGGTGGTGGCTTGGGGCTGTCGGTGATGGGAATGACCAATCTCTTCATTTCCTCCAGTCCGGGATGGCCGGGGAAGAGAGAGCACGTGTGTCCGTCAGGACCCATCCCCAGGATGAGAAAGTCGAACTTCGGAACCTGGCTCTTGTCCGGGAACACTTTCCTCAGCTTGGCAACGTAGTCTTCCGCGGCCGCGCTCACGTCCACGGACGGGTCGATGGGGTAGACGTTGCTGGAAGGGACGCCCACGTGGTCGAGGAGCTCACGCTGGACGTAGGCGATGTTGGAGTCGGGATCTGAGAGCTGGACGTGGCGCTCGTCGCAGGTGAACACGTGCCACTTGCCCCACTCTACGTCCTTGCGGCTGCGGAGCCCCGAGCACACCATCTTAGCAGCGCTGCCGCCAGAGAAACCGATCGTGAACTGCCCGCGACTCGCCGCGGCCTCCTTGGCCCGAGCGGCGATTGTGTCGCACACCTTCTGTCGCATCTCATCTTCGCCTCCTCCAACGATGTTCACTGCAGTGTTGTCCATCTCGAACGAGAGATATTCGACGACTTGGAACCGTTGAAGAATGGCCCTGATGGAAGATCAGCTGAGCGTGCTGAGCTCAGCATTCAGGAAGTTAGTTAGATGCGCAGATCTTTCTGCGCAGAAAAGCGCGCGGGGCGGGCGGGGCTGCCCAACCAACTCTAATTAACGCGCAGTTGAAGAAGGTGCGGATCGTTCGTCGCAGGGCAGCAGTTACACGAGAATCATGGCTTCTGGGGTCTCTGCGGAAGAGCTGAAACTTCAGTAAGCCTCATATTTAGCTGGTATACCGTAATTACAAGGATCATAATTATACCCCTTTCCTCATGCTGCTGCTGCTTTGCTGCATTTGTCAGGCTGGTGTCTGAGGAGCGATACTTAGAGGACCGGGTGAACCACGTGGAGCGTCACGTGGCGGCCCTGGCGCTGGATCTGGGTGCACTGGTGAGAAAGATGGCTCGACTGAGGGACAAGGGAGACAAGATCGTGTCCAGCGTGAGGGACTTTGCCAGTGCGGAGGCTGGCACCATGCGCAAGAGCCTGGAGGGGCTCGGGGAGTGTCTGTCTGCAGTGGAGAACTCCCAGCAACTCCAGGTGCGTATCTGCATCAGGAATTTAAGAAACATATCTCAGGGGCACAAGTTTCGTGATTGATCCATTTGTTTTGCTCAGAGTAGCTACCAGTAATTTGTGCCCCCCCTCCCCTCATCGAAATTTGTTATCCCTTATAGGGTGTCTGTTGGGTGAATGGGTATTTAATTATTGTCCAGATTGACAGGATGGAGGCTAAGGTGGTGAAGCCGTTGCTTGAATACGAGGGAGTCTGTAAGAAAGCCAAAGTGAGTCTGTGACACAATAGCTTGTGAAATTCAAGCGTCAATTTGCACCTCTTTGTGTTTGGGCATTTGTGGTGGTGTGTGTGTGTGTGTGTATAATTATGTGTGTGTGTGTGTGACAGGAGGAGATTCGTGTGGCCCACGGGGTGTGGGAGAAGGAGGTGAACAAGCAGAGGAACATGGACAGAGTGCGGTTCAGAGACCCAGCCAACAGAAAGAGAATCGTATCCTCCAACTCACCATCATACGTTGTACCACTACACAGTAGTACTTTCCCTAAGAGGGGCTGGACTTAGCAGCATAATAGTATCTTGCCTGACTCTACACCTACCTACCACCTTAGTCCACATTTTACACCATACATGATCTCTGTTAACCTTTCTTGACTCTTAGTCTAAACAGTCACAGGTGTGTTCTCTGTGTCACAAGAACAAAAGGAACCCTGGAGCTGTCCTCTTTCCTGGCCCACACCACACTTTTACTAGTCCAAAGTTTAGGCTGCAGTCTTTCAGGCCCTTTCTCTCATAAACATACTAAAGGGAGAGCGTAATTATAAAGATCTTGGCTTTCACCTCGAACACCTATAGTAGTCTTCTTTTCATGCCCAGTGGCTGTCACAGCACGTACCCCAATTCACTGGAGTGTCTGTGGTTTCTCCCTCCCTTATACACCCCCCTCTGACTCTCTCTCCTTCCTCCCCCCCCCCACTTGTTCACCTTCAGTTTGAGTCGGATCTCCAAAAACTAAAGATTGAGCGACTGCGGTCTTTCAAGGCCATAGAAGACTATCTGGAGGCCTTTGAAAGGAAGAGGACCCACGACCTTAGGGTAGGTAAAATTATACATCGCAAGACTCCCTGATCCACGTGTTTTAACATCCTGGAGTATAATACTAACCAAGAGACCCCAACAGCCAAACACTTACTGTGCTCGTAGTGGAGTGAGCGGTGGGGCAGTGTGCGTAGTGGGGACTGGCCCCTTTGCAGAAAAGCTATGCTCTGATTTGCGAGACTATCGGTGTGTTTCAATGCCGGAACATTAAAGTTGAAAGTCTAAAAATGCAGTGACTCTGTCTGTCTTGGCTCATCCTCTGATGCATCAAGGCCCTACGAGTTTACCATAATCAGTTCCCATCTTTGAATTCACATACTTTCATTACTGGAAGCCGGTGGTTCTAACTACGTGGGTTTTCCTCCCTCGTTAGGTTGTCCTGGGGGAGTTCATCACGGCACAACTGGCTCACCACGCCAAGTCTCTGGAGCTGTACACACTGGCCTACAGACATGTCCAGAACATCTGTGAGGACGAGACTGTCGAGGTCAGCAGTCCACATGTGTACACACCATTATATACTACATGTACACACTAGCTTTTAGAATATATACCCACTTTAGTGCCTGAACCCCTAGCAATATAGTAATTCACTTGTGGCATCAAGCTACACATCATTCTGGACAACCCCAAGTCTCAGCCTAGTTTTGAATCCGTTTTGTCCTCATTCATACGCTATGACGCGTGTCACGGATAGCTGTTTACATGTATATAACTACAATGGGGAGCTCCTAGATTAGCTAAACATCTGCATTTTCCCTCTCTCTCCTGCAGTTATTCCAGCAGGGACTGAATCCTCGCAGGACTGGGGGGTATCACGGAGCAGGCGTGCCGGCCCTCGGCCAGCCTCTGTTCCGTACCAGCTCTGACCCTTCCCTCCTGTCCGCTACAGCCACCACCACCCACTCCAACTACCCTCCACAGTAGCACACATGAACCACCCTCACCAAGAGAACCTCTTGCTATCAACACACGCACTTTATAATATATATACAGATGTATAATTATACTGGCAACCCATCCACTTCTATATAATTTACGTTATATTTCAGTTTCACAGCATTACGTATCATATATACAAAGTTCTGCACAAGAGATAAACTGTCACTGTATATAGAAATACTATTGAGCGAAAAGGCAGGGCGTATAGGTAGAGAGCGTAAGTCAGTAAATTTCACAATAGCTATTAACTAACACTAGACCAGGAAGAGTTCAACGTAGCGGTCGCCGATGTAGCGCTTGTTGAGCTGCTCGGATGCCAGTCGGGCATGGCGTTCTGAAGGGAAGGAGACAAAGGCCTTCCCGCTAGACTCCCATCGTCCCGACACTGGATCCTCACTTGATCGTAGCCCACGTCATACCCACGGAAGAAATCAAGAATCTGAGGGCACGGTGACGTGATAGGGCAAGCCTTCGACTCGCACAACTCTCCTTTCAGTGGCGCCGACACTTCCACCACCACCTCCCATGAGGGACATGAGCGGTCGACTGCCAGCCGCCGGCGAGAGACTTTCAGGGAACAGCGGGGAGTACTTCTTCTCCGGCTGGCGGGCGAGAGTCGCGTGTCCACCATACACCGAGCTCATGTAACTATCGATGCCCTGCCCCCCGCTTCTGTAGCTACTCACCGAGTCACTGGGCTGACGCTGACTAATGCCGCCTCCATTTCCCCCAAAAGTACCGCCGTAGTTAGTCGACTGGCTAGAAGCAGAGGCGTAGTGCGAGCTCCCATTTGGATGGGCAAGTGGATCATAGGGTGCCCCTCCGTCCAGTATTGGTTCACCATACAGGTCCTCCCTCCGGAGGGTGTTGTTACCGTACGTAGCAGTGTACACTTCCCGGCGTCTTCGGGCCGGGGACGGAGTTCGCCTGTGGCTGCGCGAGACATACCTGTCGCTCGAGCCGTGGTTGTTGACCTCGCGATCTTGCCTCCCCCGACCAGCCGAGTCCCAGCTCCCACTGTCGTACCCCCCGCGGCTCTGTCGGTAGTCCACGTCCCTTGCCCCGGCCCCACTCCCAAGGTTCCCCTCGCTGTATTCCTCCGCCTCCTCCATCTCGCACGGCTCAACGCGAATCACCGAGTTATGCATCATCTTCCCCGAGTTCTTGAGCCCCAGGAGACACTCGTCCGGGTTGGCAAACTCGATGTAGCCGTCGCCGCGAAACTGCCCACTGTTACCCTCGCGCAGGAGCCATATCTTGCCTCGTCCGATGAGCCGACCGGCGAAAAAGTTCCTGATCTCCTTGTACTGGCTACCTTGGGGGACTCCTGCAATGTAGGCAAATTTCGTGTCCAGACCGCTATAGATGGGGTGCTGCTTCTGGGCACCGTGGCCACTGATCCTGTACAGCTCGTTGCGCGTCATGCCGGCCCTCGCACGCAGCATGAGGTAGTACAACTCTGACTCGTCTGACGCCCTAACCTCTATGTATCTGGAGCCCATGTGGTTTCGATCCATCAGCAGTGCCCTCTTTAGTTCCTCCTCATCGTCCAGCCGCACAAACGCTAGCCCGGTCGCCGAACCGTCCATCGACCTTATGATGTGAATGTTGTCCTTGTCTATCGCCACAGACTTGAAAAACATGACGATGTCGTTGATCTTTGCCTCAAACGGGATTCCCTTGAGGAGAACGCCCCTGTCGATCGTGGCTTCTTCCCGTGCCTTCCCCGACATGCTGTGTCCTCTCCCTTGGAAAATCCTGCGTGGCTCTCTCTCTCTCTCCTTGGTTTTCACACAACCTGGTGCCTGTCTTACCCACGCAGCCACACCCTGACAGGTTAGCCTGCATGGAGTTTAACAAGGACACAGCTGGACATTATATATGGAACAACTTGTTCACCCACCACTGAATCTACTGCGACTTAAACTTCCAAAACCCCACTCCCAGAGACCTTACCTATGCTTTGGGGAATACTAAACCACTATACTAGGTAAATGTGCCACTTACTGAGTGACATGGGAGCACCATACCACATGCCTTACTAACATTACTTTGGTCAATGTACACATGTTTGTAACAATTACACTTCTCATTGCTATTTGGCAGCTAAGATAAGAGGGGAAGTGATGGCACAGACACATTAACCTTACACCCACACATCTCCCCCCAGTAGGCTAAACTAGATCACTCCGTGACAACCATCCTCCTCCATGACGCCTAAACACACAGCCTATACAAACTACGTCCGGTTGCACACGTTAACGGCTAACTACCGGTTTTCCGGCCAAAGTCGCTGAACAGTCAGACCAAAACTCCCACAACAAACAGGCTACAGCCAAAGACATAAGGGGAACAACCGAACTCACCGGAAACAAGACCCTAAAACAGTACCTGTCCACCAAACACTTACCAAAAACGCTGCTGAACGCTGCAAATAGGTCCTCAACCTTAGCCTTCCCGCCTTCTTTCAGCCTCCTTTTTACCTCTGCGGGTAACCTCCAGCAGAAACAGAAACACCAAAGACCGCTAGTCACCGCAAAGCCGTCAAGCAACCAACCTCCCTCGTCTGCCTTTTGTGCTGGAAAATCACACTGTCTCTCAAGAACTGAGCATGCGCACATCAACACAGTGTGCATCAATTAGAAATTTAGGGTGCGCATTAATAGAAGGAGATGGTCTCCAGTAGCCTTCAATCGAAGATTTTCCGTCGTTTTTTCAATGCCAGGTGGCTAAACTACATTCATAGCACACGTAGATGCTATGCTATAGCTGCAGAGGAGTCGCTGGCCGTCCAGGTAGCCGGCCGGGACTTTGTTCGCGACTCCATGACCAATGTGACTCCCACCGTCCTGAGTCGTGTGGGACGAAACCTCCACCAGATTCCCCAGCACCCTCTCAACATCATCAAGCAGCGTATCGTGGCCCACTTCCAGAGAAGCTACGCAGCTCCCACGGGGACTCCTATCTTTGCCCACTTCGACGACTTGAGTCCAGTAGTCACCACGGAACAGAACTTCGACAGTCTCCTGGTTCCAACGGACCACGCCTCGCGGAGCCGCAGTGATAACTACTACGTCAACGCTCCCATGTACTGCGGGCACACACCTCTGCTCACCAGCGAGATCTCGTCCGTATGGGGTTCAACAGGTTCCTGGTGACTGGAGACGTGTACCGTAGAGACGAAATCGATTCTACGCACTACCCCATTTTCCACCAGATGGAAGGGGTTCGACTCTTTCAACAGACACGAGCTTTTCTCGGGGTGCGAGAAGCCGGAGCAGCTGGGTCTGTTTGAGCGAGAGCCAAGTCTTGCAGTAGAGACATGTGACAAACAAGCCGTCCACACAATGGACTCTGTGAAACTCACCGAACTGAGCCTCAAACAGACTCTGACAGAGCTCGTGGGGGAGCTGTTTGGGCCGGAGACCCAAATGAGGTGGACGCCCGATTACTTTCCCTTCACTCACCCGTCGTACCAACTGGAGGTGGAGTATGGTGGGGAGTGGCTGGAAGTCCTGGGCTCAGGGGTAATGCAGCAAGCCATCCTAGATGGTAGCGGTGCCGGGGACAAGATAGGTTGGGCGTTTGGCCTTGGGCTGGACCGTCTTGCAATGCTCCTCTTCGCAATCCCCGATATCCGTCTCTTTTGGAGTACAGACCCACGTTTCCTCGAGCAATTCCGCTCAGTAACTCTTGATCCTGCCACCGACATTTCTTTCAAGCCCTTCAGCAAATATCCCTCGTGCTACAAAGACGTAGCGTTCTGGCTACCGGAGAACGCAGGCGACTACGTAGAGAACGATTTTTTCGAGTTGGTTCGTTCGATTGGAGGTGACCTTGTTGAGAAAGTTGAGCTAATGGACAGGTTCTGTCACCCAGTGTCGAGTAGGGTTAGCCACATGTACCGCATCGTGTACTGCTCCATGGAGAGGACCCTGACCAACGAGGAGGTTAACGACCTCCAGGACACTCTGCGGGAGGGCTGTCTCAAGTAAACTGGGTTTGGAGCTGAGGTAGCAAATATTAGTCATTCAGTTCGTCATCTCTCTACCATTCCCTGTACTACTGTGAGTGAGTTGAATGAGGGTCCTATTGTCCAAGTCTTGCACTGCTCCTCTTCCAATCTCTTTATGTGTTGTCATGGTCCACGAGAGTTTGCTTATTGCATGCACTATACAGCTTTCGTTTGCTCACATACTGCAGTTGTTCATATATACATATAAATAAAACACATAATGGGATGGCAGTCTGGCAGAATCAGTACGTCAGTAAGCAGAGTAGAGCCAGTGCCAGTAGGAGACTGAAGATGGAGCCCTGGACACCAACCCCACTGCCCATAATATTGATATTAAATTTGTCACCACTACCAACATCAGTTGTGTCGACATCAGTTGTGTCGACATCAATTGTGTCCATCACTCTAATCTTCCATCCGAGATTTCTATGAGAGGCACACTGCAAAAGAAATACAAAAAAACTCAGTTGTATTGGCTACACTAACTAAAATGTACAGTGACACCTCTTGGGACACCTTAGGCATCATAAGATTAGAGGTTCAACTGTCGGTCATGAAGTTTATTAATGTCATCACCCTCCATACACACACACACACACACCTGGTAGTAGACAAGATCCGGTGTGTCTTTGTCAGGTGTCCAGGTGAAGGTATTGGTGAGAGTGCCCTGTCCACAGGTGGAGGCTGGAGCCACTAGGATTGCCAGGTAGTCATCCATCTCTGACTGGCAGTCTCCTAGCACTTCGTCAGAGGCTGGGGTATTGGTATAGCCACACAGGGGACCCACTGCATAGCTACGTGTGGATCCATTGAAACCTGCATACACAGTCTCTTCCTACGGAAAGACAAAGAGAATTAGCCTCAGCTGATGTCGAAGTAAACTCTAGAAGAGATCTATGCAGTAAAGAGAAGAGGGAAGGAGTGCATGACTTTGATAGGTGTGTTGCACAGCCCCCTAATTTAGTTTACCCTCCACTTTAATGCTCGTTAGCCACATCCGGTGTCACCATTAACAGTGAATTATACATACACGTAGCAAGCATGACAAGCAAGCATGACAACAAAACACGATCACCATGCATTAATGCCTTGATTTCAACAAAATGGATTTTTGATTCTTTCTGGTTCTTTGGTGCACGCACATGCTAGGATCCACCAATTCCCATAGCCCAGAGAATAAGTATCAATCCACAGAGCATCAGGGATTCTTACTATTGTGTCTTCGGTTTCGAGAAGAATTCCTCCACTTTCAGAGCTGGTGATGTAGAAAGGGTGGTATCGGGAGCTGAAGTCAGGGTCATCTCCTCCGTAGACGACAAACGTGTACGTTTTTCCTCTCTGGACTACCAGTGTCGGTATGAGGGTGTCATTGATGTACCACCCTATACCCCAGCCTGCACGACCTTCACAACAACAACAAAACCTTAAGCATAGAAGATGAAAACACGAGCATGCACTCAAGCACACTGTGTAAACTTTTGAAGTACAAGAAAAAAATTTCCCTTGAGCTGATAAAAATGTTTTTCACCTTTATCCTTGCTCAAATATTCAGCAAGTGAACTAACACTCTAGCTGAGATTACGTATGGGAGGGACTAAAAAGACTAGGACTATATACAACTACATGTGTACTCTTGTGAACCGGCCACACGTTGCATGTGCGTACGTCTCACTAAGGATAAAATATTGCTTGGTTTATGAGACTAGACTCACCAGTGATGCCCATGTATCCTCTCTGGTTGCCAGATGGACCGATGCGAGCCACAAAGGTGGCGTCAGAGGGAGCCACCAGAGTCCGAGTCTCGTAGGGCTTGCACCTGGGGCACTCCAGAGCAGGACAGTTCTTGGACGGCTGTCGACCCAGGTGTAGTGGAGCCGCATTTCCTAGAGTGCACAATAAAACATAGTCGGAAGTGACGCAATAAAACGGGGTAAAACATGGCATTACTCGGATTTTTTAAACTCCGCAAGAGTCTTCCCTGCCTCCTTTTTTGGGTGACGAAATTTGCAAGCAATTCATCAACCATAAAATTCTTGTTCGCTAATTTCTTGCGCAAAGGTTTATGCCATACAGTGGTCAATATGCAGTGTCACTGCTTGTTTGGATGAAGTGTCTGAAGGCAGTGAAGTACTGTATTTGTAAAGAGGTCTCTCCAAACTCACGTTCGGCTCTGACAAAGTGTCTGAATGCAGTGTCTCCAAGACCTCCAACTCCCCACACAATGTACTGGTTCTCATTGTCTGGATCTATATCTTGGTCACACTCGTCTCCTGGGTAATGATAGATCACAGTATGACGTCATGCTAGGAAACACATGGAGGAGGGAGTGAAAGAGGGCTCACCTGCAGTGAAGTTTCTGGAGAAGACAACACACTGTTCCCTGCCATCGATAGAGCCAGAGATGAGAGTGGCATCGTTGGAGCACACTCCGGACGAGTCCACTACGTCTGGACAGGCTCCCTTCCCTCTTCCACACTAGAGAGGAAACGCAGTCCCATTATAGCAAGAAAAGGCATGGCAAATTTTACAGAGCTTTTCCTGCTGTTCATGCCTATATATCAGAAGAAAATTTCATAGCGTGGCTATTAAAGTTGTTTACTCCTACTGCAGTGAAACCTTCGAGAAATCAAATCAAGGATAACTCTCATAAAGGATACATGGTTCTGCCCCATACTGATACATTATAATACCTCTGAATAAGGGACACCTCCGAAGTCCCTTATTCAAAGGTTGAACAGTGTATGATGGTGGAAGAGACCGACCGGAATATAGGCTGAGAGGTAGTAGTCCTCAGCATGAGGTTGGTCTTCTCTATCGACCCACACAATAGTGGCATCAGCTCCAATCATCAAGGTGGCAGAGTCACTCCCACTTAGACCAAAACCCAGCCACGTGTTGTCACTGGGAGAATCGAAATGACAGAGAGGGAGAATAAGAAAGAGAGAGGGGGGGAGACGTTAGGAGTATTAAACCCAACCCATGTTGCCACTGGGAGAAACAGACAGACAGACAGACAGACATACCATACCATACATACACACTTACAAACCAAGTACCGTAACCCTCGTTGCACATGCGCGCCAAGGTTAATAAGAAGGAGAGAGAGACTTGGTAGCGGGGTGTTGTTTACAGCAATGTAGCTAGGATTCATAAACAGTAGCCTTAAAGCAAATACAGGCTGTACTTCGAAAGAGGAATAAGCGTCAGGTTTTACACGTGTTAGCACATGGCAATGTTTGTACTGCTTCACTTTCATAACCAGCACCTAGTCACGATCATGCACTTGTCAAGGTGTTTGTTAGTAGACACAAGTGCAAGAGATAAGAGAGAGAGAGAGAGAGAGAGAGAGCAAAAGGGAATAGAGGGAAGAAAGAGGAAAGCTCACTCTGCACTATCAGGAGAGGTGCACCCACACAGTCTGAAACGGACGTTCTCGGAGCTGCGGTCCACAGTCCATTCAAGTCTGAGACTGGAGTGGAGGCTCTCGCAGTTGTCGAAATCAGTGGGGGAGGGTGTCCCTGTCGTCGGTGTCTCATCAGTGGGGGAGGGTGTCCCTGTCGTCGGTGTCTCGTCAGTGTGTGTCGTCAGTGTCCCTGTCTGTCGTAGGGTCTCGTCTGTCAGTGGGGGAGGTCCCTGTCGTTGTCTCATCAGTGGGGGAGGGTGTCCCGTCGTCGTGTCTCGTAGTGGGGAGGGTGTCCCTGTCGTCGGTGTCTCGTCAGTGGGGGAGGGTGTCCCTGTCGTCGGTGTCTCATCAGTGGGGGAGGGTGTCCCTGTCGTCGGTGTCTCATCAGTGGGGGAGGGTGTCCCTGTCGTCGGTGTCTCGTCAGTTGGGGAGGGTGTCCCTGTCGTCGGTGTCTCATCAGTTGTAGTTGGAGGTTCCTTGATGATATAAGTTTCAAGTGCACGACTTTTCCATATAAAGCATACAGCAATGGCTTATCAAAAATCACTGAATTTTTACTAGCATTTGTTCGTCAGAAAATGTCATTCTATTACTTACTCTGTCACATAGTATCTTGTTCTCTTCAACAGCTACACTGATGTTGTTAGTCTGAAGATGTAAGGAAGGAATTAAGACGATTAATTTCTGCACACACGCCGATCAGGTATATATATACTACATGTGTACATATATAATATCCTGGCGAGTAGACTATTTGGGAATTCTGTCCTAGACCACTATTATATACAACAATGGTCCTCAGTGTGACAGCTAGCCTCTGAATCGCCAATTCTAAGTGAAAAACTCACAAAGATAGCGGGAGGGATGTCTAGGACGGCAAACTGGACTCCGGCTAGCTGACACCACACGGTGAAGACTGCCAGGTCGCAGGCGTACACGTCAGAGGGGAGGGAAAACTGAAAAGTTATGTTGCTAATGAAACCAGTCTGGTACGGCAGGGCTCCTCCACTATAGGGGGAAAAGATTGCATGTAACAATAGACCATGTGATGCCAAGAGAAAAAAGATAGGGAGCTCTGGACAGCTGGGGCTTGTTAGCCCTCATCAGCAAAGCATACAGCAACTTCTCTCTCTCTGGCATCACGAGTTTATAAAGGCAAAGTTGAGCGCAGCACTTGTGGTTTTGAACTAATGAGATTCGCATGCACAGTAACTAATTTACGCAAAGCAAGAGGCCGGTGGTGGAGTTGATTTTCTTTCTTGCTCTCTTTCCGACTACTCACTCATTCTTCCATCTAGAAGTGACTTACGTCAGTGGGAAGGCGATGATGTGGCCCCCACCAGATCTGAAGGTGTTTCTGACATTGTCAGAGGTGTAGGGAGGGGCGTGGCCAACGGGATAGCCATAGAGATACGCATCTGCAGTGCATATAGTGAGTAAAGTTAGAGCAATAAGTGTGGATGCATACAATCGAACACAGTTTACAATTGTGCCATTTTACTCTAGCTAATGGAGAAAATGTTCACGTTTTTGGTAGCAAACAAGAACTACGGAAAGACAACTTTGATGATTGGTCTTCCTACAGTATATAAAAGCCTCCTCAAACAAAATTTTTCAGGTAAAGACTAGTTGTTTTTTTACCTGGGCCGCCAGTGTCATAGTAAAAGTTCTTCAAGATCATGGTGGACTGGTCAATGATACAGAGTGTGCCCTCCACAGCATGCTGCACTGTAATCAGGTCACCTACACAGACCTCACCTGTGATGGTGTCAAACAGAAGACCATAGTTACTCTTTGACTTCTACTCTACGTAGTGCGTACTACTACATACATATCCCTAAAATGGGAAACGGGAAAACCACTGACTTGGTAGAGCAGGAGTGGGAGGTTGAGTAGTAGGCTGCGTGGTGGGTACAGTTGTGGGTTGAGTGGTGGGTGCTGCAGTTGTAGGCTCCATACCCTAGAGAGAAAGAGAGAGAGAGAGAGAGCAAAAGAGAGAGAGCAAAAGAGAGAGAGAGAGAGAGAGCAAGAAGTAACTTTACAATAAAAATGTACAGCTCTCGCAAACCCAAATTGAAGTAGTGTGCATGTGCAGAGGTTCCCAGATGAGTGCTCCACTGTGGACAGTCATGGATGGTCACCTACTATGCAGCTAATAGGCTCTAAGGCTAGAAACCCAAGATCAAGGCTCAGAAAATCATCTTCGTACGTGTAAGCCTATTTCTTGCCATTTTCACCATATGAAAACTCTTTGATTCTAAGTTGCCTGAATAAGATTCGACTGCATCATGTTGACCAATCTCCAGAGAACAGCTGTAGTAAGTCTACACATCGTGCTACTGTGTGACATGCAGACGAGGAGTAGGGGGGGGCTTACTCTTGTGCAGAGTATCTTGTTGGTAGTCGCAGCTTCATTAGGATCAGTTGTCTGCAAGGGTAGAGGGAAGAACGAAACTCAATATGATAACACATTTACGTACATTGGTTGTCTAGTGTTACTCACTAGATGCAGGGATGGGAATGGAGGAATTAACAACTAATTACGCATGTGGTTTTGTGATGGATATTCATATTCCCACTGGCAAGTTGTTCTCCTGACTTCACTTGGCTCTTCCTATGATGTCAGCTCAACTTACCAAAAATGGATATGATCACTTACTGCCCATGCCAACGTGTGGGGGTTTACCAACAGTGAGTGTAGGACAGGAAATTGACCAACGCTTGCAGGCCCAGTTGGTATAGTATTACAGTGTGTGCACAACTGATGCCACCTAATGCCACTTTCAAGAGATATACACTTACTGGGAACCTCTTACCACTGAATTACCACTACCCACACATACCTAGATACAAGTCTTCAGTGTATGTAGGGTAAACCTTTATGATTTCTATTGGTGCACGCACAGTATGATTACTCTCGCCTCTGGTTAATTAATACAATTCCATGACCCCACCTGGTTTGCGAAAGACTAAGAAAAGTAGCTATATACCCTTATTGTAAGGTGCACTCTATAGCTCGCATACATAATTACACGCGTGTGAAGTTGGATATAATATTATACAAAGAGAGAAACTCACAAAAGTGGAAGCAGGGATGTTAATGCCGGTGAAGTGAGATCTGGCAGTTTGACACCAGATGGTGAAGACGGCCATGTCGCAGGCATAAACTCCCTCGGGGAGAGAGAATTGCAGCGTTGCGTTCAGGACGTAACCATTCTGCGGGAATCTCCCGTTATCTCGCTGCCTGCAAGGACCACCAGAGGAGATAATGACATACAGAAATTGAAACTTACAGGGAATAACACAACCGCCCAGTAGTCTATGTATATGCATATTAAATTGTCGGCTTGAAAAGCAAGCTCACCTATTGTCCGAAATGCATATTATATGTATTGTCTGTGTGTACACTAAAAAATAGCCTTCAATAGACGTAAAATGCTGAAAATTTACACTTGCTTTTGCTTCAAAAAATTAGTGTTGGACAGTATGGTGTAGCAGTTGCAGCAGCACACTTGTACGCTACATTGTAAAGGGGTATAGCTAAGGGTTTACGTACGTGTTGGGGTGACTGATGAAATTCCCTCCATTTCCAGATCTCGGTACGTTACTAGAAGTGAAGCCGTCTGGGTACCAGTAGAGATGGGCATCTATTGTGTGGTGTGTGTGTTTACATTTGACCAGAAATTGAAAGTTGCCAGCAATTACAACGTAATGCATTAAGTTACATGCAGTATATCACATTACTAAAATGCCATCCACTTACGAAGAAATGGGAAACTTATCACTATACTGCAGTAGCTTGTAATTGTATATAGCATGTTGTTGCCATTCAATGTTTAACAAAGGCAAACCAACCAGAGATGCCATCAAAAGGAGCTAGCTTGAGAAGTGGCACTCAACAGAAACCGCTCAACTGAGGTGAGATCTATAGTTTCCCACCAGTATCCACTATAGGCTATACCAGGAGCGCATAATATGGGTCCCGTGAAGGGGGCGAAGGAGCAGGGGGGTGAAGGGGGGTGAAGGAGCATAGGGGGGTGAAGGGGGGTGAAACAGCTGTCCAGAGCTCCCCATCTTTTTTCTCTTGGCATCACATGGTATTTTCTACACATGCTGTAATTTTGTGATTTGAGCAGGCCTAACTAAATAGCTCAGTCAGTAAAACAGTTGGTTTTGCAAATGCAAGGAGCGTTTGTATGCAACTGACCCCCTCGCTTTTCTTATGTCTCATGCTCTCCTAACGTTGTGTAACTGTTGACAAATATGCAATTAACCTGGTCCTGCTCCGTCGTAGTAGAAGTTTCTGATGACAATGGTGGTCTCGTTGATGACACAGAACCTTCCCCCTACTGCATGTTCCCATGTAGGTAGGTTTCCAATACACAGCTCCCCTAGCAGGACACACAGCAGCATCATAGTAATACAATCACAAAGTGTGTGCTTCAATATTACCAAGAAAACAGATCTATGTGTCTCAGCCCTCGTCCTAGCGAGACTGCTTGCAGCTAAAGACCTAAAGGCTGCTTGGCTTTGCTCCTTGCTCTTTCTACTGGCATGACACACAGCTTAGCTGACAGTCAATACATGTGTGTGAACAATCCTAGTGTTTCCGGGTGAACTCTTGCAGAGAAGCCTCTGCTCCTGGTGTGCGTCCACCGACAACAACAGTACATCTGTCTGACTAACAATTTCGTAGATTTCGGGTGCAAAACTTAGCTAACTCGCTGACTTGCACATCGGTGGGTTGCGCAGGTATCATGATCTCAGAACTGTTTCTCTTACCATTCACGGAGCCCAGGGCGTACAGTAGTAGTATGGCGGCAGCTGCTGCTCCCAGGATGGGCCATCCCGTCTGCTCAGCTCTCTCCTATAGTATAGTGTACGTCCTCACCGATCAGACACTCGCTTTTTGACCGGACCGGAAGTCAATTATAGCACACCGGAAGTTAATTATCGCCCTCAACAATGCATGTCGAACGGACATACATAATTATATACACGTGCATATTCCATGTGTATAAAGAATCAGTGCTTAGTTCTTTTCACTTTTCTACCAGTTGCCTTCCCTGGAACAGTAGGCTTCTTCTGCAGCCAAAAAAAACAGTATAACTCATTCTCTGCAACAACAGACACATCAGCCACTATAATACCTCCAGACCAATCCCAGTCTCCTGGAGCAGAGCTCTGGCCACGTTATTGATGTGCTTGAATCTGTCTCCGTGCAGGAGGATTCCTCCATACCTGACACGATGACTTAGAGTTAACGCTCACGTGTAACATATTGCTGAAACAATTGATTCAACTCCCTTATGTGCAACTATGCTTGCATATATACCAGGACTCTGGAATTGAGGCACAGTATAATCTAATACAGCATAACTCGATGAACTAAAACAATAAACTTCATGGCAAGTGAAGCGAGCCAACTTAGTCATCTCAACTGTTCAATTTTCCTCCATGTAATGTAATACTTTCACTAACACTCGCATTCGCTCGCCAATTATTCCATTCTAGTATTACACGCAGTTGGTCTCGGCTCACCATCTGCTGACAATGACTGCTATGTTCGTGGCATCCATCATCTGAGAGCCAGGGAAAACACACAGAAAAGGTAAGTGCTCACATACCTTTAATCCAACACACCACACACACTCACGCTACACACCCGCCCCTTCATCTATGTATGTAATTATCACGGAGAAAAAGGACCCTGGCCCTGAATGGATGGAGCCACAACTGAATAGGGCTGTATCACTGGACTTATTTAAGACGCGGGGGCATCATCCTGTCAGGTTGCAGTGGAGTATGTGCCAATGCCTGTCATGCTTACATTCCTTATAGTGAGAATCTCTTTCATAACGGTCTTCCATTTTGGGGAGGGGAACAACGTACAAGCAATCCAGGATTACAGTTTCTCCTAAAACACTCATCTTCTACACACTACCCTGGAACGTTAATCCCCACTATAGACGTTGTTTCATTGGTGGTTGCTGCATTCACTAGTGAGAGCAACTTTTCACTACAAAGTGTAGCACAAAACCTCATTGCTAGATGTTGACTCTGAGAACGTGAGCATGTACGTGGTTTACTGTAATGGTCTAGTCACAAGGTAAAGAAAGAAAGACAAATTTCTATATATAAACCACCAGACCTGGAGGAGATGCAGTAGTCTTCCACCAGCAGCAGACTCTCCATCATCATCACAGTCCTGTATCACCACCCCACCCTTCCCCTCGTCCTCAAACCTGCAGGTTGAGTATGATGATAATCTCAACTACCCATACATACATTCTGAGGCATTGCAGGGAAACTTGGAGATAAATATTCTTTGGTAAATCACATAGGGAGATTTTTAGATGTGTTTTCCAAGTGTGTATGTATCATGCAAACGAAATCCCCACCCACAACATGCTGTAGATGAAACAAGATTTTCTGAGGCCATGATTGAGAGAGAAATATTCTTTGGTGAATCACATAGGAAGTTTTCCCAAGTGTGTATGCTTTATGCTGTGTGTGTATCATGCAGATGAAATCCCCACCCAAAATATTGTGTAGAGAAGCTGATAGCTATACGGCATGCTTATAGTTAGTATGTTAATGAAGATGGCAGCTGTTGCAAATTTAAGCATGTATAAAAAGAAAGGGAGACAAGATAGGGATGGGATACATGAAGCATGGTTAATGAACAGAGTCCACCACAGACCTGTATGCCAGGATGTTGTGCGTGGCCGAGGCTATCTTCTTGTTTCTCTTCAGCTCAGTCACAACAGCCGCCACCTACACACACACAAACACCCACATGCAGAGTGGGGTTCTATAGAGACCAACACAAACTACAGCCAAACTTACAGCCAAACTTACAGCCAAACTTACAGCCAACGGGATACAAATAGAACCATATGACTTTATTTGATAGTGAGGTTCAGAGGCAAAGGAAAAGAGCTCGTTGCACCCAAGAGAACCCATTCTATTCCACAGTCCCACACCTTAGGCATACATACACCCAGTCGCTTCATACTACTGAAGTGTGCATCATTATTACAACTTTAGGCCAAAGATCTCACGGTGCTAGAGCTCTTCCTACTGAGCAACCACGAAGAGAGGAGAAAAAAGGGAGAAAATGTGGCGATCATTTCACAGAGGTTACTTGCTCCATTAATCCCACCTGCAATATTTCACTGAAATAACATTAATGGCCTGAAAGTCACGAACATCACCCCTTCTGCTACAGTGTACATTAAAGGATGCATGCACCACCCCAAACTGCTATGTGAAAAACAGAAAGACCATTTAGTGTTCCCGGACCTCATGTTTGCTAGTTACAACTGAAGCGTGGGCCTGGAAGGTACTCTTGCGATCAGTGAGTGGTTCTCCATGGATGATGGCTTGACATTCCCTTTCTCCTTCCTCCCCCTCTCCTCCTTCCCCTCCTCCTCCTCCCTCCCACCCCTCACTGGCCCTGCCGACAGAGCTTGGTTCGTGGAGAGGACCAGAGGAAGTGACATCTTCCTGTTCAGGAGAGTGACTGAGTTCTCTTCCTGTTGTCTTGCTGCCTTTATTTTCCTCTTTCCCTGGAACAGAAAAGCTCTGTGCAAGCACTTATGCACTTTTCATCCATTGTTCGTGCAGGAACTAACATTCAATATTCAATGTGTGTACAGGTATAATGCAACATTAAACAGCAAAATATTAAAGTTTGGCTATAAGATTACCTAGTACACTTGCGATGTAATCTCTGGCACACTCAATCCACTGATACACCACAGTCTCACCTTCATGATCTCTACGACATACACACAACAGTGGACACTGTGATCTCTAGTCATACAGCGGACTCTGGGATAGTGTTTGTCCTTACTTTTGGATTTGACTGAATTGTTTTGCAATGTTAGGAACATCTCCATTTCCTAGCCACTCTGTACATCTGTGTGAATGTAGAGACTCACATTACGGACGACCCCTACACGATCTAATGATGATGCAGGATGTCATGCCATACAAGTAAAACAAGAGATGCCTACACCAAGACAGAAACCCAATCCCCACTGAACATACATGTACAAGCTGTTAGACACAAACAACCAACACTCCATACTTTAAGCCATAAGGAGAAAGGCAGTCTTGTATGTAGTAGCTACGTACCTTAGTTCGTAAACAGGAGGGCAGGAAGTAGGGTAGCCTTCAGGACAGGTAATCTAGCCAAGAGGTGATTCAGCACACCCACTCTAGCTGGTGTAGTTCCTGACAGCTCACCTGAACCACCAGACACCGGCTGTTGTCATTGTCAGGAGTGGCCACAGATATTGAATAGACACAGGGCTCCCTAGACTGCTGCTGGAAGTCTTCACCGTATATTGCCTGTAGTGCCTCAACCTCTTCTTCCTGTATACAACAGCCATAGGATCACCATCACGCTCCACCATTTCCCACCAACCTGAATTCTCTTATTTTCCATAGTACTAGTGTTCAATATTTCTTTTCCAATTATAAGCACATAGACAGATATGTATATACAATGTACACATGATATAATACTAGCGTGGTGGTCTCTACAACTAGCAAATGAACGAGGCTTCGTGATGTTCGTTGATGATATGATCTGAACAGTCATTATACGAATGCCTTCTTTCTGAGTGGAGAAGGGTCGAGCTATATACCAATTGTCTCGTGATTGAGCTAAGTCACAATTCTGCTCTTCTTTACTTCACTGCTTTCCTCACCAATCATCACCACTGGCCCCTTTCTCTTCCGAGTCACTTCCTCCTCCCCCTCCTCACACCTCACACCCTCCCGCAGTTCACCGCTTGCATGCTTCTTCACCCACAGCCGAGCCTTCTCCAGAAACTGGGGTCGGTTGTGTTTGTACTCGTGGGATATATCGGACATGAGGCCGTCGTCCGGATTCGGTTCGGACAGCAGCAGCTGAATGGAAGTCAGGACGGTGGAAAGGTTGTGGGCTGGTTTCCACGAGCCCTGGGGCTGGGACTTGAGCACGTCCAGGCATATTCTGCCCGCCGTGTCCACGTTTGGATGGTAGATGGGCGTCGAAAACTGGACCTGCGGCGGCAGGAAAGGGTAGCGCTCCGGTATTCTGATGTCCAGGGAGAACACACCCCCCTCGTACGGAGTGCCTTCGGCGCCCAGTAGCTGGGCCTGCAGGTGGTCTATGCGGCTCTCGTCCTTTGGCCAGCACGTGACGCCATGTGGAGGGTCCCTCCTCAGCCGCTCCAGCTCTTTCTTCAAGCGAGAAGCTCGCCGAGCCGCCATTTGCTAGCTAGCTAGCCGAGCTGCAGCTGTGCACTCATCACACGCATGCGCACTAAAAGTTCTGACGTCAGTAAGAAAGGGCGTGGCTGACCGTAACAGTCGGCTACATTACAAGCTCAGCTCAGCCCTGAATTCAGTCAGCTAATGTGAGCTAGAGCCAGGTAAAGATGGGACTGATCTGCGGCTTTTTTCTTCTGACTGCATGTCTGCTGTACCCCTCTCTAGTATGCGGTGAGTGTGATCGCGAGGATCTTGACCCGCGATTGTAGTCTCCGCGCGCTGGGTGGCTTTATCATTTCTCCATCCTGTTTCTCTGCAGCCGAGGTGTGCATCAGTGAACCTCTCCCGAACTTCCAGCACGGAATTCAGGGCAGACTGTGTTTCATAGACCAGACTACGCTGGTCATCCGAGGCTTCGCATACGACGGAAGGGGTCCAGGTACGTTGGAAAATGCCGGTAAAGTGTGACCCGGGTTGGCTGCAGTAGCTCGAGGATGGGCTATAGCGTGTGCATTATACCCCAGGTTTTATTTTTTGTCTTTGCTCTGAACTTGTGTTTTCTCTTTCACTTACTGCAGCGGCCTACCTCTACTATTACGATACTACTCAAGGCTACACAGCTGAAGATGTCCCTGCAAATGGTCGGGGGAAAGAGATACCTCACCCTGTAACGTAAGATATCGCATAGAGAACCTGTTACGGTATAGTAGGGGGGACACAAATTTGTTTGTTAGCATCATTTGTTCACTTGACACTTGATACGACAAGTGTTCATTGACACCTGTACATTGCCAGCACCCTTTTAAGGCTTAAATTGATCGCACATGTACTCCACATGGGCAACTAGCCAGATGAATAATATTGTGTCATGCATGATCAACAGCTAAGTGTTCAATGCTGCACTGTGCATAGCCATTAATTTTCAGCAGTTTACTCTCCAATTAATGCATGTAGACTTCTTTTACCACGGACATGACCCGTGTTTACTATTGCAAGAAAGTTGCGAGGTTGGAGCAGTCTGGGCCCAATTAACTTTGTTGGATGGGGGGGTCATTTATGCCTACAGCTGGATACAAATCTTAAGAGTGTGTAGATTTGTATGTCTTTCTCCCACAGTGGAGGGGCCTTCCAATTTCGGGAGAGTGTCAGTAATCAAGATCTGCAGTTCTCTCTCCCAGAGGGAGTTTATGCCTGCGACTTGGCCGTCTTCACCATCTGGTGTAGCGCAGCCAATTCTCATTTCACGGCCATTGACATTCCCCAGAGCCTATTTGTACGTTATTAGCTTATAATAATTATTACGTGCATGATTGGTATGTTCATGCATGACAAGTAAGAGAAACAATGGAGCAGGAAAACCCATCATGCATATATAGAGCATTGTGTACTTCCGGCGGGTGCTTATGTAACACAGCGTAACTACCCGAGTCACGAATAGTGGTCTGTGGACCAGAGACAGGGGCGTGTGTTGGTTGTTTTCCAAAAACACATCATGCTTATGTAACTGAGAAGTAAAAGCCTTATCATGTGGAGTGTGCATTTGTGGTTTTGCATTGTTATCTACACACGGATCGTGGATTATACAGTGATAGACTACCATTTCAGAGCAGGAAAAGTCATCACGAAATACAGCCTTAGAGATTAAGTGTGCGTCGTGTAGAGAGTACGTTTGAGGTTTTCGATAGCAAGCGTTACGTTTTACACACCAGTGGCGGATGTAGGATTTTGAAAGGGGGGTTCCGCAGTCCAGAACGTTTTCGACTGCGCTCGTGCGCGCGCACGAGGCTGGCGACGCATGCGCACAAAACGACAAAAAGGGGGGTTCCGCGGAACCCAAGGAACCCCCCTGGATCCGCCACTGCACACTGCGCACTAACTGAAGAGGAAAGGTCGTCACGGAATAAAGCTTTATGCATTATCCATGCACCGTGTAGAGCGTGTTTTTATTACCAGCTACAAGTCAACTTAGCTGAGAAGGAAAAGTCATCACTGAATTGTGCATCATGTAGAGCGAGGGTTACTTGTTATCCAGTGTCACGCAAACCCAATATATTGCCTGTACGTACTGTGTATATAACAGAGCAGGAAGAGTCATCATGCATAAAGCCTTATAAGTTACCATGTATATAGAGCAGTGTGGATAATTATGTTTCCTTGCTATTGCCTCATCCATCCTTCATGTTTTACATACCACACACACACACTCATTCACTCCCAAATACTCAGACCACAGACCAAAGTGAAGCTGCAAGCGGTACAATACTCTGCACTCGAGTGAGTCATACAGCCATACATGTCATTTGTTTAATGTGAGGGTAGGTAGTTCCCCATTCAGTGGAGTGAGCTTATGCTTACACACAGAAACCAACAGGAGCCCTCTAGTGAGCTAATACTTACACAACATGAGCCCTCTCTAAGGACACCACTGAAATGAGGGCACCTCCCTGATATGGACACCTTTTAATTCCCAAAGAACAATTCTTCTGTGCAAAAGGACACCTCAACCAATGAGGACACTTGTGTCCAGATTAGGGGGGTTCCACCGTGGGATTTATTATACCAGTGCTACCTCATTCTTGTGTTCTTGCTTTTGGGCTATACCGATGAATAATATACCACACCATTACCCAGACTGGAGGAGGAGGGGGTGCCACTGTTTTTGAAAACTGTGAGCAACTTCACCAAGATCTGACGCTGGACTGGACAGTGAATAGAGCTGACGAGAGTGTCACGTTCAGACTCTGTGGCTGTACCTCTCCTAACGACGCATTGTGAGTCTTTCACTCTCAATCCTTCACCCTGTATGGAAAATAGCTATCGGTAACTGTACCATCCTATGGGGAGAGTATGGGATATTTTCCATGACAGTGACTAATGAGCTAGCATTTCAGAGGGATTTATCGCCTCCTCCTCTAACGTCTCCCCCCCTCTCTCTCTCTCCTTCTTATTCTCCCTCTCTGTCATTCCTATTCTCCCAGTGACAACACGTGGCTGGGTTTTGGTCTGAGTGGCAGTGAATCTGCCACCTTCATGATTGGAGCTGATGCCACTATTGTGTGGGTCGATAGAGAAGACCAACCTCATGCTGAGGACTACTACCTCTCAGCCTACACACAGGTATACTAGCAACACATTATTGGCGAGAGTTTTTCATGCACATATTTAGAATCACGTAAAGTTCTGCGGTGTACAGTACCTGTCACATACATCTGCATTGAGACCATTAGGTATGCTCATTTCCCTCGCCCATTATACAGCATGTCAAAAGGCACACACACACACACACACACCCAGAGCAATGCCTTACCTCCCAGATACCCTAACCACCAGCGATACTCTGCAGTTCCCCAGACACAATTCTGACAGTAGGACATTACTTAGCTCAAACTAGCCATTAGTGAGACTATATAATGTATTATGATGTGTTTCATCTCTCATTAGAGGGAGTGTGTGAATGATGTGTTTCCTCAATTAGAGAGAGTGTGTTATGAATGATGTGTTTCCTCAAGCTAGTGCCATTAGAGAGAGTGTGTTATGAATATGTGTTTCCTCAAGCTAGTGCCATTAGAGAGAGTGTATGATGCTGTGTTGTCTCTCTCTCTCTCCAGTGTGGAGGAGGGACAGGGGCCTGTCCTGACGACCAGTCCTCGGCTGGAACATGCTCAAACAGTGCCATCCTTGAGACCGGGTTCACTCAGGATGGCTCACAGTGTGTGGTGTTCACCAGGAATTTTTCCGCAGGTGACATATCCCTCCTTACTCCCCCCCTCCACCACCTCTTCCTCTGTGGAGTATTCCTTTTACTATATTATTTAGAGCTAGGTAATTTAATCGCACAATCTGGTTGGTCCATGCGGACTCGTAACTTATTGTGTAGCAACTCTGTACACATTTTCACAAATTGAAAAAAGAAAGGTCAGCCCGTGAATGTGGCATGCTGGCTTATACATTTTTTCAGAGCTTATACACTTTTGTTATAATTATAGTATGTAATGTGTGATCTACGTATACAGGAGACGAGTGTGACCAAGATATAAATCCAGACAATGAGAACCAGTACATTGTGTGGGGAGTTGGGAGGTCTTGGAGACACTGCATTCAGACACTTTGTCAGAGCCGAAAGTGAGTTTGGAGAAACCTCTTTCACTGACACACACACTCACACACAAACATACTAGAACATCTTAACAGTGTAATAATACGGTGCAACTTGTTGTATGAAGCAAAAGCAATGATGTATGGGCATGGTTGGTCCACGCAACAAATTTGTCACAGTGTAGGTCTGTGGAGTGGCAACATTTCCACATCCTGTTGGTCAGCCCCAGGCTCCTTGGATTGGCAGTTTGAAACCTAGCTGGCTAAGTTGCATAATATCAATATGATGTAGTAAGTGAGCTCACGCACCTATAATATCTATACACCAACATTTGCAGAGGACTCCTCGGAATGTAGCATCTAGCCACACTATACTGTATGTCTGGTCTGCAGGTGGCGATGCACCGCTACATCTCGGTCGTCAGCCGTCAAGAAATTGCGGCGAGTCTTTGGTGTGTAGCTCCTGCGATGCCTACGAGACCCAGACTCTGGTGGCTCCTTCTAACGCCACCTTTGTGGCTCACATCGGCCCCTCCGGTGACCAGAGAGGATACATGGGCATCACTGGTGAGTCTAGTCTCGCAAAAACCACACTGTATTGTGACACGTATCCACTAGCAATGTGGGGCTGGTTCACAACAGTATTTAGCGAGTCCTATATAGCTCTCTTTTAGTCCGTCCCACACATAATCTCAGCTAGTGTTGGTTCACTAAATGAGAGGTGAAAAACTTGAGTGTTCACATATGGGCAAGAATTTGTCTTTTTCACACAGCGTGCTGGGGTGCATTCATCTTGTCATTACTCCTGGTCTGCTAATGTTGTTGTTGTTGTTGTGAAGGTCGTGCAGGCTGGGGTATAGCCTGGTACATCAATGACACCCTCATACCGACACTGGTAGTCCAGAGAGGAAAAACGTATACGTTTGTCGTCTACGGAGGAGATGATCCAAACATGAACGCCAACTACCATCCTCTCTACATCACCAACTCCACCACTGGTGGCAGAGTCTTCATGGACGAACAGGAGAAAGCTGTGAGTAGTAGTGCAAGTGTTTTGTGGCAAAAGCCTTGTGCATTTGCAAGGACTCAATAATGTTTATTGTGAAAGACTTGGTTTACAATGTCCACGGTACAGCAGTTGTCAGTGTGTTTGTTATGCCCATTAGGCCGCGAACTGGATTGAGTGGAGTACATTTTTCTATGTAGTTCGATTTCAAAAATCCACCTTTAGGTGACCACAGTGTAGCATATGTGTTATTGAGCTGCAAAAACACACACGACTGCGAATGTGACTGTGACCACTCTCTTATTTTTCATTGCAGATGGAGATAATCTATGCTGGTGTTGAGGACAACGGCAGTAAACCCATTGGAGGTTTGATACAAATTACTTAGCTTCTATTGGACTACAGGCTAGTGACTATAATACAATTCCCGTTGTCTGCAGTTGGTCCGTTGTGTGAGTCCACCAGTACTCCCGAGGCAGATGCTCTGGCAGACATCTGCGAAGCTCTACTCTGCAACTATGAGGAGGCCCTCGCTCCTCCGAGCCCAGACTGCAAGAACTCTCTCGCCAACGGGAGCGACAATACCTTCACTTGGACCCCAGACGATGACACCCCCGACGTCGTCTTCTACCAGGTACTGTGTGCCACTGTGTGGAGCCCCCAATGATATTACATCTAATTTGTACTTAATTATGAGAGAGTGAGAGAGTGTGGGAGGGAGGGAGGGAGGGAGGGAGGGAGGGGGGTAGCGGGGTGTTTACAGCAATGTAGTCATAAACAGTAGCCTTAAGCAAATACAGGCTGTACTTCGAAAGAGGAATAAGCGTCAGGTTTTACACGTGTTAGCACATGGCAATGTTTGTACTGCTTCACTTTCATAACCAGCACCTAGTCACGATCATGCACTTGTCAAGGTGTTTGTTAGTAGACACAAGTGCAAGAGATACTGGAGCATGATGCAAGTGTCATCCTATATACCATACCTGTAAACCATTTTTCTCTCCAAAAGTTCTCCTTTGCCCTTTGTAATGCAACCCTGACCTTTACTGACCTTTACTCTGTGCGTCCCACTCTTCCAGTGTTTCACCCACCGTAACCTTGGCTGGAAGATCATGGTCACCGACTCGGTCGAGGACTATCTGAAGAGCAATCCTGTACGTCAGCACCCAGATCCGTGCCCACCTCCCCCCACAGTTCAGTCCAGCTCACCTGGTGTACCCTCCCCCCTCCTCCTCCTCCTCACCTCACTTCTCCTTCTCTCCTCCCTCACTGTCCTCGTTAGGTAGACACACTCTTATATCCCGGACTGTATGTAGCCACACACAGATGTGAACGATTGTTTGGGTTTTCTGCATTAATTGTTTGACTCTGAATTACTATTATTATTTAGATAAGCACAACTTATAACAAGAAGATACTTATGTAATTCACTTTAACGTGGTGTACATGGCCAGGTGTCATCACTACATATATTATAAATATATGGGTGCTCACACTTTGTGTATCTATGATTACAGTACGAGGTAACACCATATAAGGCCACAAATCTCTGCTACTATATATACTACTATAATACACTAAAGTACACACACGTAATGGCTCAGTAAAACGATGGAATTGTGAAGAAACTGCATGATTTTTACAGAGAGTGAAAGAGAATGGAAGCAGGTCAAAAACGACAACTACATCCTCCATAAAACAAGCTAGATTGTCACTGGGAGACTATTTCTTGCTTCCTTTTCTTGGTCGAGGAGACGGTCTGGGGCTCTTCTCTGTGAGAGCAGAGAAAGAGGTGGGGAGAGGGAGTGGGAGGAGAGGGTATATAGTGAGGGGATAGGGGGTGAAGGATCAAAAGAGCCTAGTCTAGCTGTCGAGTTAGAAAACTAGAAACACATTGAAATGTGAGACAGAGCCTTCTGAAATAATTATATATACAAGAGGTTAGCATAAGCCACAACATGAGGAAAATAAGACTATATTTACAATGGGACACAAAAATAGCTGCAAAGCTCTTGCCATGCCATATTATGTTGTAAACAGAGATTGAGGATAATTGTAGGGGCGTACTGGGAGTGGGTAGGGCTCCGTCGGGGACCCACTGGTAGTCCACTCCATCCTTGTCCTGTGTACCGGTCTCCACTGGCTTACGAGGGGCCGATCGTCCTCCCTGTGTGTGTGTGTGGGTGGGTGGATAGTCAAATAAATCCTCTGCTACATAGGTACACACTTTGTTGCACAAAAACTAATGCCTCATTTAATTCATGCAAGTTTCCCCCTGTAAATAGAAAGTTCCACAATCACGCAGGCATGATAATTATAGCAGACTTGAGCTCCAATACCTACCCTTCTGACGGTAGTGTAGACGTAGTGGATAATGAACACCAGGAGAAGTATTCCAGACACCATGAAGACGTACATGAAGAAGCTGAGCACGGAAGACAGAGAGGGAAGGGGATAGGGAGGCACATGTACGACAAACTCTCAGTACATCAGCAAGTTAAATCAATTAAGGGTTCATTAAGGGGGCAATGACGTTCACCCCCTCGATCAATACACTCTTGCCTTCAGAATATGAACACTTAATGCACACAGGCTCTAATACACATTCCACCCACCTTAGACTTTAATTATTTTTTTCTTTTTTTCTTTTTTATGAAGGTCTGATTGTGGTGTAAAAACTTACGTCTCAGCGTCAAAGCTCTCCTCCAACTCAATTATATTGACTGTGTTGTTGAACACGGCATCGCGATAGTCATTATCTTCCTGAGAGAGTGTACAAGAGAACATGTGAAGTATGTCGTGTGTGTGTGTGTGAGGAGACAGTGGTCGAGCAACTCACGGCGTCTTTATAGTAGACATTGATGGTCAGACCAAAGGGACGAGCGTAGAATGATTCACTGGGTCGGAAGCTGTACACAAACGATGCCTGCAAGTCAAACAATCAAACTGTCTCAGTAGTACTACACGGTGAATGCAACACATTTGGACAAGCAAACACAAGAAAACTGTGGATGGCACTGCTCTACATGATGTCAGTGCATGTGAAAACTTTGGATAGAGACCAACCTGTGTCTCTGGCATGATGTACGTCTCATAGTAGATCACAGAGAACTACGTGGAATAAAACAACAATATCTAGGGCTAAAGGATAGACACACAATGCACAGTGTTCTTAGACCGCAGTCACGCGCAATTGACCAATCAGATTACAGAATTGCGGGGGGTTTATTTTTCATAGACACCTCGTTTCAGGTGTCTAATGGCGTTTGCAGGTGGTCTACAGCAAACTCCCCGTACAAAATGGCTATTCTCAAAAGTCGTTATCTGCGCAAACCGGCCGATTCCGCGTTCGGTATATGTAAGCGTAGAAGGCGCGACTGGCAAAGTAGCTCTTTTAAAATGCGTAGTGCACCTGCAAGAAGTCTGTGGACAGTCTCCGGAGCTCGCGAAAGTCAGAAATCACGTCAATATTCCACGAAAAAAGCGTCGGCTTCTTCAGCTCTGGCGATACACAAACACATTGGGCCGTTGCCGTGCGTTGCTAACCCTTTCAAACGCGCACCACCAATGAGGGCGTTTTATGATGACGTAAACGATTTTTGACGGGGGGCGGGGGCTGTCTCCTCGGAGTCTCACACGTAAAAAAGCGTCTTGTTCCATCCGAAGGTAAGGAATGAGGAATGAGCGCAGCGTTGCTAGCTTGTTGCTACCCATTTGAACGCGCAAACACCAATCAGATACTCCGGTCTAAACCGGTTAGACGCGGAAGCTCGGTTGTCTACGCAACATTGCAACCCTCGGGGCATGTGGGTAGCGCCCTCGCTGCGCTCGGGACGCCAACATTCCACAGCCCCTCGGGTTGCAATGTAGCGTAGACACCTCGCTTCCGCGTCTAACCTATATTAGTAATAGCAGACATCTTAAGTGTTCTTACACCACAAAAAGGGCATTTCTTTTTGCCAACTGAGCTACAGGACTGGGAATATATAACACTCAGTGAGATACACTCATGCTTCATTTAGCTCTCTTCATAATAAGGCATCAGTGGCGTCACACGGAGACGGCGGCCTTTGGCTGACTCCCAGAGACAGAGGGCGTCTGCCTCCAGCCACCGCCCCATCCTTTCCCAGAGTTTTAATCATCAGAGAGCCAGACATTTGCACAGACACACACAAAACACATACACATACACACAAAGAATCACACTGGGTATAAGATAACAAATTTCGTGGGAAAACCTCACAAATCGTTGTGCCCAGATCCTGAAACAACTCACATTCTGTATGAAGTAGCTGAAATCCTGCGGATATCTGTAGAGAAACAAAATCAAAATTCAACTCTGATCAACCAACCAACCAGCATACAGTGCCTGCTTGTTCTCTAAAGCCTGTTTCGACTACCACTCATTGGCAGTGGAGGTCAGTAGTAGGATCTCACCTGAAGGAGCCCTCGATGAGTGTGACAATAAACTCTTTCTCCTTGTTGGTATTGGTGAGTCCTATCACTGCTTCCACCACCTCTCCTGCCACAAACTCTGCAACAACATCAACACAGCTCATTAACAATGTATGTAGCATGTCCAGAGGGTATTGTCTATAAACCTACTAGTCACATGATATGTCACATGATGTACTACGTAATGCATAACACAACTCATGTGAACGTCACAGTTTTTGATGAAATGTTTTCGCATAAAAAATTAATTGCAACTGAATGGCAATACAGTATAAACTGTATGTTCTATAGACGGCTCTTACATCATGTACACGTTTTACTTGTGGCACGAAGTCAACTGATCCTCACCTTCAGTGTGTCGGTTGGTGAAGAGGATGGTTGATTGGCAATCAGGATGGGGGGCAAACTCTTCTTCCTCCTCCTCTTCCTCCTCTTCTTCCACTGCCCCTTCATCATCTTCCTCATCACTGACTGCAGTGTCGCCCTGCCATACAACCAACACAGACAGAGTAACTGTAGGAAATTGCACACAAGAATGTTGCGGAGAAAAACAAAGTCCTAGATATTACCCCAACGCATTTGAACGGCTCAAATAAGGGCATATTCCTATAAGCACACACTCCTCCGTTCAATGAAGGCCCAGATTGAGGGGCTCTGTTATTATTAAACACACATCCTGAACAATGTACAATTGCATCCCACAATACTCACAACATCAGGAGCTTTGACTGGTTCATCATCTTCTTCTTCATCTTCCACCTCCATATCATCTTCCTCTTCCTCCTCTCCCCCTCCTCCCATTGTCACACTCTCTCCCTCACCCATCACCTCGTCATCTTCACCTTGGGCACTCACCACCAGGGGACCTGAGGAGAGGGAGGGAGGGAGGGAGGGAGGAGGGGGAAGTGAGGGAGGGAGGGTGGAAGAAGGGAGTGAGGATGAAGGGGGAAGATACAGGTGAGGGAGAGACAAGAGGGGAATCAAGAAAGGGGTTACGAGTAAGAGTAGGAAAAAGGAAAAAAGATAGCTAGAAAATGAGAAACAGAGTCACGAGTACAAAGTCCTGGCGCACAGCTGAGGTGCTAATACTGTTACAATACTTTGCATGCCAATAGCACCAATCGGGACGCTAGAGAAATGCGGCAGCAAACACGATGCACACTAGCACTTGCAGGCCTCATGAACAGGAACTGACTTTAGTAGTAAGCCAAGGGGTATATAGGCCTCAGTTGCTAGAGGTTGAAATCACCCCTAACCCCAGCCTGCAACTGCCAATCACAACACACATACACGGTGTAGGTCCAGCTCAACGTGGCTGGTAAGAACTACCAGACAACAGAGTGGCCAAGTAACACTGTAATGTATGGTAGGTAGTGCAGGCTGGGCTCAGGTCAACCCAAATGCCAGTACCATCATAGGCCACACAACCACACATTCACAACACTTCGGATACAGTTACAATACGGCTATCACTGTTCAGCTAGGTCAACTACTCGAATTGGTACACTGACACGGACAAATCCTCACCTGTGATGTGCAGACAAGGAGTGAACAGGAGGCCCACGAGCAGTAGGTGCCAGACTCGAATGTGAAGCTTCGCCATGGCATCCGAACGGAAATCAGTCCTCACTGCAGCCGACTAGCACGTTCTTCCGATGAGTACCACTGGAGAGGAGCAGATGAAAAGGGATTTCTCTGTCTATCTAACACCCGACAATACCTTTTGTCTTTCGCACACACGCGTTTGCTTCCGTTTCAAAATTCCTTGCTTAGGTTTCGCATAATAAGAGTAACTGGACTTTGAACCTAAACATGCTGCTTCAGCAAACATTAATTTTTTGAGCAGCAAAGCAGCAGCCTAGAAGATGAACATTCTACCAAAAAAGAGGTGAGAGACGAACATAATGTAGTGTGAGTGACGTTTAGACTCTCTCTGCGTGTCGTATTTGCTCCGACAGTTGGCACGTTCTGAACAAGGATAACATCGCCAAAGTCCGGAGAGATGAAGCCCAAGCTCGAGCTGAGGAGGAAGAGAAGGCGTCCCGTGCCGCCATAGCCGTAAGTTCCTTCCCCTATCCACAGTTTGTACTACATAGAGCCTTAGTGATTGGCCTATGATTAAGGGTGCTCTCTTTCAACGATGTATATATACGTACTGCAGGAACAAGAGGCAAGGCTTGGAGCTATGAGGAAGAGGGCGAGAGAGAAAGACGGTGTGGAGGAGGAGGAGAGAGGTGGGGGGAAGGAGAGGGGGAGGAAAGAGAAGAGAGAAGAGTGTTCCGTGACTGATGCCAGCGGACATATCAACTTTTTCACTGATCTTCAGAAGGGGGTGAGAATGATGCACCCCACAGGTTTTGTCCCCAATGTATAGCACCAAATGTTTAAAAGTGCGTAGTGTTCTGTTGGTAAACAGGAAAAACAATCAAGTGCAGGCAGCTGAAATTCCACAAAATGTTTGTGCTATATGCAGTAGTGTGTAGCCAAGGAAAATAGGATGCTGTAATGTCTCTGAACACGGAGTGTGTCCCTGTCATTCAATCTTTATTGGCAGGGTTCGGGTGAAGGGACTGGTGAGATAGTGTTGCCTCCAACAGTAGTCAAAGTAGTAGAGACGTTTAGTTCACAAGTTGTCTGTCTTCCACTTCACGTGCACATCCATTTTGTGTTGTTCCCAGATAGGTCTCCAGGTCGGTAATGTTGAGAGAGAGAAGGAGATGAAACAGGAGCAGGAGAAACTGGAGAAGAGGATCGGACTTCTCAACTACCTCGTTGACAAAGACAGTATGCAACTCCTTGCAGGAAATGTTTTAGAGGAAGAGTAACTTTTAGACAAAAATTCGCATCTGATAAAAGTGGCGGGAGCATTTTGTTTAGGGCTGCCTCTATATACCTGAATCTTAATCCTCTAACATGTTAGAAAAAACCCATATTATAGACACTGTTTTACTAATAAGGAACTTTTTAGATTGAAGGCCGTTAGTGGGTGGGGGACAACTTGTACAGCAGCGTTAAAGGTGTTTTTTCTCAGCACACCGTCACTGAATCATGAAAGCTCCCCCAAGTATGAAACAATTCCCACCGCATGATGATGGTATTATTCTGCCCGACCAGAGTCGGACAATGTGCCGTGGTACGTCAAGTCCGGTAGAGGTGGAGCTGGAGTGGAGGCGGAGGGGAGGAAGAGTGCCAAGGCAGAGGCGAGGAAGGAGCTGCAGGATCCTCTGCTGGAGATGAGAGGACATCTCGAGGCCAAGAGGAAGAGGGAAGAGGTGGTGGGTGTGGTAGGGGGTGTGGTCTCAGGGGCTGGAGCAGTGCAGGGTATATCACACAGTAGTAGTCAGGTGAGCCAGCATGGCATTATGTTGCTACATACACCATCTACTCTAGGCATGTTTGTGACACGTGGACCTTGAAGCACCAATGCTTTTCTGAATTGTGCATAAGGCACTATTTGCACTGCATCTGTTTCTGTAAGGGAGGTATAATGTGCCGAGTTTTGGACATTATCTAACACCAATGTTGTGTGCAGCAGTTTTGTTATATACGTATTATAGACTTTATGGTGACTTGTGTTCTTTCCCCCAGCGAGGGAGGTTGTCCTCTGGCAAGAGTGAAGGATACAGAGAAGGCACCAGTAGTGATAGACACAGTGAGAAACACAAGAGTCGTGGACACAAGAAGAAGAAAAGCAAAAGGGAAGAGAAAGAGGAGAAGAAGAAGGAGAAGAAAAAGAAAAAGGGGGAGGGAGAGGATGAAATAGAGAAACTGAGGAGAGAGAGGAGGAAGAGGGAAGATGCAGAGAGGATGCGATCAGAGGCTGTAATTAGGGGGCTGCAGGGAGGCGGGGGCAACAGCTTGAGTCAACCAGAAGCAGTAGTCGAGAAGGGGTCTGGGAGGTAAGGAATCCTATGTATGTAGGTTGGCAGACCAGTTACTATGACCCTGTCTCTGATTTCAGGTACAACAGTCAGTTCAATCCTCATCTTGCAAGACAACACAAGTAGCTTTATATCACTTATACCATGACTTTCATGTGCTCAAATTTCTGAACTCTCATTTAGTCTAATGACATGCTCACAAACGAGATATCGTTCGGTGTTTGTTCAACAGACAGTAATAGATCCTTCTCGTTGACAGGCTTTCGAAGTCTCTGTCATCGTGCCTCCTACAAGAAAGGAAAAGGGTCACGCAATTGGATGTCTTCGTTTATAACCAGTTTTTCAGTGGGGGATATATACACTAGTGGTTGTGGTCAGCAAAAAGAACAAGAAGAGAAGCGTAAACTTCAGAGTCAATATTGAAGTGACCACAGTGGCATGGGGAAACAGGGCAGTGAAAATAGCTAGACAGTCAAACTGAGTGTTTTATAGACAGGGGGCGCCCCTAGTAATGAATGCAGATCTGCACAATGCTTTAAAGCTGATAATCTATCGGGCTATACCATCGGACAATACTGAAAGTGTGTTGTAGATAAGATGGTGAATATGCTGTAGCCAACAACAAAAGTGGGCGAAGAGTCCCGGGAGACCTCAACCTATAGGTACAATGACATCCACACTGCACAATACAGTGGTGACAGTACAAGACGACCGTCTGTTGCCAGTGCTCATAAACACACCACTCTGCGTTCATGCGTAAATTGTCTTGTATTTGCATGCATGACAGCTAGAGCTTTCCGGCTCCGAGTTGACAGCCACCTAGGTCCATGTGTAAATCTTACATTCGTCGTGGTGGTTCATAGTACCACCATTCATGAATACCTCGTACTTCATGGGCCAAACAATGCTGTCTGACCATGACGCACAGTGTGAGTGACGAGAATGCTAATTGCATAATCAAATTAAAATTGAATTTTTACACCTTATGCCACACAATGACGGCGATAAAGAGACACATAAGAGGAATCAATAGTGGACAGTAGTCATCAATTTGAAGTTTCCTGGGTAATCTGTGTCCCGTAGGACCCGAGAACAGGTGTCCCATTGGCTCGCGAGTACGGCACTGACAGGTCCTCCTGCCCGTCGATGTCCTCCGACCCCTCGTCACTGTGTCTCGACCATGACTGGCTCTTCAGTCGCAGCGAGCGCAGGAACGAGAGAGTTCTGTGAGGAAGCCGTTTGAGCGAGGCGAGCAGCTCCTCCCCGTCCTTGACCTGCTGGCGGATGAAGACGAGGGCCTCTTCCCGACCACTCTCAAAGAGAATGAGACGGGCGATGAGGTAGACTGGCATGCACAGGACAGACGTGAGGACAATGACACAGCCTACGAACTGGGCCCAGCTGGGGTAGTCCACTCTGGTTTCATTACCCTGGTACAAGGAGGAGGGAGGGAGGAGAAAAGGAGGATATATAGAAGAGAGAAAGTAAGGTGCACTTGTTGTGTATGATTGTTAAGAAGCTAACCCATTGCCACTGAACAAACTTTGCATGAATAGATAGAGCATCATACGGTACACCTTATACATGCACTGGTGGTGCAGTGGCCAGTGTCGTGGATGCATTACACGGTAGACAGTGGAACCCCTCTGACAATGACACTAATGGGGCGGAATAATTATTAGTGGAGCGTCCTTACTTCAATTGAAAGCAGTAGTCTTTATCGGGGAAAGGAAATGGTGTCTTTATTAGAGACACGTCCTCATATCAGGGAAAGGGTTCTACGCTATAACTGCGTATATAAAAACTCACATCAGAATAGGAAACATATTGCAGTGGGTTGACCAGCTCCGAGATCATGGCTCCAAAGAATATGACAATCATGACCAGTGGAGTCACATACTTCCACATGACGGTCCAGAATATCATCATTCGTGGAGTGACTCTCCTTGTGGTGACGTTGTTGAAGAAACTGTTGAAAGGGTAGACGAGGGTGGAGAGGGAGATAGAGAAATGGTCGTGAGGGAAATTGGCGGTGTGAAAATGGACAAAAACGTTCAGCTACACACAAAGTAATTGATCATGGGGTCTTGTCTTTGCTGATGCGCTGTCCTGCCATTTAGAAAATCATTTTAGGCAAGGCCATTATCTTCATTATGACGTATAAAGGCAGGTCGTATGGTTTGGCCATTACAGCACCCTCTTCAGTGAAATGCGTATATAAGAATGTAACTTTTGCCGGAGTTTCTTTTTTGCACTTTTACATACATCTCCGACGAGGCTAACACTAGTTACGCAATACCACGTAGGTAAAAATTTAGTCAAATGCCTTGTAGAATTTAAATTTCACAAACAGTGCCTGCCGGGCGCACGGCACAAAACTAAATTGATAGGTGAAAAGCTAATTATAGTTATACACAGCAATATTATATATCAGTCAGAGAGGTCCAGCAATATGCCAAACACGACAGTGTATCGTCGCAAGCAAAAGTCAACAAAAACAACAACAAACGTGTGGCTTACTTCTTGACCCCGATGACCCAGCCAATGGCGATGAACTCGAAGAAGCCGATGAGGAGGAGAGGGAAGGTGGCAGAGAACTGGTCCCACAGCTGGAACAGGTAGACTCCGTTGCCCAAGACAAACGGGAAACTCAGCAGAAACATGACCACGCAGATCATGGCTGTGTAGCACAACAACATGTAGTGCCGTCAAGGTAGCTGTACTACAGACGTCATGCTGTTTCTTTACATGAAAATCCCCATAGATGTCTCTCTTTACCTATCTTGTTGTGATATCACTAACACTGTGCACCACTGTTTCGCAAACTAGCATTGACGGTAAGTTTCCTGCCCACGACCTACAGCTGGCTGGCTGGCTGGCCCTACCCACAACTAGATCAACATTATATAAGACATTCACACACACTTTATTTCCCAATTCTAGCACCACTCCAGGGCAAGCTCTTTTGTGTTGTCCTAACAGGTGCCGTTGATATGAACTTAACATTATTTATCCACCATGGGCAGAACTCAGCTCTACACACGCAGTACAGACGTACCGACAAGCAGCTCCTTGCGGAGTTTCTTGAAGAAGCGTATGTCTCTCATGACGGTAATCAACCCCTCAACAGTGGCAAACTGGCTGTCCACTCCCAGTAACATGAGCATGATGAAGAACAGGACGGCCCAGAGAGGGGACAGTGGCATGTGGATAATGGCCTCCGTGAACACTACGAATGCGAGACCAGGACCGTCTGAGACCTGTGGGAGAGTGGGGAGAGAGTGAAAAGGAGTGAGAGGAAGACAGGAAGGAAATTGAAGCACTGACAGGTATGTACACAAGGAGCTGAGACTAACACAGGAGGACTTGCAAGAAGGCCAGTTCCAAGTGTATGGGGGGTGAGTGATGTACTCGTGGCAATGTATTAATTAGGGGATGATCCTCAACTGCAAGTGTGGATTCCCATGTTGATGCAAGTGATGGTTGGGGCAGGTAATGCATTTGAACCACACACTACAAGTATGTACACACGCATGCACGCACACACACACACACTGACCAATTCTTCATTCAGGTTAATGTTGGTCTGTTTGGCCTTGAACCCGATGATACTAAACACCACAATGGCGGAGAAGATGGAGGTGGCCGAGTTGATGAGGCAGACGATGAGGGAGTCTGTGAGGGCATTGTAGTGAGGCTTGGTGTAGCTGGATAGGGCAATGAGGGCTCCGGTGGCTACTCCGAGGGAGAAAAAGATCTGAGTGGACGCTTCCAGCCACACCTGCGGGCTGAACAACTTGGCCCACTGTAGGTGTGTGCGTGTGTGTGTGTGTGTGTGTGCGTTTGGTAAAGTATACATATGTACAGCAAAAGGTGTACTGTAGGTAAAACTGCAGCTGTGTGCGTGCGCATATCACAGCACTAGCTAGCAACTGCAACATCCACATGCTTCTTGTTCTTTTTTCTTTCAACATGTCAAAAGCAGGAGGGGGACAAAAGATACTGTAGGAAATTATAGTTCATAGCATACCAGCCATAGGTAGATGGACATATAACGGGGACTTACACACAATGGGAGAGAGCAAACAACAACATATGAAAATTGAGGGGGTCAGTGGAGAACCCTGCACATTAACGAAGGGGAGAACCCTGCAATAAAGACCTGGAAACCCTTGTCGGGGAGGAAGAGGAACCTGATACCATCTCCTGCTCCGTCCAGTGTGACAGCTCTGAAGAACAGACACATCAGAATGAGGTAGGGAAACGTGGCCGTGAAATAAACAATCTGCAGGAAAGAGAGGGAAGAGGGGGAGGAAGACATATGTACATCTTGAATCCAGTAAATACCAGTGAATCAACACAAAGGTAATACAGGGAAAGAAGCTCTCAGCACAAGTAATACATTGTTTACCAGGGCATGTGATCATGAGTGAGGTATGAGTAGTCAAGGTTTTAGCAAGGTAGCAATTCAAGAGTTAAAGGATAGTGGGGTGGGTTAAAAGACCCCTTAGCTTTCCTGCTAAGACCCTGGTTGCCTCAGCATCTTAGAGATTGCAGAGTGTTGTGGGTTTAAAACCCACCTAGGGCAGCTTGGACAAAGAGAGTTGTCCTGGGTGTAGGTTGCTTCATTGATGGCATGTATCTTAGGGGTGGTAGTGCATAAGTACTGTATACCTTTCCTGAGGACTCGATGCCCCTGAAGAGACAGACATAGATGAGCACCCAGGCAGCCATGAGGCACAGGAACATCTTCCAGTTGAAGACACCTGCGCTGGCTATGTCTGTGCTGGCCCCCACCGCACTAGTGTACCAGTAATACCTTCAGAGACAAGTCCAGAGAGAGAGTGAGAGAGAGAGTGTGTGTGTGTGTGGGAGGTGAGGTGAGGTTCTTGAATAACTGTCATCATGCATGACACAAGCAGTAGGCTTGAAAATAGAACTTGCTGCACAGAGTTCTCCAACACACAAACTGCGATGAAACATGCAGTGTGTGTAGCGGAGCCCACAACTAAGGATACACCCTCGAAATCAGGACGCTTCCCTATGAACCTTTTCTCCCCCCAAAAACGGTTTGTCGCATTCAATTTAACCCCTGAAACGAGGACGCCTCGCTAATACGGACACTAGTATTTTCGTGTCTTGAGTTGTTGCACCGTACACATGAGTAGCAAGCAACCAAACACATACTCTGTGGACTCATTGAAGCAGCTCTCCAGTTCGCCAACATTCCCAGTGTAGTTGACCAGTACGTCCGAGAGGTCCTTCTTGAGAACGTCGAATCCGTCACACTTGGCCCAGGGAAGGGGGCTCTGGAAGGACTTGAAGAAGTAGAAGATCACCCAGGCAATGATGACGTTGTAGTACAGGCAAATGTAGACTATGACGACCACGGAGGCGATTCCGACTCCGGTGAAGTTGGGGAGAAGCTTGTGCCAGGTGAGAACGGGGCCCTTTCGCAGGCTCTGCCCCAGGAGTAGCTCGAGGTAGAACAGGGGGATGCCCAGCAGGAACAGCATGACCAGGTAGGGGATCATGAAGGCACCTGCGTGTGGGTATTGGAGAGTGTTTTTTACGACGTGGTATTTTCTAGAGATAAATAAATGCATACCGTACAGCTATGCAGTGTGGAATGCTTGTGTTTATGTGTGTGGGGGATACATTCGCCTCATGAGTACACTAATCTCACATAAGCATTATAACGGTGCCTTAGTACACAGAATAGACACTACGAAGAATAAACATATTGGCACTTGTGGCTCAGGAATAGAGCATAGCACCCACTGTACAATATTTTATTTTGAGATGAACTACAAGGTCCTATACATTGAATGAGGACTTACTTCCTCCGTTTTTGGCGGTGAGGTAAGAGAACCGCCAGATGTTCCCCAGGCCGACAGCATACCCCACCAACGTCAGAATGAACTGGACCTTGTTGTCCCAGACCTCCCGCGCCTTCTTCTTCCCGTTCTTCCCTTCCTCGCCCTCCTCGCTGCTCTCGGGGGTCTCCGTAGGCTCCACCAACTGAAAATTGTCTATGTCGTCTTCTTCACCGCCTCCGTTCCCTTTGGGGCCCGCAGCCCCGCCATTCGAGTTGGGAGAGACGTCCCTGGCTCCGTACTCGTTCATGGTCTTGAGCTCGATTGACGTTGATTCCTCCGAATTATCCATGCCACCCGACAAGCGTAAACATGGAGTTCAGCAGTGCCAACAGCGCTAATCAGAATTGAAGGGCCTAATCCAGCAATCGGTCTTTGGCCACGCCTCTCTCTTGTGGCACAAAGAAGGCGTGGTCACCAAACGCGCGCATGCGCACCTCGTTTTTTGGGATGATGATGATGGACGACACTCTCTGCAGCTGTGGTCTGGTCATTGCCTAGGAAGTCAAGGATTACACTTATTCGGGCTGCTGTAGCAATGCCTGTGCACCACAGCAGTGTATTGGCGAGTCTGCCGGCTCTGACGATCTATCTGTTGCTGCTGTCGACCTCGACACGTGGTCAGTCCCCAATAGAACACGAGCCAGTGGAGCATCTGAAGGCCCACCTGCCCAAGAGAGGCGATGACATCAGCGGGAAACTGGAGCTCTTTCTTCAGGCCCCGCCCGAGGAGCTGAAACGCAAGACCGCCAAGATGAACGAGAACCTGAGGAAAGTCCTCAATGACGAAGCTCACGTGAGCGCCTTCCTCGTCAAAGGCTCGACTGTCCTGTCGCAGAGAGCGGCGGAGGGGATCCAGTTCAACTCCACCTTTCTTCTCCCGCACGCCGTCCTCCTGCCCATCCTGTCTACAACACTACCAATCCTTTTGGAGGGCTACAAGCCGGAACTACTCACAAATCCCATGGGAGATGTTCTGAGGGGAAAACACAGAGAACACAGCAGTGTTAAGGACTACCTCTCCTTCAGCTTGCACGACCTGACAACTAAACTACCGCAGAGTGGTAATTCAGTCGACCTAGACTCGCCCACCCTCCTCCCGGAGCTAAACAGACGGGGCAAGGCCGCCTTTTTCTATCTCACCACGGTCTTAGGTACTGTTGCAGAGGATGCTTGGAGAGACGCACTCATATCGGTAGCTATGGACTACTCCGTGTTCAGCGACAAGGGACAGATGCTCACACACTTGAAGGACGTGGCCAGATACGCAGAGGCCCTGGGCAGCGACATGGTCAACTTTTTTGAGGTCTCCAAGTCAGACTTACACCCGGTGGACGGCGGGCACTTTTTGTACGGGTGGTGGTTCAACTGTCCTCGAGGTGGCGGGAAAGCAAGTAGCAAGGAAGACAGATGTCTAGCTCCGTTTCTACCCTCTAATGCCATGGCCGTGTTGCACAACGTGATTCGGATGTACACGGTCCCTAGACTCAATCTCCATCTCTTGATTGCCAATTCCGACAAATCGTCAGGGGCTCCCCACACCCTTGTGGATGTGCTTGCACAGGACAGACTCATCTGGGATGCACTATACTCTGTAGTGGACCCTTCGACTGAGCAAAAGGACGACAAGAAGAAGTCAGCGGGAGAAAAGAAGGAAGAAGACAAGAGGGAAGAAGAGGACAAACGAAAAGATGGTAGGAAAGAGGCACCCGCCCAACCACCATTGAAGGCAGAAGAGAGCCAGAAACCAACACAACAAACATCTGAACCAGAAACTGCTACTGAGCAGACTAAAGTGAAGGAAGAAGAGAATTCTCCGCCGGAAGAGCCAGTGGAATCACAGACACAAGAGGAGCCATCAGAGGGAGCTGATGCACCGACCGAACCGCCACCAGAGGCGAATGAAACAGTGGAACCACAGACAGTTAAAGTAACTGAAGAGCCTCCAAAAATGACTACAGAAGACGAGCCAGAAAGACCAACCGAGCTGCCAGAAATGCCGGGAGAGAAAGACACACCAGCACAAGAAACACCTCAAGAACCAACCGTTGCTACTCCTGCCAACAAAAAGAAAACTGCGAAAGAGACGGTGACTAAAGCCACAGAGGATGAAGTAGTCGGAGAATCAACACCACCAAGAAAGAAACCTGCAGTTTCCTCAGCTGCAGCTGGCACCCAGTCACCGCCAGTCAAGAGAGAGGAAGACGAAGTCGTGGAGGAAGATACGGAGAAGGTGGACATGAAGAAGGAGGGGAGAAAGGAAGGAGACGTGAAGAAAAAGTCACTCCTGGTGTGGGCCATCTACAAGAGCTGGCCGGTTTTCGTGTTCCTGTTCTACACCATTCTGTCCCACATTTGGGTCTACTGGATTATGCACCTCGTCTGGTTGGTCTGCAGCACTCTGTTTAGTGGCATCTACCTCCCTCGACCCAAAACTGCCAAGGAAGACTAACCTGCTGTTACTAACCACATAATTCAAGTTCCCCAGCTATTTTATAGGCATTGCTATATCAATTTCTAGTGATTGATTTATCATAGTTGTTGTGAATATTATTATGAAAAGATGGTCATACATTGTGATGCAATGCAGTGTACATAATGATCCAGTTCACCTGGATAAACAGAGGAGAAAGTGTGTATATATAAAACAGGGAAAAGATGGGGAATTGCTGTATGAAGGAGGACTTTTGAGGGAGAACACTACTTACTTGGGCCATCAGCAAAATATTAAAGTTGTTGGCAGGGTTTAGTTAAGTATATAAGAAATTCAGAGAACTGACTAGAAAGAGGGCAAAAGAGGTCATGAAGCCTTCTTTGAGCAGCTCCCATATTCCTCCATACTCCTCTTCCTCCACTCTCTGGTAGAGGGCGCAGTAGCTGTACACCGCACCTCCATTGACTGCTAGAAAACTGCAGAAAGAGAATGCTGTCAGCGTACCCTCTCAATCAATGCCCGTGTTATTACAGGGTCATCCCCACGTAGCCTTGAAGAGGAATGATCCCCCAGACTAGTCCGAGAAGCAGACACAGTCCCTGTCGAAGCCAGTAGAGTGCGTCCAGAAACTCGTCCTGAGTGGGAAAGACATTTTAACCCCTACATCACTGCTATTGTGGGGGCTCCGTGGGCGTCGTGTGTGTTTCGCACTTTGTTGTTCCACTTTTGTCTCGGTCTCAGAGCCTTTATCCACGACGCCCTCTCTCTAGCAGCCGATTCCTTACCCACCGGCGGCATTTCCCTTTGAGCCTCTTTCCCTTCGGATCAGCGTGGAAATCGGGTTTAACCCGTTGACCGCGATTGAATAGTTGCTGATTCAGCACTGCGCGCGCACACACACTTACACACCATAACGTGACTATGGCAGAGTGTCCAGAAAACTCAGCAGAGAACGGAGAGAAAGAAGCCGCCGCGGCTCCAGGAATACCGGCCGGACTTGTGCTGGGCCAGTCCAAGTCCAAATCAGAGAGTTTTCAGGAGTTCGGGGACCTGGACCCCGAGACAGTAGGGGGCGGCCGACAAGAACGGAGTGTTTCTAGTGTGCAGAAGCTGTAGGTGCAAGGTGTTGAAACCAGGCTACGGAAAACTAGTGGACAAAGAGGTAAACAACGGTAGAGTTCCACTCTAAAGCAACTCCTCTACCCTGGCTTCTTAGCTTGGAATATAGACACGTTTACCTGTGCAGATATTCCTCCCGAGCATGACTGACAAGTACAACATTGGCTCGGAGCCGACAGGAGACACAATCACGCGTTTCTGGCTGGTGAGCGACATGTTTCACTTTGAGAACCTGGGTTTCTCCAAGACTGTGGATGGGAAGGTCAAGTACCTCATCTGTGCCGACTGCGAGAGGGGTCCCATTGGGTGGCACAGCCTGGACAACAGGACCGAGTACCTTATAGCTGCAGAGAGAGTACAGTATTGTTCCTCCTAGATTTTCTTGGCTTTGTACATAATTATTGCGCATGCGCATGTCGCAAAACGGGAGAAGTGCAGCTTCTATATGTGACCGTGCACGCAAAAACCAACCTTACGCCGCATTTTTGTGAAGTAGCGTTTTTTGTATCGTTGTAAAGCTTGAAATGTGCTTGATACACCGCTTATTTTTGTATATTTTTGGGGAAAACCCTTCAAAAGTTACGATTTTTCAAACGCGGGCCACGCGGGGTTATACAAAACGCGAAATAGTGGAATGAAATTTTTCCGTATTCTTGTCCGCGCACGAATATGACGTCACGTTACGGGATTTTTCCCGGGAAATTTTTAGCAACCAGAGAGATGCGGTATGAGCGAGCAGTTTGACAGCAGACGAACGCTTCTATCGGCCCTACCGGGCTGAATAGACTTCAGGCCGAACCTGTCGTGGCAGATCTTGGTGTAAGTGAGGTATTGCTTTGACTTTCTTTGCGTCAGCTGCATGTACCGTCGTGCTGTCACTCTTGTTAGACAGGTCGTTCGATCGTGTTTACCGTGAAAACTCCGGCCCGTGTGTGCTATGGATGCTGGTTCTAGATTCTAAACTAGACAGTTAACAGGCCAGCTTAGCCAGCTGCCGGCTCCCGTCTGTCTTGAGCCGTGCACACTAGGCTGTCGTATTTTTAAAGGCGGCAGCTTAGATGATCTACTCAGCAACCACTCCAAGTTCTTCAGGAACCTTTGTGCCCGTGTGCGGAGTAAAGGAAAGTGACTGGTAGTCGCTGCATCTTTGTTGCCTAGTTTCGCGGGGAAAAAGGGTGTGTACAAGATTTCCGTACACCCCCGCCGTGAGCGTCCGTGTCCGCTGCTCCGTTCACTGACTACCGCTACAGAGAAATAGCTTCATTTCTGGCGAGAAGGCGTCCTAGGAGGCAGGAAAGGTACCAGTAGGTAGCTCTGATGGGAAGCTTTACTTATAGGCAAAAAAGTGGTTTTGCTTATACCGGTTGGTGTAGGCGCTATATTCACGCGTACTCGAAAATTTAACATTGCGTCGTAAGGTTGGTTTTTGCGTGCACGGTCACATATAAGATTCCTTATTCGTATTGCGAGACTAGTTAGCTCAGAGGATGCTGTTTCTCCTTCGTCGAATCCCGACAGTGTCTGTACAGCGCACAGTCGCGGCAATTTTCCCGGCGCGCCTGAAAACTACGAAAGCTGCAGCGAGCGCAAACAGAATTGTGGATGCATCGAAAACCCGGCAGCTACTGGAGAGCAAGGAGGCCAGGTTTATTGACGTGCGAGCGCCGGAGAGTTACTCCGAGGGCCACATCCCGACGGCAGCGAACGTCCACACCTTCTTCACCTACCTGGCCACTAGCGACGACCGCGGCGTGCGAGACCTGACCGACACCTTCACGGAGGAGCGCCGCAACGCGGGAATCGACGGCAATGAGCACGTCGTAACGTACGAGAACTCTCTGAACACGCTCTACGGAGCAAGCTGCAGGGCTCTCTACATCCTGAGGCTGCTGGGCCACCCCAGAGTCTCCGTTCTAGGTGGGGGCTACGAAGGTTGGGTGCAGGACGGCCATCCTACCACAACGGAAACACAACACATCCCGAGAGGAAACTTCCGACCAAAATGGACCCTTCAATGTGGAAGGGAAAGGCTGAAGTTCTAGAAGCCCTCGGGAATTCTAACACAGTTCTCCTGGACGTGCGAGACTCTGTAGAATGGAAAGGAGAATCCTCAGTAGCAGAGGGTGTACCCTTCGTCACACCCAGGAAAGGCCGGCTGCCTGGAGCTACTCACATCCACTGGAAAGACTTCATGGAGACAGGCGAGTCGGGCCAGGTGAGGTTCAAGCGTCCGGAGGAGATTCGATCCATGTGTGAGACCAAGGGAGTCACACCGGACAAGGAGGTCATTGTCTACTGCCTGTCAGGAGTGAGAGCTTCCAACACTTACCTTGCTCTCAAGGAGTCTGGCTTTGAAAATGTTACTAATTACCTGGCGTCCTGGAACGAGTGGTCAAGAGACAGCAAGCTTGAGATTGACTCCAAACTTCTCCTATAGCATTAGTGAATTAGTTATTGTGAGCCACTTCAGTGAAGATTATGTTCAGGCCACCTTTCAGGAACTATAATAGGTATTACAGTTATCCGTGCATAACAAAAGAGCCCTGTATTGTACAATGTGCATGGATAACTGTAATACCAAGGACATAGCAAGCCTTCATAATAGATTTTTAACCCTCGGCGGCGCGCATGCGCAGCGTGGGTTGTACTTACACTACTACAGTACACTATGATGTCAGGCACTGTTCATTCGACGACCTCGGATGCTGTGCAAAGGTATGGTTTGTCCGTCCGTCTGTTACCACGTTTTATGCCACCACGCGCGACAAACAGGTAAAATAGCGACACCAACGGGTTCAGCGCTACACTGGCTTCATTGTAAAAAGTGCCGCGTTCAGAAGTTATGGCATGAAAACCAAGTGAACAAGCCAATATGCAAATTAGCACAGGCTTACCTCGACTGGGTCCGCTTGCTCTGTGTACCTTGGAGGCACAAGAAGTCACAACGAAGGGCGTGTATCGACTCCCGCATGCTATCTATATACTACTGTAGCTAGCCCGTGCGAGTAAAAACGATAGCCCAGCCCATCAATTAGCGGTACCGCGCATGCGCAGTTCGCCGAGATTTTGGCACTTTAGTGCTGTTTACACTGTTCCCATTCAAAGTGTCAGGTGGTCCAGAGCATTGGCTGGGAACAGCTCTGGTTCCTCCCCTTACCCACAAAATCTACCACTGACCCACATTTCTCAAAGGGCAGCGTATAGTTCGGCATTGCACTGCGTCCGTAGACGTCTGTCTGGAGAGATGAAGGGCTTCACTAAACAATCCACGGTAATATGAAAATTAATAGAGAGATGAAAGGTTGGCAATTTTTCAACCTTATATATATTTTTGGCCTCAAACAGAAATTGTTTCAACCTAATCCATGGAAATGGTGCATAACATGCTGTTCTTTTTGGTGCATGGTGAAGACCATCAATTGTGGTGGTGCCACACTTGTGTATGGGTTCCACATTTCTATATAGTGTGCTGAGGGTTTGCACTTTAATTAGAAATGCATTACAAATGTACACAAATTGCACAATATGGCCAAAGTCCATTTAATCCAAGAGTGTGTATATATAGCATGCCTAGTGGGAGTGGGGGCTACGTTGCCATGCTCGTTGCTGGTTCACTGGGCTCCTCTCGGCTCGTGCTCTGAGGCTGTTTCTGCATGCAGCTCTTGGCCACCGACTCAAACAACCTGCCGTGAGGAAGACAGGGCTCTCGTGAAGTGATCACTTGCTAAATAACTTATACTGACCCTCACAGTTCTTGCTTGACTTACAAAACACGTCTATTACACATGAGATTATACATGCAGACGTTTGCAATCATGAACATACAGCGCAAATATTCAGATACATTTACCAGTAATTTTACTCCTAAACATAACCAGTCCTTATTCTTAGCCACAAAATTTTCTTTCTGCAAATCTTCTTTCAAAACTGCTATATACTACACAGACTTTTATTAGCGCTTTGCACTAATTTTGCATTAATACTCTTATGCACCAACAACATCAATGTATTTCCGTTAAGTAAGAAAGCAAGTATGGATTTACTGTGTCAGTTAGCATACTTTTCAATCTCGGGGGCACAGTGGACAAACTCGTGTTTCCAGAAGTTGTAGGAAGTGTTTTTGATGAGCTCTATGAAAGTGATGAGGAGCCCCCAGGGATGAGGTCTGTTTACTATCAGTCTCTCCAGTAGCACTCTGTGCAGGGGTCATTGATTACAGCACACAGTAACTGTAGTACAGTGAAAGCCTTAAATGTCAAAGACTTATTCCAAGTTGATCACCAAAATAAGCATGCTGTAAAAAACTTTCACAACAAAAAATCTCGCAATTTCAGACAACCATGAAAGTGAATAGAATACCAACTGACCATGTTTGTGAAAAGAAGTGTGGTTTTTAGAGCAATAGCAATATTAGGAGTAATGTTTAATACCTAGTAATCTGTTCCTGGATGGCCTCAGCATTGGTCTCGGCAAATAGGGAGAGCAGAGTGCAGGAGAAATAGTGGGTGTGGCTGTTTGGGTACCTCAGCTGGTTGGCTATGGCATTCAGGAACAAGTAGCGACCTGGACACATGGCCATGAGCAAATCTTGAGTCAAAAAAGCTCTCTCCATCCAGAGGACTTTCTGTCCTCTGTTCTGAGATTTTTCTTAACTTGGAACAATTATACCCCTTGGAAAGTGGGTCATTGAATTCTCACCATCAAAAGTTGCCACACTTTTATTGCCATAAATTACTTATCCAGTGATAAGGGCACACAGTAACTGTCTTAAATACAGGGGCCACCCATTCCCTCCCTCTCTCTCTCTCTCTCTCTCACCTTCAGTGTCGAGATCCACCACGAGGTGTTGGAAGATGTCCATGTGTGCGGTGTGGGCGATGGTACTGGTGGAAGAGGAGGAGCCCTTGCTGTGGATGTAGGTGATGGCCTGTGTCCCCACGTACAGAACCAGGGAGTTCATCAGAGTGATGTTGTACTGGTTACCAGGCTCTGTTGATACCTGCACACACAACATGTAGGGTAACACAGAGTTGCCTGCCTTCTGGTGGATGAAATACAGTATATGCCCAACCCCGAGGGGAAAAGAACTTTGTTTGGGTTATGCAGGCTCATGATGAGTTAGAAAATGGTCTACTGAGTCTTGTAGCTAAGACAGACCTGGAGATGGCCCCTCAGTTCAGAGAGGAAAGACACTGGAGCTCTTGTTCTGATGTAGTTGTCCAGATCCTAAAAGGAAAAAAGCAAAATCTTGGCGCACTAGAAATGTCGAACCCATACACATCAGCAGTACCGTTCGTTGCTGTGGTTGTCGATTTTCTCGATCCGTTCTCTTGCTAGTCTAGCTAGTACTTACACCATCGCCGCGCATGCTTCTTACACATGCAAAAAACAAAATTGGCCATGCATTAAAATATATATCTGCGTGTTTTCATCTTATGAATTATTATAGGAATTCTAAGGTGAAAAAATCGTAATGGACAATCCTAAAGAGTTACATATGTTGAGACGTTTGTTACACATGCAAAAAAACAATACTGGCCATGCAATATAACCACATATTTGAGTGAATCATGTGAGCTATCTTCTATGGAGAAAGTCATCAGTCAAGATTAGTTGGGTACCTATGTATACCTTCTTGAGGTTGGGAGGGATGTTCTGAGTATAGTTGGGGAGGATTCTGGGGGCATGGGCAATGTCAGGCAACATCTCCACCTGCAACACCACACATACAACATTGAACAGCACACGCTTATCGAAAGGAGGGCTAAAATGGAAATACAACACAGTTTTAGGTATAGTATGCATACACCGCAATGAGAGAACTAGAGAGGTTTGAAAGAGAGACCTTGAGGTTGGGTGTGAAGGGGTCGGGTAGCCGCATGTTGCGCGGGAAGGCACTCAGGATGAGATTCCTCATCTGGATGCAGTTGGGAGGAATGACGTCGCAGAACGAGTAGTGGTAGTCACAGAGAAACTCTGGGAAGTCGTGGAGGAGCACTAGCAACACACGCAGGGTGCCCTGTACACAGTGAGACAGCCATAGAGGCAAGGCAAGAACAGACATAGAACTGAGTGGTGGAGTATGCATACGTACATACCTTGTACAGGAGCTGGGTCGGTTTGGTCAGTTCAGCGTTGCGGAGGAAAGGAGCAAGGAACTTGAACAGGTCAATCAACAACTGATGAAACAGGGGCCACCCCTAAAATAGAGAAAATAGTCTGCCTCGGTATACTCTCAATGTCATCACCAAACAATGGTTCCATGAAGTAATACTCGTATTTCCACAAACGGTAGACGACTTGTAAGAGTGAATACATGATGATAACAGTGGCAACCTTCTGCTGAGGAGTCTGTAGAAGAAGCTTGGCGATAAAGATGCGATGTGAGATGAGCTCCAGCCAGGAGTAGGCAAAGCCCGGGGCACGACTTGGCCTCACAATATGGTAGACATGACTGCAACAACACACACACAACATAGGTAAAATCTGAATATGCTCCTTCATTTCAAATGACTGAGTAATTGCGGGGGAAATGCAGTCTAGGTGAATGCAAGTCAATTTTATGCACGACTACTAAGTACCAGGTTTTGCATTGTAGATGTGGCATTGCTTGAGTGGTGGGTGTGGCTTACCCAAAGGCGTGCAGTATTGCATAACTGATGGCGTCAAAAACAGGGTCAGGTACACTCAGGTCACTCAGTAGCATGATGAAGAACCTACACGTGGACATAATACCAGCAAACCACAGTTGCCATAAATGGACCATCAGTAAACAGGCCATGAGGATCTAGTGACCTGCAAGCAGTGTTACCTGTGGTAGGCCAGTTGGTGGAAGTCAGTTCCTTTATTCTCCTGGTCATGTAGGAGAACATGGGCTACTGTAGCCAACACCTGCACACACAGACACACAGTATTACTGTAGTTGAATTCTTTTGTGAGCTGGAGCAACCCAACTGCTATTGGTTAGCATTTGCACAGAGTATTATGGCTATAAACAAAAAGCGTGTTTTAGAGATGTACAGAATTCTGTATGTAGCATAAATTGTGGGACGAACAGTTCAAAGTGAAACACTATTTTCCCCTGAACTTTTGTTGCTGCGAAATAAGGCTGGCAGGTGGCAAACCTTGTTGAGGAGGTTGATCTTGGTGTTGGTGGTGTTGATGGCGTCCCCAGAATACCGGACCAGCACCACTACCAACTTCATGAAGGCATCCATTGTATGGTAGCACTTTGCCCGTGCCATAGTTGGTGTGATAGCCTAGAGAGAGGGAGGGAGAGAGGAGGTAGTGAGGAATGGAGCAAGAGAGAAGGAAGGGATGAGTGTGAAAGAGGAAGGAAGAGAGGGAGGGAGAGAGGAGAGAAGGGAAAATAATAAGTTAAAGAGAGTGGGAGGGAGGCGAGAAACGAAAGACGTGAGGGGAGAGGGAGAGAGAGAGAAGCAGGTAGAATGGAAAGAGAAAGAGAAAGAGAGTGAGGGCTTCTAGTGTTGAGAGCAGCAGCTCACAGGGTCACTGAGGGTGCGGTAGCAGAGGTCCACACACATCTCTACACTGATTCTGAAGAATCTCGTGATGAGGTCGTCACTCTTCAGAATGCCTTGCTGCTGTAGCTGCAGTGTAATTTACACGGCCAGAGATGAACTGGCAGTAGCATTATACTGTACAGAAACCAAACTGTTTTGAGGATGTGTATAAGCAAAGTAAATACTAGGTATATACCAATGAAAGGCAGTAAGGTACGAAATTGGGCGTGAACTGTTCGTAATTTTAGCAAGAAGGCAAGGAGTAGGACAGGAAAACAAATTATCCTGACTCCTTTGTCGTAGACTTGAGAGTGCAGTCCGAATATCTCTCAGGAAAAAAGTGGCCTAACGTTTAGCAAAATGAGCGGGAAAAGACAGGTCACACACAATCCTGATTTTAGCTACATAGTGCAAAAGGCTTAAATTTCTCGTACTTTTAGCAAGAAGGTGGGGGAAAGGACTGGCCAACCAAGCATCCTGGATACCTAATCATCACCAGAGAGTGCAGTGCTGCTCACAACATAACCACACGGCACTGCTATACAAAGCAAGATTCATTCAAAATGAGCAGGAAAAGACAGGTCACCCACCTTCCTGATTGTAGCTATAAAGCGCAAAAGGCCTAAATTTCTCGTACTTTTAGCAAGAAGGTGGGGGAAAGGACTGGCCAACCAACTATTCAGCAACCTTTGGCTATACCTGAAGAATGCATGATGTGGAAAATACTTTTAGCAAGAAGGTGGGGGAAAGGACAGGCCAACCAACTATTCAGCAACCTTTGGCTATACCTGAAGAATGCAGTGCTGTGGAAAATAGGACCTAAACTTTTCGTACTTTTAGCAAGAAGGTGGGGGAAAGGACAGGCCAACCAACTATTCAGCAACCTTTGGCTATACCTGAAGAATGCATGATGTGGAAAATAGGACCTAAACGTTTCGTACTTTTAGCAAGAAGGTGGGGGAAAGGACTGGCCAACCAACTACTCAGCAACCTTTGGCTATAAATGAAGAATGCAGTGCTGTGGAAAATAGGACCTAAACGTTCGTACTTTTAGCAAGAAGGTGGGGGAAAGAACTGGCCAACCAACCATCCCGAATACCTAAATCATCACCAGAGAGTGCAGTGCAATTCAGAAGATAACCATACGGTAGTGGTATACAAAGCTGTATATGTACCACAAGCCACATGCATGTGTGCATGTCGAGGAGGTATATAGTGGTTACAAATGACCACAGGCTGCAGGAGAGACTTACCCTGGCCACATACACAGCATAGACCTTGTCTCCGTCTTTCAGTAGACCAGGCTGATGGAATTTTCTCACCCACTCTGACAACAAATACTCCACCTACGTATACGTATGTATGTATACACAACACACATACAAAAGGTGAACAATTTACCCCTAAGCAAGAAAATGGGATGATATTGCTCAAACGGATCAAAATCAATGACACTCTTAGGAGCAGGGGTTCTAATCATTTGGACAATGCACGTAATGTGGTTTGTGCATGCATTAAACTGAAAGTGCATGTACATGTAGCAGAAAGAAACATACAGCCATTTGTCTAATTAAACCTGGAGAGAACCCAGTGGTGGCAAACACCTATTGTGGGTTTTGATTTCAACTATGAGACTAATACAGTACGTACCATGGAAAAGTAAACGGAACGGAAGTATTATGCTAAGCATTTTATTTTACAAACAGGCGAAAGGAAAGAAAAGACAAAATGTTTACTTTTCCATGGGGTCTGTCTACCTTCTCATAAAGGCCAGGAGGGTCCTCCAGTTCAGTGGTGGCACCCAACACCCCTTGAGTCATGATTGAGGGGGTAGCCCCTTGGACTCGTTCCAATTCCGGCATGGCTCCGGAGCCTGACATGGCCCGTCCCACCGCTCCAATACCGTGCTCCAGCTTGAATGGCTCCAGTAGCTGTGCAGAACTGGTGGCCAGAGAAACATTACAGTACAGAGAGTTCTTTGAAACTCAATGTTCCCCCACAAAGGTTTAATACGCGGGGGAAGTGGTGCACAGGCATCTCAACCCAGATTTAGTATATAGTATATAGTACGTACAAAAATCACTTACAAAATACGAAAATCTTAGAGAGAACGTGGCAGTATGTATGGTCCAAACATGGAATTGTAGTGATTATCTAAATCCCATATTCTGCAACATTCCCTTTAATGCCCGGGACACCCCATCCGTAAAAGTCCCAACATAATAACGTACAAGTCCCAACACACACACACAAAAATCTCTTTGCAAACATGTGTACGTGAAGTGGTAGCTAGTAGGGAACGGTAAGGGTTACAGATACGTACGTACGAACCTGTCTGGAAGCTGTCTCAAGTTGGTAGAGAGACGGAACAGTGCCTCTTTGGTCTTCAGTAGCTCCTTCTGCTCACCAACACCACCACACACAGCCACACATACAACACAGTAAACCAGAGGTAAACATACTGTTGTAATAGCGAAAAATACTTGTCCCCACTAAAATTTCATTTGTACACCGGCTGACTCTACACTCGTGAAACTCATTTTCGCAAACATTATGAGATTCAAAAGTCGTAAAAGTATTTGGAATACGGTAGCTCGCGTGAGTAACACAACAACGCAGTAACACGCACGAGGACACCAGAGCAAGACAGAGGACCTGCTAGTTGGTGTGAGAGGCTCACGTCAGTAATGGGCGTCTCTCTCTTCTCCGCCGACACTATGGCGTTGACCAGCTTGATGCTGCAGCTGAGGGCCACCAGGTTCCGCCCGTTCTCTATCGACTGTTAGGGAGAGAGCAAGAGATTCGGGACGATTTTGAGGAACAGTAAAATAACAAGGACAACAGGCAGTTTTACAACAGAATGTACAATATCACTGTAACCACCTAAAAAATACATGTATGTTCAACATGTACGTATCTTAACACAAATGTTACAAAAAATAAAAACAAAAATTAAAAACGCGGTATGTATGTAAATGTATGGTGGAACCTTGGCCAGGTACTCGTCGAGCTGTTTGATGTCAATGATCTGGAGGCCGATGAGGAGGATGATGGCTCTGGGGCTGAACTTGATGTCCTCTCGTGTCCCTATGAGGATCCTGGTCACGTGCTGCTGGGCCGCCTCTGCCCCCAGCCCACTCCCTCCCTGACACCATCATCATCACAACCACAGCAGAGAGAGAGAGTGACAACATTACACGCTGAGATTTTGTCGGTGAATTTTGAACAATTTTTGCATGCTTGCAAGTATCTCCTTACTATGCTCCTCCTGCACACTTGTTGCATACACATATGCAGTACCAAGTCAATAGGTACTGGTACTATGCACCCAATTGGGAGAAACTTTTGAGGGAGGAATTTGCAAGTTTCAGAGAGCATTTTCTCTGCAAATATTTTGGGCGGAATACAATTAAAATGGTAGAACAAGCTGTAAATTCCCCCCCCCCCAAATCACTAAGTTTTCTCCCTCAAATGTTCCCACTATTCAGTACATGTGTGTGAGGATGTGTGTAGGTTGCTAGGTATTGTACCTGTATCATCTTGAGTATGAGGAGGTGACAGTCTCTGAAGCTGACAAAGAGCTCGGGGTCACTGGGAGGCGGGTTCATTCCCTCCAACAGACCTTCCAGACTCTGTCGAAACAAGACAAGACTCACTCACTCACTGCCTCTGACCCTCCACACTGACACACGTTAACACTGGTGACTATACTAGAGGGATGCAACGCATTGTTGGCGGGCGAGCGCGAGCAGTTCAATATTTCGCGCGTGTTTTGCGCGCATTTAGAATGACGTACAACATTACGGTATGTGCAGTACCCGCCAGAGCCGTCACATATAATAAATCGTATGTAAAAATTCCCGCATTGAAACGACTAGGTAGGCCTGCTTCCCTCGCCAATTAATCTTCTCTCTTATGCTTACCTTAGCAAGAATATTATTACTAGCTGCTCAACAGACTACTGAACATCCCGGGCATTCTATGTGTTGTAATACAACGAAAGCAATGGTTGTATTGGAGAGCAAATGCGAACGTTTTATGCGAGATAAGTTACGGTATGTGACAGCGTGGCGTGTAGCAAATCGAACCTCTAGGTAGACTTATTCCGCAAGATGATAGATGGCGGCTGAATGTGGATATATCTGCGTGTAATGTACGCATGGCATGCACAAAAATTGAAGTACTCGCTTTGCTTGCAAAAATGCATTCCATCTGTTCTAGTCAAATCTCTATTCAATATTTTTTTATATGCAATAGAAGATGATGAGCATATAGATACCTTCTGCAGGAGCATGACAACGTTGGCGTAGTTGGGAGCGATCCTGAGTTGCATGGTGATCTCCAGCAGGGATCTCATCATGGAGATGTGGGGGTTGTTGGGAGGGGCCAGGGCCACTCTCAGGTGCTGGCTGATCTCCCCGGCACACTTGAGGAGTATCTGGTTGAACTCTTCATTGGGAAGGAACTGTGGGGGGAGGAGGTATAAACCTGCATACAGCTGACTAACTATTATGAGCTGGGTTCAGAATACATTAGGATAGTTACCCAAAAATTGTGTTTCTCGGATTTTACCGCTACATTGCAATTTTAAATGACGTTTAGCCCCAAAGGGGTTAGACGAGGTTAACACAATGGGCGTGCGTGCAGCCGGCCGCGGCATTTGGTGAGATCTGGGGAGTGCGCATGCGCGGCGCACTGCGCGCGCGCGGAAACATTGGCGCACAGTTCGATTCGCCATTTAGGAAGGGGCCCATAGCAACGTCGCCAGTTGCTCCACTTGCTCGCTGTTGCTCGGTTTAAGAGGGTCGCGGGTGGCTTTAATCATTTAGAGTTAGCTACGCAGCGGGCGTGGCGTTGCAGCGGGGGAGCCTTCCTCATGGCGGCTGGTTACTGGCAGCATTAGCAGCAGCGTGGCGTGCTTGGTCGGTAGCGGGGCAGCAGCAACGGCCGTAGCTTAGCCGGCTTCTGCGGCGGCGGGGTAGCAGCAGCAGCAGTGTCCGCAGCGGCGGGTCAGCAGCACCAGCAGCAGCAGCGGGTGCAGCAGCATCACCAGCAGCAGCGGGTGCAGCAGCACCACCAGCAGCAGCAGTAGCGACTGCAAAGGCGGCAGCGGCAGCAGTAGCAGCGATATGCGTATTTAAATATTATACGAGCCACCATTGCGCCCTCCCTTGATATCGAGGGTGTGTGTTTCTCTCTTTCGGCGTATCGCCTAACCAGCGTTGTTTGCTGTCATTCTGTGCAGCTACAGCTACGGGCCTGTCGTCAGGGGCGCTGGGGGCGATGCCGTCGACTATTCCGGCCCTGCCCGTAGTTGCGGCGTCTCTGCCATCTGTAACCTCGGTGCCGCCTACACCAGTCTCTTCAGCGACTGTGGTGGCGCCTCTGACGCCAGGAGGTTCGGATGTAGCGCTAGCGTGGGCCTCTTTGGTCAGCGCCATGTCTGGCAACCCGACCACGCCGCTGAAGTCGGGTAGCGAGCGCGTTGCAATTGGGAACGGGCTTCCTACCATTCCAAAGAGCCTCGTTGAGAAGATCCAGAAATGGGAGTACGTGGATCTGGCTGATCTACTCCCGGCCCAGTCTCTCCACGACCAGATGACTAACTCAAGGGTGAGATTCGCGCTATTCCCCGGCTGCGAACTGGTTCGGTCCAAGCGACGACAAATCGAATCTATCACGGAGTGGGTGAAGGCGTTCACCGTGTTTACGGCAGTCGTCGCCATGAAGGAACCGGCGCTAGTCTCCGAGCTGTTGGCGTATCAACTAACGATAATCAAGGCGGCTCAGTCCTACGACGGCCTGCAGTGGCGGGCCTACGACACTCACTTTCGGGTGGCGGCGGCGGCGACCGGCAATAGGTCCTGGTCTAAACTCGACGTGGACCTTTACACCCGGTTTTTCACCGGGAGAGCGAAGATGGTAGTGTGCTGCTCTCTGTGCGACAGCTCTCAGCACACGGCAGCGAACTGTCCAGTAGCGGCCCGACGGAAGGAGGGCGTGACGCCTGCTTCAGCTCTTCCCGCCAAACGGCGTCGTTCGTGGAGCCCTGACGTGTGCCAGCTTTTCAATACTTCGTCGTGCTCGTTCGGGCTGCGATGCAAATTCAAACACACTTGCGGGGAGTGCGGCGGTTCTCACTCGGCCAAGGCGTGCTCCTTTACCCCCAAGTCAGCAGGGGGGCAGTGATCTCTACATCGCGGCTCCAAGATCGGACGAACTCTAGCCTGTGCTAGATAAGAATTATACTCTGCAGTGCTCGTATTCACTTGTGTCACTCGTGTATAAGTGCATGTATTTATCCAAGTATGTATATACCGCAGTCCTGCTTCTTACGTTTACCCTCTCTCACCCATTATTATGTCCTTACGGTCATGGTCACGGTATATCGGTGGCGCGTGCGTTCCAACGTCTTCCACCTCCGGGTGTGACAGTCGTTATGGCGCTGGCCTATAATCCCCCCTTTTCCGTTCCTTTCTAGGTTCCCTTTGCCCCCAGCTGAGAGCACTGGCGGCTCGCAAGTCTAACCTCCCTCAGGGTGCCTCACTCACTATCGCGTATTGTGACTCCACTGGACTGGCGGGCGTGGCAGCAAGCGTTGCTCCTCCATCCAGATCGGGAATTTGCTGAGCTAATAGTGGCGGGTGTGAGGGACGGCGTTCGTATCGGGTACAACTACGACCGTCTTCCTCTGGCACGTTCAGCGGCTCGGAACATGGCATCGGCTGGCGAGCACGCCGAGGTAGTCTCGCAATATTTGGCGGAGGAATGCCGCAAAGGACGCGTGCTGGGGCCTTTCCTGCATCCCCCAGTGCCGTCTCTGGTTGTTAGCCGCTTCGGGGTCATTCCTAAGCGGGGTCAGGCGAATAAGTGGCGTCTTATCGTCGACTTATCTTCCCCCGAGGGCGGCAGCGTCAACGATGGGATTAGCCCCGAAGAGTGCTCGCTGACGTACATTTCGGTCGACAACATTGCGGAGTGTGTCGGGGCACTCGGCCGCGGCGCACTACTAGCCAAGAGCGATGTGAAGCAGGCCTACAGACAGGTCCCGGTGCACCCCGAAGACCGCGCGCTGCTCGGAATGCTCTGGCGAGGGCGGTATTTTGTGGACGCGACTCTCCCGTTCGGCTTACGATCGGCCCCTCTAATCTTCTCCGCCCTGGCCGACGCGTTGGAATGGGTGGTTCGGCAGGCTGGGGTGCGCCACATTTTTCACTACGTTGACGACTTTGTTATCGTCGGCCCTCCAGCTTCCCCCCAGTGCGAGTTCGGTCTGCTAACGCTGAGACAGGCGTCCCAGAACCTCGGCTTGAGGCTGGCCGAGGATAAAACAGAAGGCCCGTCGACACGTCTCACCGTCCTCGGTATCGAGGTGGACTCAATGGCCATGACTTTGCGCCTCCCCGAGGAAAAATTGGTAAAACTCCGCGCTCTTCTCGCTGAGTGGCAGGGGCGAAAATCCGGCATGAGGAGGGACCTGGAATCGCTAGTCGGCCAACTACAGCACGCGTGCAAGGTGGTGCGCCCTGGAAGATGCTTCCTACGCCGCATCTATGACCTGCTAATGCAAACGAGCCACTTCCAAAAGCATTTCCATGTGCGGCTAAACGCTCAGTGTCAAGCGGACATTGAGTGGTGGTCGGTGTTCTGTCATTGTTGGAACGGCGTATCCATTTTGCGCCAGTGCCGGACTCTGCAAGCGGACGTTCACCTTCACTCCGACGCGTCGGGGTCATGGGGGTGCGGAGCCTTTTGGAATAGCATGTGGTTTCAAGTGGCGTGGCAAGGTCTTCCCATAGCGTCTGCGACCATCGCTCCAAAGGAGTTGTTTCCCATTTTGGTGGCGTGCGCGGTGTGGGGCCCCCTCTGGAGAGGGCGCACCGTTTGTGCTCACTGCGACAACGGGGCGGTGGTGGAGGTAATCAACAGAGGGAGGGCGAAGGAGCCGTTAATGTGCCACCAGCTTCGCGCTCTCTTCTTCATCAGTGCGTTCTACGACTTCGAAGTCATCGCGCGGCACACACCGGGTCGGGCTAATGGTCCGGCGGACGCACTGTCCCGCGATGACCTTGGCTCCTTCCGTATACAGGTTCCGGCGGCGCTCCCCTACGCAACGGCAGTCCCGGTGTCTCTCAAGTTGGGCCTCAGCAGAGCGCAACCGTTCTGGAGAACGCAAGATTGGACAGATTGGTTTTACAATTCCTCGAGTCGGCCCTATCCCCAGCAACACTGAGAACCTACCGCTCGGCTCAATCTCGGTACTTACACTTCTGCTCAACTATGAACATTAACCCATTACCCATTGATCAATATCGTGTGTGCCAGTTTGTAGCTATGTTGGCGGCGGAACAAGTGTCACACTCCTCAATTAAGGGCTACCTTTCGGCCCTCCGTCATTTGCAGATCTATCGCTTGGGCTATGACCCTAATATCGGCGATATGGCTGGATTGCATTCCGTGTTGCAAGGCATAAAGAGGTCGCAAGCAATCTCGGGTCGGGGCAGCTCGACACGGACCCGCTTGCCCGTAACCGCGAGCATAATGAGATCGCTAAAGCATTGCTGGGAAGCGGGCGGCGCGTCGTTCGACAAGGCGATGCTGTGGGCAACAGCGTGTGCCTGCTTCTTCGGCTTCCTGCGGTCTGGGGAAGCAACCGTCCCATCCTCTTCAGCGTACGATCCGGCGGTGCATCTCTCGATCACAGACGTATCCATCGACTCCGGCACCGCACCAACGAAGGTGCTGCTGAACATTAAGGCCTCGAAGACTGATCCCTTTCGCAAAGGGGTTACGGTGTGCCTCGGGAGAACCAACCGGGATATATGTCCGGTAGCGGCCATCATCAGCTACATCGCGACACGCGGCCTATCTCCCGGCCCGCTGTTTCGTTTCGAAGACGGGACGCCACTGACACGTCCCAGGCTGGTGCGGGAGCTCCGGGCGGCGCTGAGCTCGGAGGGCATCGACGCGTCCAAGTACGCAGGCCACAGTTTCAGAATTGGGGCAGCAACGACGGCGGCGGCCGTCGGCGTAGAAGACTCGCTAATAAAGATTCTGGGACGGTGGCAGAGCGCAGCGTACTCCCAGTACGTTCGGATCCCACCCGACGACCTTGCTGACATCTCTGCCAGACTGGTTTCCCGCTAGGCCCGCTGCCACCTGACGCCGTATAGTATCAGGATATACATACCAGCAATAGCAGATATACCGGCTAAGTTACTCATGTCGTCGGTGCGTCAAGTTTGTTCTACATAACTTACTATGTACTATTCGTGCTTGGAGGGAGGTGCGGAGTCCGCACCTCCTATGGAAGATGTATTTCGTGGCACAAAAATTACTATCCTCCAAGCACGTACTGGAATAGCAGTCGATTCCGCCGATTCGAGGAAACTACGCGGATTTAGAAAGCCGCGGGCCCGCGGGCTGTAGCTGTCCGAGCGCTAGCGAGGACGCTACTAGAGGGCCCGTTAGCCAAGCCCCACCCACCTATCCCTCGTAGGGATAGTATCGGTTCTCCACCAGCTTGGGTGGTGTGAAAGAGCTCAGGGTCAAGTGCTGGAAGATGTATTTCGTGGCACAAAAATTACTATCCTCCAAGCACATACCGGAATAGCAGTCGATTCCGTTAAGGGACGTATGCGCACTGCAAGCGGTTGCGTGTGGACGTGATGCGCATGCGTATATTGCAGCAGTGCCCGTCGCGAGAATGCGCATGCGCATAGCGCGGCCAAGCCCCACGCGATTGTGCGCATGCGCGGAACTGCTGTCGCCGCCCCTAGCCGCGCCCCTCGTCGGAGTTCTACCGACAGGGGGGCGCGGCCTCGCACGCCCTGAGACTCACCTTCCAAGAACGCAACGCAAGCTTCTAGAGACAGCGCCCAGATGTGTTAAATTGCGGATGCACAGATTGTGCATGTAGAGTGGGCTATAAATAGAATTTTTTGGGCGAGTGAGAGCTGCATGGAAAAAAATTTGCAATTTGGAATTATGCCCTTTGCAGCTGTAAATGCCCACTGGAGGGTAAAATGTAATCACAGTATAAATTTTAACGGTTCGAGAAATTAAGTGAACTGAATAAAATGCGCCCATGTCTCTCAAACAGCAAGTGTGTTATATACTACGATATCTGCTCACCTTGCCGGCAGACAGGGCAGAGGTGGAGGAGGAGGAGGAGGAAGAGGGAGAGGTGGAGGGAAGGAAGCCTGGCAGGCAACGAGCAAACTCCTCGTAGACTGCAGCTTGCTGCTGGGATGGACCGCCAACCTACACACATTACAACAACACATGAAATGGACTATCATAGGATTTAGTTCTTGAAACACATTACACAACTGACAGCAAAATCATTACCATTCTACACTTGTGGGAATGGTATGGTAGAACGTTTAGGCTGGCAGAAATCAAAAGCAGGAAGATCAGTACATGGAACTCTTTAAAAGCAGAAATTGGCTATACGACAGCATTAGGCTTTACTAAAGCCCATATCACACGTTAGTGGAGGAGGAGCTGCTGTGGCTTCCATAGAGGAGAGACAGAGATGGGCCTGTACAGGGAGCTCTGCCAAAGAGGAGAGACCGATGTGAGACTCACGTTGACTCGTATCTGTTCAGGCATCCTCTCTGCCTGGTAGGTGAGAGCTGTGGCATTACAGTAGCGACGACCTTCGGCACGAGCCAACTTCCGCACCTCGAACTCCTGCACAGACAGGCAGACACAGACAGACAAACAGGCAGACAGACAGAGACAGACAGACAGACAGAGGCACAGCAGCGGAAAGAGATAAAAAAGGGAGAGGATCCACGACAAACTAGTACATTGTCTCTGATAATGCTTGTGTACATAATAATTATGATGAACCATAATAATGTATGTTGAGCTAGTATTACACACCTCTGCCAGTCTCTTGTCCATCTCAGGCACTGCTTTCTCCACGGCTGTCTTCTGGATGAAGGCACAGGCCAGCTCTGTGTTGTCTGCACTCAACTACGCACAAAACACAACACAACATAACATTATCACACTGTACTACTATGTATGAAGAGATGTCCCATGCACGAGACCTGGTGAGCAGCTTGGTCGATGAGGGCCTTCAGCTCTTCTGCAGGAGTCTGGAAATGAAAGAAGAGGAAGATGGACAGCGAAATAGAGAAGGAGAGAACAAGATTGAGCACAAGAGTGAATGAAATGTACAGCAGAAAAATTCTTTTGCAGATTTTGCCGCTTGAGAGGCATGTACAGTTTTCCTGTTTCTGTGTGAAATGAATCATGTAGGTGGTCATATTTTGTACAGTGAGATACATTATCCAGGGGAAACAAACTTTCAAAATCTCGTTCAAGGTTTCTCTAAAGCTTGCTTGAGAGGCATGTACAGTTTTCCTGTTTCTGTGTGAAATGAATCATGTAGGTGGTCATATTTTGTACAGTGAGATACATTATCCAGGGGAAACAAACTTTCAAAATCTCGTTCAAGGTTTCTCTAAAGCTTGCCTCTAGACAGTGATAGGTACATCTACATACATGTATGTGTATACCCACCCTAACGGAGGCGATGAAGGCAGTCTTGAGGTTGTTGGAGATGCTGACTAGGAGAGCCTCTCTACAGGTGATCATTGCCATGCCGGCCGTGAGGTGGCGGACCATGTGGTGGGCAGCCAGGTGCATCCGGTGGATGTCTGGGTCCATAGAGAAATCCTGCAGGGAGAGAGGGGTTGAAAAATGAGAGGACAAAGAAGTAGCCATCTTGGTTTGGTTGGTTGCAGTACAGAAAGGACTACAGAAGGCTTTTAACACGGAAAAGAGGCTGTCGTATGTATAAGGTTGAGAAATTTGAAACTTACATGGCGCAAGGGGTATCTACATAGGTAAAATTGTTTTTCTTCTGTTACTTTTCACGATGACATATCTGACAAAACCTTATCACATAGAGTGGACAGTTGCATCCGCTACCTTTTTGATGATGTGTTCGGTTGTGGTGAGAGCAATCTTGATGGAGCGGTCGACGACTGGCATGAGCAGCTCCTGCACTGCCTTCTCCACTGCCGGCCTCACACACCCCCTCAACTGGGGGAACTGCTGGAACAGCACTATCTGTACAGACATACATACATACGTAAACACAGCATCACTTCCACACTCAAACCCATAGTTATCCATACGCCATTTTTGTACATACTGCACTATTGAACTAAAATAGCGGCGGCAAAATGTGCAAAGTACCTACATTAGAAGGTTCCTTGCACTGCAGCATTTGAAGTGTAGCAAGGAATAATGCCACTGTATATACCAATGCACAACTACAGACATGAGCCAAGGTGTGGCTGCAGTTCTTATTATCTGCATGGGTTACAGTGCGTGGTGGAACAGGCACTTAGTAAACAGAATGAAAGTTGCAACGAGAGATGGTACAAATGTGGAACAGGCACTTAGAAAACAGTTGTAGAGAGATGGTAAATGTGTGTATGTACTAATCAATGTGTATGTATGGTGGTCCACAGAGGGTTGGATGCAGCAGGCCACATTATAGAGGATAATGTACATGGGTAAGGTCCGCGTTTGATTGTCACAATCATTCTCCGTGAGCATGCACAGTACACATGAGGTAATGCCTGATAATGAGGGCGTGGCATGGCAGTGTACGAGTCAATGTGTATACGATCACACCGTATGATCCAATGTATGGGTACATCCTGTGCCATCCCTATACACTAAGTACTACCTTACTTACAGTGATAGGTTCACTACAATACTACTGGTGTATGTATGGTGTACGATATGGAGACACCTGAGGGCTGATCTGCAGGTGAGGAGTCATCCCAGCCAGAGAGGACACCTGTATCATCTCGTAGTGGTAGGCCGGGAGGGGAGCGGACGGTTGGGTGGTGACTGGAGACGGCTCTACAATCACAGAGAGAAGAACGAGACGAGAGGAGGAGGAAAGATACTGACCCACAGTTCATAGGACAAGGATACCGGCTTTAAAATATGTGCTACTGCACTGAAATATTTTTTTAGCAAGCTGAGCCGAAATGTTTTGAGACACATACTAAATTTCACAGATCGGCAGCATTTTTGCCAAGCCCAGCAAACATCCCACACACCCAGGAAAATGGTCTACGTGCCCTAAAATGAACAAACAGAACAGACACATTGTATGCCGGAGGGTTGAAAACAAGTTCAGAAGGTTTAGACAAACACTCGCCCCTCGTCCTACTCCTTCTCCTACCCCAGTTCGCTCCAATCCCCCCCACCACACACACACACACACACACACACACTCGTAGCACACGGACCTTTTGGAGAGGACAGCTGGTTGAGGAGCTTGGCTCTCTCGGCGGTGTCCAGCAGTCTGCTGGGTTTGATGTCTGAGATCTCCACGGCAATGTGCTTACACAGCACCTCAATCTCAAACTTCAGGTTCAACTGAAGACCAAGACAAGAGATATAAATTATGTCATATGGAGCATAAAAATTCCATAGGATGCAGATTTCACATAAAAGAAGACTTTGAGGACAAAATATTACGCAATTCCAGATTGAAGACAACACCCCAACCTATTTTACCAGCACATTCTGCAGCAACAATACTTGCTAATAGAACCAGGTGAAGTTTTGATAATGAGCTAAAACGAATGTGGCATATATACTGCAGCAAACCTTCAGATCTTGCATGGAATGCAACTGACTGAGAACACTCATGATGGCCATGGTCCAGGGATTGGGCGGTCGAAACACCTATATACACATGTTCACACAACATCAGTAGAGCTCACTAGCGGTATCCCACAACGCTAACTTAAAGGGAACGTGACAGTATGTACAAATAGGGAGGAATAGTTCAGTAAATATGGAACTAATAATAGGGCCCAGTGAAAGAATTTCCATCCGTGGTTTCTAAATTTAGCCCTTACACATTATTTCCTTGTATAATGTTGTAAACACTCACCTTGCTCTCAGCACAGCTCTCCAGAACTTTTGCCACAAAAGGCACGACATAAAGGAGTTCCTACAGACCGTCATCAGTGGTTACCACATACATATACATATACATACAACAAAGGTTGTAACATACCTGCTGGCCCTTGTGGTATGCCTCCAGAATGAGATCTTTCACCGCCAGATCCTGCAGACACACAAAAACCCTCCCGCTCACACCACACATAATATTTAGAAACACTTCCAAAGGGGATACTAGCATTTACAGACAAATGTTTTGCGAGTACAAAATTTAAGCAGTTTTACACTACGTATTACAATTTAATCTTACATAGTGACATCAATCATGCAATTCAGACGATGAATATAGACATACCCTACCACCTCACTAATCCATACATGTATTACACATACGTACATCTTGAAGGATGGGTTTGTTCCTGGCGAGAGTCTGGAGACCCAGCCAGTGTCCCAGGTTCTTCAAGATTGCTCTGTCAGAGAAATTGTTGCTCGTCTTGTCTGCCTTCAAGATCACCTGCAGGGGCAGAAAACAAAGTCCTTCATCGGCAAATTTTACGTCTCCTCAACAAAATGTTGGATCTTGGGTACTTTTCTATGGTTGAGCAGTGAAAAAGTGGTGTTTTGCTATTTCAGCAAAACACCAAATAATGTAATGACTCCCGCTATCTTGTCAAAAGTTGATCACTAAAGCAAAGACTCATAGAGGGAAAAATTTGTGAAGTTCGACCTTTAAAAATCAACCGCGAATTTTTCTCTGCGGATTTGTGTAAGCAGTAAAGCGGAACAAACAATCTGCAAATTTCTAACCCTTTCCACCAAATCTCAAAATTTTTCTCTCTTGAAAATGTTCCGCTACAAGGCGGCATAGTGAGGGCCTGACCTTGATGTTCCTGAAGGTTTCTGAGAGAACAGACCTCCTGAGGACCCCCGAGTTGAGGGAATGGAGGAAACTCATGTAGAGGTTGTGGAAGTTGGGTTCAATGGAGGCTCTCTTCATGACAAGGTACTGGGCCACCCAGTCGTAGAACTGCTCCTCTACCAGGCTTCTGAACTCGTCCATCTTGGGTGTGTGTGGGTGGGAGAGGAGAGAGAGAAGGGAGAGGAGAGAGAGAGAGAGAGAGAGAAGGGAGAGGAGAGAGGGGGTATATATTTTACTCTCATACATACAGCTGGCTGCTGAAAGTGTGCTACATGTGCCAGTGTCAAGCTGCATTGCAGGATGGCGTGCTAAACTGACAACGATTAGAACTTTGCAGTGCAATAGTTAGTTAGCTACATTCAGGCCGAGAGAAACTGCAGGCAGACACTCAGCAGTTCACATCATACTACATGTGTGTATTGTACATATACATACATTGTACACCAAACACCATTCAGTGGTTGTACATAAACGCCAAGCTTTGAAAAGCGAGCGGAAGCAAGCTAACCTATTGGACTAAACAGCACGATTTTTTTCCAGAACTGTATGTACCCCCCATCCAACTGCTCGTGCATTAGGATCACACGCTCATTTTCGTGCTGATCCTTGCAGAATAATAGGCCTGCTCGCCTGCTAGTATAGTACTGGTGTCATCTGTTTTGAACCCTGCAGTGAAGTTCTAACCTTCTCGGGGAGGTTTGAGGAGGAGAGGTTGTTGAAGAGGAAGTGTATCTTGTCTTGCAGTTCATCGGGTGGCTCAGCTCTCTCCACAGACTGCTCTGCTGCCACCAGGAGAGTGTCTATGTTGGTGGTGTTGATGGAGGGAGGCTGGGGAGAGGAGGGGAGGAGAGTGTTCAGCGCTGGCACGTGAGCATTATATGTGCTCACATCTCTCTTGACAGCGAGAGGACTCCCTGGACCTGCAGCTGCTCTCGCACCATTGCCTCCTCCACCTACTGATACGACAAACACACACACAATATGTAGCTATAGCCATGTATGTACATTCAGTGGTGTGTATGGGAAGTGAATGACCGCTCATCCGATCCGTTGGTTTCCTAGTCAATAGCCGGCCAATCTTGGCAGGCTTGGCAGCGCAGAGACGCTCTTTGAAATACCGCGTCATGCAATAATCGTGCGCGTTTCTCCCATAATTATATAAGCGCTGTGAAAAGGGGGAGGATCCACAGCGTATCTTGACAATGCTGTTCTTTTTCTTTCGTCGAGTCCCAACAACTGTGCAGCGCGCAGTGGCTGCAGCAGTTTCAGTGGCGGTCAGCTCCCGCCTGGCGAGCACAGCGGCCGCCAACACGATAATCGACGCAGCGAAAGCCCGGCAGCTACTGGAGAGCAAGGAGGCGAAGTTTATTGACGTGCGAGCGCCGGAGGGTACTCCGACGGCCACATCCCGACGGCAGCGAACGTCCACACCTTCTTCACCTACCTGGCCACCAGCGACGACCGCGGCGTGCGACACCTGACCGACACCTTCACGGAGGAGCTCCGCAACGCGGGAATCTACGGCAATGAGCACGTCGTAACGTACGAGAACTCTCTGAACACGCTCTACGGAGCAAGCTGCAGGGCTCTCTACATCCTGAGGCTGCTGGGCCACCCCAGAGTCTCCGTTCTAGGTGGGGGCTACGAAGGTTGGGTGCAGGACGGCCACCATACCAGTTCTGAAATCCAACAGACCGTGCGAGGAAGCTTCCAACCAAAATGGACTCCTTCAATGTGGAAGGGGAAAACGGACGTTGCAGAAGCTATGGGAGATCCGAACACAGTCCTCTTGGATGTAAGAGACCTTGACGAGTGGAAAGGAGAGTCCTCATCGCCTTACGGAGTAGATTTTGCCCCCAGGAAAGGCCGGCTGCCTGGAGCTACTCACATTCTCTGGAAAGACTTCATGGAGACAGGCAAGTCGGGCCAGATGAGGTTCAAGCGTCCAGAGGAGATACAATCCATGTGTGAGGCCAAGGGAGTCACACCGACAAGGAGGTCATTGTCTACTGTTTCAAGGGAGCACGAGCCTCAAACACTTACCTCGCTCTGAAAGACGCGGGTTTCGAGAATGTCAGTAACTATTTCGCATCCTGGAACGAATGGTCGAGAGACGACAAGCTTGAGATTGACTCTAAACTACTCTAGGAGCAGTCAAAGACATCAAGCCTACACTAATGTATTTATTTTTCATAATTTCACTTGCGTTGGCACAAACACCTCAGATTTTATAATTCACAGGATGCAAATTTGAGCCGAAAGTTGCATCCTCGAAACATAATGAACAGGAGTTGCAACATGCGAATGATTTCGCAAACGCAACTATTCGGAAACTCTTTTTGGCAAACAATTTTACCCTTAACAGTACTAGTAACCGCTGGTGCTCACTGGGCGGCATGACAGTAGATGGAGACATAGGTGTGTCTTGGGTGAAGCTGGGAGAGCCGAGGTGACGAGGGGAGGAATGTCCAGGGGGGAGGGGAGGGGAGGAGGTGGAGGTGGTGATGGAGGAGAGGGGAGGGAGGGAGGGGTGGACACTCAGGGAGCTCAGTCCCGGCAGAGCAGACCCCACACTGCCCACAGCAGGATCCTTAGCACAGAAGAAACACGTCACACACTATTAATGGCATCAGGAAACTCTTGATGGGGCAAATTTCATTGTTACAGGGAGATGGTTAGAGGGCCAAAGCGTAATAATTATATCCATGGTATTGTAGACAAGGGCATGTAATAAAAGGAGTCTTCTTTTCTGCCTTTCTACCATTGTGAAAGTGCTGTTTCTAGAAACTTTTGATCTACGAAACTGAGAATGTTTGTTTCTCCCTGAAAGATTATTGGTAGATTGACATTAGGCAGACCTGCTGAGATTGTGCCATGAGGAGAGCCACGGTGCTGGCTGGTGGCTCCATTGACTGCTGTCCATACTGAACATACTGCAGAAACACACACACACACACACACGTCATACCAATGAGTGTACAGGCAAGTGTTGTAAATCCGTAAACCTTGCTCTCCATGAAAAACAGTAAATAAAGTGACAGGTTCTAAAAGTGTTTCTCAAAATATTGCAGTCTGCGAAAAAATAATATATTATGCACGTTTTGCAGTGCTACAATCGGAGACTATCTTTCATGCGCGTTGTTGACAACTTGCAGTTGAAAATTGATACCAACTTGTCTGAGTACGGCGGGGAACTCGCTGTGGTTGAAGTGAGGAATGGAGGCGATGCTGGCACAGTACTGGGGGAATTCCCTCAGTCGACCTTTGAACTTGTCGAGAGCCGCCAGACCAAACAGGTACATCTTCTTGCTGGGAGGTTTCTTTAGCGACTCCAGCACGTAGCGCAGTGCGAGACTCAGGGACACATAACTGTGGAAGAGAGGAGGAGCGAGGGGTGGAGAGAGAGGAGGAGGGAGGGGAGGAGGGAGGGGAGGAGAGAGACAAATAAGAAGGATCATAATAAAACAAGTGAAGATGGCAGAAGGAGGAATGTGAAGACGATAGAAGGAGGAAGGGAAGAGAAGAGAGAGGTAAATGGTATATATAGATTGAGGGTCATTTTGATATTTCATTTGCATGACTAAACAAAAAAATTATCAGGCTTTACCCTGTAGGGTTCGGCACTGTACACAGAGTTTTGAGAAAGATTTTGGGGATGCTACAAAAGGTGGGCCAATATATGACAGCATGATTAAACATAGTTACAGAACACGGGATGTTTTGCTGAAAAGGTGTCCTCATTTGAGAGGGGTTCTGAATGGCAGCAGCTACACCTACAAAGGAGCTGTGACTGAGTGTTGGGAGGAGCAGCTACACAGCCTCACGTACGTGACGAGGCCGTGTTCGATGATTCCTCCGAAGAGTTTCCCCGTGATCTGGAGTTCTCTCTCTGGGAACCTCGGGAAGAACTGGTACTCTTCAAACATGTTCTTCAACATACACACAAACAGGTCCTGGTTAGAGGAGAGAGAGAGTGTGTGTTTGTGTTCAATGAGGAGCGATCAGTGTTTGTATAGGCATATAGCCCAACCGCTTGCATAGACCTAAGCTGGTTTCGAGGTGTTGCCAGCATAGGTCTTGACTGGGGAGGGCCCAAAATAAGGAAAAACAGTGCATGGGTCTTTGCTAGCATATAGGTATGTACATATGTATGGTAATAGTTGGAGAAGAAGGAAGGAGGTTAGTAGTAGTTGGAGAAGAAGGAAGGAGGTGCACCGGTACCCTCTCTCTCTTGTTGGTGGAGTCTTTGAACTGCTTCAGTAGCTCCAGCAGTCTATCAACACTCATTGCATTGCTTCCTCTGTTATAGATGGCCTGCAAGGTATACATACAATATATACCATTCACCACAGGTGGATGTATGAACCATCTAGGGAGGTTTGAAGTAGTACAGTTGAGGAAGTAAGGTCACTACCGTACTCTGTAATAGTGGTTTGAAAGGTGTTGTGGGGTGCCACACCTGGAAGTAGGCGTTGGCCTTGTCGTCTACTTCTTTGGAGAAATTTGTGTCTGAGCCCAAGTCATTCACCAATACTGTCAGGAGAGAACAGAAATAACCAATGATAGGGTTACAACTGAGAGTATATACACAAATGAGAACAACCTAATATGGAGGGTGCTGAAGGAGAAAGACTAAGGTTGGCAATGAAATACTTTCCAGGCCCAATTAAGTTCATCTAAGGACACCTAACTAATACAGACAGTTCCTCTGTTCCCCTGGTGTCCAGAGATATCACTGTACGCATGCGCGCACACGCACACACGCACACACACACGCACAGCACACACACACACGCACAGCACGCACACACAGATAGAGAGACGTACCTTTAGAGGGGTCCCTGAGGGAGGGCTGGGCCTGGAGCATGTGTTTGTGGGCTGCAGAGACTGTCATTCCTGCAGCTGCTCCTCCAAGGCCCCCCAGCAGACTCTCCACTCCTCCTCCACCTCCATTTCCAAACAAACTACCCTACATACATAGACAGTTAGTAATGTAAGAAATGCACAGACGTCAGACATAGGTTTGATAAGGTGTTTTCTTAGAGGGTTCTGTTGTAATGGTAAGCAAAACCAGACATGCATGGCTATAAAATGAAGTTCAGTATATTATATTGTGAGACGTTAATTTGCGTCTTCCAGGACTAAGAGACCAAAAAAGGCCCAATTACATAAGTCTATATATGCCAAAGCAAACTTAGTACCCTCAAAGAAGGCAAAACTGCCCGCACGCATGCACTCTCGCACGCATACACAGGCAGACGAGCCACCCTATTATCACTGAAGGTGATCCTCACATGTTGCTGTATCTGTGAGAGCCCCACCAGACCGGTAGCAGAGCCGGGCAGACCGGTCTTACCACCGACCGGGGAGGCTGGCGCAGGGGGTCCTCCGAGGGACACTCCACCGGGGAATGACGGAGTCATCAGACCTCCAGCCATTCCTCCTGGACCTGTAAGACCTAGACCTGTCATATCCAACTGACGGGAAGGGAGGAGAGGAAGGAGGGTAGGGGGTTAAAGAGCGAAATATAAGCAAGATGGGGATTGCTCAGGAACATAGTGTTGCAATTGCAATTTCACCCGCCAACTATAGGGATGGTTGGTTTGTCATTTTGTTCGCTCGCGCTCTTGCAAACAAATGCAAAATCATTGAACCCTTATTTTGAGGGGGGGGAGGTGGGGGGAAAGAGTGAAGGGACAGCAAAAATAAGGATAGGCCAAACGAGATAGTACTGTTATTCCACCCTCCAACTATACTTATAGTAGTACTGATGGTTGGTTTGTCATTTCGTTCCGTCGCACGCATGTAAAAAATTGCAAAATCGTGGAAACCTTTACTCAGGGTGGGAGGGAGAAAGTAATAGGTATATACGGTGTACACAGCGAGAAAGTGTTGTTATTTCACCATCCAACTATAGTTAGAGTAGTACAGATGGGTTGGTCAGATGATGAGACCCTTTAGTACACTTTTAAGCATAACATGCACACGGGTTAAGATGAAGCAAACAGAGATCACAGAAAAACCAAAGGACACCACACACAACAGACGAAGCAAGGAAAGTCACGCACACACACGGTGCGACCACAGTAAACATGACTCACAGGATGCACATGTCCAGACATGGTCGACATGGGGGTAGGCAGGGGTTTCGGAGGCAGCGGTCCGTGGAGAGAGATGAGTCCTCTCAGTTTTTCTGCCAGCTCCGGTTTCACATTACTACAGGAGTAGAGAGATGTGAGGGAAGAGATGTTATACAACCCCTACTTTTTAATGACCAAACACACCAACTGCTAATTACAGAATGTCCAAAATTAAATAATAGAGGAATCTATAATTATACATAAAACTGATGTAGGGTAGAAGTGTGTGTTTGGACTCAAGCTTTGTTAGCAAGTCTTCAGCTCACCTCATGAAGATATTAAGGCAGGCGAGGATCGTGAGGACAATCTCGTGGGTGAGTCCGGTGCGCTCTGACCCCGAGCTGACGGCCGGGGAGAACGGTTTCGGGGCACGGGTTGTGAGGAATTGAACACATTCAGAGATGAACATCTCCTGGGGAGAGAGGTGGCAGGGGTTAGCAGTAGAGAAAAGGAATGGTAATAAAATACTGACGCATAGGAGAAATTGAGCGTGTGGTACATTTTTGTAGAGAAATGGGAAGGAAATCAGAGAGAGGTGAAAGCAAAAGTATGGTTGAGATTGCATGTTTTTTAAACTACTTCAGTCTCTCCGTTTTATTTTATTTTTGGTCAATGGGTTCTTGTGGTGAGAGAGGTATTCTTTATAAGTCTAGTGCAGAAACAAAAAGTGAGAGGGAGTATGGTTATTGTGGATCGGCTCTGATGAACTATCAGTTTACCAAGTTTCAATTGTAGAGGATCCCACCATAGTACGGAGTAAAGGATGAGAATACTGTGCTCACGTGGTGCTCCTTGACTTTGTCGGTGACCCACTTGTCCAGTTTCAGATACTCCCTCTTGGTTGCCCAGCAGGCCACCTCGATCACGAAGGGAAAGTTGCTGACGTTCAGAACCACCGACATTGACTGCCATGGACACGAAGGGGAAATGGATCCTGCTTGCATGCATGCATCCTAACACATCATTAACTACTACCGTATGCCTGAAATCCAAAAACGAAAGGAGCATATTTTGTCCTGACAAACAAACTGCTAAAGTGGAACCTCTCTAATCCAGACACCAATGGGACAAGAGTCCATATCAGTGAAACCAGATTTTTGTCCCAACAAATTGCTGACAGGAGGTTATGTTTTATTTAAGATGCTGTTCTTGGTGGAAAGAATAGGTGTCTGTATTTCAGGAGTGTCTTTAGAGGGGGTTCCACTGTAGAGTGTAGTACCTTAGTGTCCTGCGTGACGTCTAGAATACGGGACATCTTGGAGGGGTCAGGGAGGTCCCCCTGCATGTACCACTCCGCCATTGCTTGTACCATGAGGCAGTGGATCTGATTGGATACGGTCTGTAGGGAGAGTGTGGAGGGAGGGAGGGAGGGGGGCAACAGGGAAAGAGAGGCGAGTGACAGACACAGGGAGGGAGAGAAGAAAGAGAAGCGTTGGAACATCATCACTGATGTTTGTGGTACATGCACTGCAAGGAAAAACAAGGAAAGCATTCTTTTGCTAATAGAAAACTTCTATGGTGAATTTAGATCTGGTCCCGCAATGCCTCTGCCTATAAAATTTCGCAGATAAACATTTTGTCAAGAGGTAATATGTTACACTGTTTACACAATGTCATGGTTTCCTCAAGAAATGGGAGAAAATCAGGTCCAAAATCGTTTTCTGGGGGGAAAGTTCACTCCGTGCGTACCTGGCCGTGCCAAGCATACTGGAGCACAGTGCAGTGGGCCGGGTAGGTGGACATGATGTGAGGCAGTATCTGGCATATCAGCTCCTTCTGCATCACATTCCAGTGCAGCTTCACGTACCCCTGGACAGAGATTCACAAAACAACCTTCACACTACAAGAGGTTTGCTCAAGGAAACCACGCATTGGGCCGAAGAAGTAAAACAATAAGCAAAAGTACAAAACCAATTCTTTGGACTTGCAACTACACTATAAGACTATTGACATAAACTGAGGAGGTCACAGTGCACCCTCTCTTGTCTTTCCCCTAGTATCCAACCCTGAATGCAATATGTGGGGAGTGAGTCGTAATGCTCAGTCCTCGACTTCTCAATTGCCATGATTATAGGACATTTGTCACTAAGGTGTGCCTTAAAAGGAGTGTGGCAGCTCATAAGGACTAAATTTGAAAAGACTGCCACAACAGAAAAACAGAAAGTCGTTCACTGGACCCTATTGTTCAGTTCTATTTTTAAGTAAAGTCAGTCTTTATGTACTGACACATTCACATTCTCAATTGGAGGTTTGGTTGAACTAGGAGAAAAGGAGACAAGGTGACTCACCACACACTCGATGACTGCAAGGAAGAGGACCTCGGGGCAGTGTTTGAGGGGCGTGGCCATGAGGGTCTTGACCTCAGAGTAGTGGGTCTGTTCTGAGAGATGGAGCAAGGCTCGCGTCAGACACACGTACTGCCTACAGACACAGACAGACACAGACAGACACAGACATTATATGGAGATACATACATACATACTCGTTTTGCGATATCAAAACTATTTAACAGCTTTCTTGAACACAGGTATATATATATATACTTATGTACATATACAGGTATTATAAACAAGTAGAAGAAGCTTCCACACACACACACACCACATGCTGGCATTTATATTCTTTTTGCGATGTTCAAACTCTGCAATAAATTCTTGAACACAAGTAGACAGGTTTATACACAAGCTGAATAAGTCCGCAGAGCTTCCACACACACGCAGGCTTTACACTCAAAATTTCTGGGCGTAATACACCACTTTTTGCAATAACACCTTTCGCAAAAATGAAAACATCGCAAGCTTTCTTTAAATTAGCACATATTACGCCGGTAAACAAGTGGAAAAAGTGAGTTTTAATTGAGATGAATTTGGTTGAATGATGCGTCTTCCTCTGCTCAAAAAAACAGTTATTCCAGCAGATATATAGTGTGATGATTATTTAATACAACAGATCAAACATATATAGACAACAGACAAAATGAGTTTAGTTGTGATTGCTGCCAAAGCCAAACCGGGCCAAATGTGTATATCGAAATGAGTATCACGGTAGCAGTCCGCTAGTTAGCGTCAGACTTGCAGGACGCAGCAAGCTTGAACCCAGTGTCGTACACCGCATTATTGCTCCAGAAAACGGCCAGGAACTCAGTGGAGTGAATCGTCAGCAGTTCTTCCCCTTCTCCCAGAGCCAGGTCATTTCCACAGTACCGTTGAGAGAGGAAGCCCTCCGCATAGAACTGAACATAGTCTCTGCAGCGATCAGTGGCCTTGTTTTTGCCCTGCAGCGACTGCGTGTCGTTGGTCGGTTTCACAACGACCACCCCCGTCGGGCAGTCCGGGACGGAAACGTTGTAGATGCAGAACTCGTTTTTCCTGTATTTGAGGAGCCGTCTCGTTCTTGTTGCAGCACATGTACTGAGGGGAATTGAAAAAGACGTGGCGCTGGTTTTGGCGGAGTTGGCCTTGGGCGTCTTCCTCTGGACACCTCCGATGGAGGTCGGTCGTGTTGCGTCGTTTGAGGTGGATGGAGTAGGCGGAGTTACAGTCGTAGACGGTGGTCCTGAAACACTCTTGGTGGCTGGGGTAAGGAGAAGAGAGAGGGGGACATGAATAGCCAGCGGGGGAAGGTTGAAGCAGAGCTATCAGAGTACGTATGGATCATAATGTTGACTTACTTGGCCTGAGGGAAGTGCGGGAGACTGCAGGATTTCCAGTCACTCATGTCATTTCGACGAAATCCGAGGGCATTCACATGATCAATCTTATTTGTAATGTTGCACCCCTTACGCTCGCAGCAGCCAGGACACGTGCTTTCCTCCACATCTTGGTCGTCCTCCCCTGATGTACCTGTGCTAGTATCATTCACAGGCACTGGAGGTAGCAGCTGTCCAGTTGCGGTGGAATTGTCCGTGGGCGTTTCTTGACCAGGTCTAGCCGGGACAGTTGGTGGCAGAGCATAGCAGTGGCTCACAAAGACGGCAAAGACGCAAACGAGAGCGGCGAATCGGAGCATAGTGGAACAATCTCTTTCTTGTATCTAAAAGATAGATTTCTCCTTGTCTTGTTTGTTGGTAGAAGATATCCTTGCTTTGAAACTGCCATTCTGAGCACTCGGGCTGCCTTTTATGCTGCGCCACACGTTTGTTTTAAGACGTGACTAGTGTGGCTATATACACACAAGAGTCCCGCCAGTAAAGGTGGGGGAAATTAAAAAAGGGGAAACGAAAGAATCCGTCACCAAAAATGAAAGGTTTTGACATTGAGTAAAACACTTCCTGTACGCCAACCACGTCAGGAAGTTGCTCTAACAGTTATGTCCCGTTAGAACATAAACAAACTCAGTGTCCAAATAAACACGGCACAAGAGAAGCCTCTTTTCCCTATGACCATAGACACACACACACACACATACACTCCAGCGGTGCCCACTTTACTACAAAACTAAGCAGTGTTTGGTTTGCAGGTTGGTTAGTAAGCGTCCATAGTCCCTTCAAACTGCCCCTTTCAAGGTCTATGTAAGTACCGTGCGACATTTAATTGCGTCACTTTGTGATGGTTACTTAGGGGATTGCGAAATAGTTTGGTTTTGTGGGAGAAGACCCTGGGGGGGGGGAGGAAGGAGTAGGAGGAAGGGGAGGTGGGGGGCACCCCCTGGTCGTTTCCCAAATCTCTCCATCCTTGATATTCACTTGGTCATTACGTGTAGAGGAATGCAATACATCTTTGGCGAGCGAAGCTAGCAGTTAAATTTTGGTGCATGTCATGTGTGTTAAGAACCGTGTGTAAAACAGTATGTGGCATTGCCCATACATATCACATAAAAAGTCCGCATTCTGACGACTAGGTTTGCTCGCCAGCAACTCTATTACTACAATGGTGCACTGAATGCATTTTAGTTTTTCCTTTGGGTTTTTCTGCTGCAAATTAAGTAAGCAACAGGACAGCTGTACATCCAAACAAACGATGTGATTTTACAGCCTGACCCTTACTGTTCGGAACAAACAGACACATTCCAACAAACGGTGACGCTGCCAGCGAAACAGCTGTATCAACATTACCATAATATACGATTAACAGGTCTATTCGATGGGACTATATATTGTATAAATGGAACATACCACGGCTTGGCTTCTTCTGAATTGAGGACAATCTTGAACGGCTCCAGATCGATGCTCTCTCCCATGTACTGACTGACATTGAACTCTGGACAACCGGCCAACACTTGCTGGTACCAGGAGAGCTGGAGGGGGAGGGGAAGAAAGGAGAGAGGGAGGAAGAGGAAGAGAGGGAGAGAGGGGGAAAGGATCGAGGGTGAGGGGAAGAGAGATCGGAATAAGGGAAGTAGAATGAAGGAGAGAGTGAGTTACGTGAAGAGGAAGGTAAAAAGAGGGAGGGAGGTATTTGTAAAGGTAGTGTCCGTACTGGTCTACTGTCCTTCTGTTATAGAAGCCTCAAACAATAGTGTGGTACCTCCAATAATTGACATGTTGGGACCAGGCATTTTGTCCTTATAATGTAGGGAGGTCGCCTCTCTTTGGGGATTACAAATGTACACAAAAGTGTGCGTTTTGGGACATCAGAGCGTATTCTTCATTACGAGGTTTTTCCTTTATCAGAGGTTCAACTGTATTGCCGTCAAGAAAGGAGGATGAAGAGTGTGGTCTGACCTGTCCTCGAGGGTTGCTCCAGGCGAGGTGGACACACTCGAGGGGGAAGGGTTCCCGGCAGGCCATGTTGTAGGCTGTCATGATGAGACTGAGGGACTCGGGGGAGGGGAGGACGAAACCATGGTAGTCCAGATGGAGAATCAACTCCCTCCACGGCATGTTGGGCACCTTCACACACACACACACACACACAGTGAATTATTAGTGGGGGGTGGGGGGGAGAAAGGGGAGAAGGGGGAGAAGGGGGAGGAGTGAAGACAAATGAAGACAAAAAGTGGAGGAGGAGGAGGAGGAGGCACTTTCATTTAGTGAATAGCAAAGTGTAAAAGCTCTCCATTCACATTCACACAAACACAATGGGCAGAGTTAAAATCTACGGGAGGTCAGGCAGTATCCACAAGCTTTACATAAACAAGTCCATTTGGTATACATGAGCAAGCTGTACATCTATGTAACCAGTGGGCCTAACGGTGTAAATGGGTAAATGTGGGGGACCTATGTATGCATATTGACAGTTCAGAGACTCACCAGTGATTGAACAGCAGACACAAAGTTTTTGACGTCCCAAGTGGCTGGACCTTTGATAGACGCATGCGCTGCTTCCCCAGTCACTCCCTAACAGACACACACACACACAGCTCAGTTTAACACACACACACAACACAATATTCAGTGGGTTGGAATCATTGGCGCACCCACCCAATTGTCTGAATTGTGTGATTATTCCATACGTAATGAACGGCTCTGTGCCACGAAAAATCATAAACATACCTCTCATGTACACCGGTTAAAGGGACACTTTGCTTGAAAAATGCATCACATTCATTCCAGCTGCTCACACACCCCCATTTACATATTGATCTTACCATGAAAGGCACACTCTCAGGTAGTCCAGTTAGAGAAGTAGCCATCATACCTACACAGTACATATACATGGGAGAAAGCTAGTGAGACAACATGGAGAACACTGGAGGAAATAAAAAGCAGAGACAAAGTCGAGGATCAAACACAAGACAACCTGAATGCAACTCTCAGGCACCAATTTCACCCTCGCCAATCACTATGTACAGCTACATGCTTCACTGATAGCTGATAGCTATGTGTATAGGAGGTGAGGGTGGCTAACCAAGAACTCGAGCAACACTCTTGATGGTGAGGTTCTGCTTTCCATAGTCCTTCAGGATCTCAATCATATCTTGCTTGCTGGAAACACACACACACACACCATGAGGAAAACAAGTGAACATTACACCATAATTACACTGTTTACATACAAGGGAAAAGTTGCACAGCAGAAAACCAGAAAAACAGCAGTTACAATTGTTCAACACTTTATGTGTGGTGGTGGTGGTGCCGAGGTGTAACTTACGAAGCGGTGGCTGCATAACCAATGTCTTTAATTATTTCAGCCAGCTCAATGGAGAACTACAAAACAAAATGGACAATCTATGAATAATATGTAAATCGGGGTGTGTGAGCTGCTGGGGAAAATGAAAAGCACTAAAGTGCAAACCCCTCAGCGAACTGCGCATGCGCGGTACCACTAATTGATGGGCTGGGCTTTTTATGCCTTCACTCATGGTATCCCGCTAGTAGCTCGAGGTGAGTCTGGCACGGGCTAGCTACAGTAGTAGATAGCATGCGGGAGTCGATACACGTCCTTCGCTGTGATTTCTTGTGCCTTCAAGATACGCAGAGCGAGCGGACGCGGTCGAGGTAAGCCTGTGCTAATTTGCATATTGGATATCCGCCACCTAATGTAAGCTTCCTTTGTTAATGATGGCTACTAATATACACACATGACAATAAAAACATACATACATACACACACTGAATACATGGTATTTCGTAAGCTGGTTGGGGCGACAGAAATATTCCCTAAACCCCCACACTCACCACAGAAGGAGCTAAGCTGGTTGGGGCGACAAAAATATTCCCTACACCCCCACACTCACTACAGAAGGAGCTAAGCACATGATATTTCGTAAGCTGGTTGGCATGGGGCGACAGAAATATTCCCTCAACCCCCACACTCACCACAGAAGGAGCTAAAGAGACTGACACGGGAACAAGTCTGCAAAAAAAGAGAAAGCCACAGAGCACTACGTACACACAGGATGACGTGTTGTGTTTGCACGAAATCCCGCAAGCAATCTCTGACAAAAACTGTTGAATTAACATTCTAAGAAAACAGTGCCCGTGTACTTTGGGTTGCTGTGGACACGAAACACGGAAGTGTAGGCTAAAAGGTTTTGGGGTTTTAGCTCTTTCGAAACAATGACGTGCAATTCGTGAGGACACATGTATAGAAGTTGCCATGACAGAGGCTGCTGCGCCCACGGCGATCCCGAAAGGTGGACATTTCGTCAGTCATTCACACGCACAAACAAACAAAACAGAGAAAAACAATCTGAATCTAAAAAGTACGCCGCCACTCATTCATTCTAAAATTTCCCCGTTTACAAAAGCTCCGGCTAAAATAAACACCGATGTATTCATACCACTGTCATCTTAGCTCGTTATGTTTCGTGACCAACATTAGTAGCCCCGAAAAAAAGCTAGACAGAAAAACGCTCCGGCTAAAATAAACACCATTGTAGTCCAACTTCAAACAACCCGGTGCTAGGAATATACGCTGTATTCCGCCTATACGTTAACCAATACATGTATTCATACCACTGTCATCTTAGCTCGATATGTTTCGTGACCAACATTAGTAGCCCCGGAAAAAAGCTAGACAGAAAAACTAAATTAGCACCCTACACACCACACTACAAATGGTGCAAAAATTTACTAGGCAATTGGTGAGTGAAGCAAGAAGTTTGAATTGACGATGATGTCACAACCGCAGTGCTTTACGCAATTCAAAAAATGTGTAAAACCACTTTTAATTTATTTCGTACTCACATCAAGTCATTTGAAAAAAGAATGCTAGCAAGGGACACAGAAGTTATACATACACACACACAATATGGTGATCGATGCGTGCAGGCTGGCACAGACCTGTCCTCTGTGATGTCCTCTTGTTCACGATAGATGAGAGGAGAGAGTACAACCGGCACCCTCTCTCGCGGGAAATCTAACACAAAACATTACACAAAATTCGGTCATTTCTGGTAAACACTAATATTGTATGCTACGAGTTGAGTACTAAGGGTTGCCAGAGTGTCTTGTACATGAAATTTTCCCTCCAATTCAATCCTTTATCTTCAATTCACTGTTGATGTAAACCTAATCCAGAACATGAGATTGATGGTCTTGCATTTCACAAAAGGTATATGCCAGAAGCAAAGCTAACGAAAACACAAGATAGAGTGCTACCAATGGTTTGTCTCGAGTTAGATACTCTGAGCTAATAGGAAAGAGTAACATAATAGCTCCATACATCTATATATGATGCTAGGTACCCTGCACATCCCTATAACGCTACCATACTATTTCTTAGCTGCTACAGTCATGGCTACAATACATATGTATGTACCTCTGCAGAGAGTCTGAACGAAGGCATCGATGCTCTCCCGGGCCACGCCCACCTCGTCCTCGGGGGAGAGAAGGAGGTGAGAGAGGAGACGATGGAGCACCTCAATGGCCACGTCCCCCAGACCTCCCTCGAGACTGGAACTCATATCTGCACCACATACACACACACATAAATCTGTATGGCGACTCCCTAACTGTACTGCTGGTACATAACAGTATTAACTCACACTCCTTAATCAATTGTCTACCAACATCATACAGAAGATGAACAAAACTCCCTATCATAACCGTATACATATGTATAATGCTAGGTACATCTATACACCGTTCCCATATACTAAGTACGTTCTACCATACTTATAGTGATACCTGAATAGGATCTCACAAGATCTGGAAGTTTTGATTTCAAATGTTGAGAGGCTGAGGGGAACAGAACATATGTAGAAGGTCACGGTAATTCACAGTGCAATAAACCACACAGACGTCGGTATATAACACACTCACCATGGTAGCTGAGAGCTGAATCAGACGAAGAGGACAGACCAAGAGCAAACACCACCTGAACCACACAACACATATGTAGAGTAGTAATAAGCAACATCATAAGCTAGTTCTTGGATAATCAGCTCGCAAAAGAAACAGGTACAAAACTAACGCACAGTGACTGGAAGCCAATAACTTCCAGATAAAAAGGAAACTAAAAGTGTCCAGGTAGACTTTTCCTGGCCTTCGTAAGATGTCTTCAGGCAAACAACCCTCCGGAATGTCAATGACATCATCAACTGACCTCTTGAACTCTGCCTAATTTGAGGACCTTGGTAACTTGCGCCAGTAACTGCGGTGACGGCTGGAGCCCCTGTAATCGTAAAATAAACGCCATGCTTACAATGGGCCTTGAAATAATAAAGTACAGTATATTGTTAACACATGCACATTATGGAGGTAAAACACAATTGCATTGAGTGCCATCTGGAAATCCGAAAAAAATTTCCCCTTCAAAAGGTTCAACAAAATTATAATGAACACTGTACATATAATTATATACACACTATTTCGAGCTAGGTTGAAACGTGCATCTCACCTTGTTGTCCTGCTTCTCAAAGCCAAAGCAGAGGATGGAGATAAAGTTGGGTTTTGAGACGAGGGAGTTGGCCTCTTGACAGAGCATCTGGAGCTGCTGCCCGTCCGTCCCGTAGCTCCGCCCATCAGACGACAGGTCCAACGAGCTCACCAGACAGCGGAAGAAGTGCTTACTGGCCTCCGGACCATACAGACTCACCAGCTGCAGTGAAACACCCACATGTTAGAACATACGTACATATATACCTATACCAACATACAGGTATAATACAAAATTGCTCTATATTGGATATGCACCGTAATGTATGGAGCAGACACACCCCAGGTTGTCACAACGAGCGGACATTGTTGTGATTTTCGTGTGGAAAGAGCAGTTTTATTTAATAGTTGGAGAATGCAGAGCTACAGAAGGCGGAGGAGCTTTAATTAGAATTCAGGTGGGCACTTTTTAGAAATTCATTTCGCGGAACAACGATCTACGCTTTTACCTTGGAGATCTCGGAGTAGTTGGCTTTGTAGTTCTTCTTGTTGGTGTTTGCGACCAGAAACGATATCTGGGAATACGCGAAACAGCGCAAACTGAGCGACATGGCGAGTTTCTCCTCTGCCGTCACAGTTGCACGCCCTCTAAAGAGGGGATCGGTACAAAATGGATCTTATCGCAAGGAAGAGACTTCTGAAAGCTGCTCTTCAGTAAGATGGAGGACGTTCAAAGGTTAGGTCAAAAAGACCGCGAGGGTCTGCTCTAATTTAGCGTCGTGTGTACTCTGACCCTTGAGTCTCAGAAATATTGAACTGCAAAAAGTCATTATTGACGACGGACCTGTTGAGTGTTTCTTTCAGAGAGTTGTGAAGGGCTAAGCGACATGCCAACGTTAACAGAAGTTCGCGGGGAGAGTAGAAAGAAAGAAGCAGGGACCCATGTTGACTTTAGTGCCATATGGGAGGTGCCTGACGCTGGACTCGTCCAGGATGAGGTAATAAACCTTCCCAGCTGCGTTCCTTATCAGTAGTGTATTACATCCTCACTTGCAGTCCATCACATAGAGTAGACAACCTAGCCATGCCAATGTGTTCATGCACACAACAATTTTTTACTTGCTCAAATGTGTATCCAAACACTGTGTAGCAATACAACAGTCGCATTCGTCATTCTGATCTCTCTGGTTCAGGGTAAGGGAGTCTACAGATATATAGGCACTGGAGATGGTCAGAGAGAAGCAGTTGGCCAATTACGTACTCGGCACTGTCTTGGTTCACACAGCGCACCCTCATCAGTTGAAATCACCATCCGGGACACCGGTACGTGTGTGCATCACTAAAACACACTGGGAGTTCTGTACTTAGAATACGTATATTACTCCACAGTATTTTTTTGTTCAAGTGTCTGTGACTTGGCAAAGCTTAGGTTTTATATACTGTTTTGTGTGTAGTTAGACTCGTGAGATTCCATCCTTATATTGAGTGGATTCAAGGTTGTCCTTGCATATGCTTGCAGGGGAGAGGAACGGGATTTTCATTGGTGTCTGCAACAAGGCATACCCAACAGATATTGTGCCTGGAATCAGGGCCATGTCGGTCGCCATTCATACTGCCGACGAAGGAACCCTCCTCCACTTCTCTCGTGATCCACGGTCTCTCGGGATCACCTGTACCCATGGGAGTGTCCTCAAGTGCGCCGTCTCCCCAGACCCACAGGACGACACAGGGCGACTGGTAGAATTCTGCAAAGATGGTGAGAGGGTTGGAGTCGTCGCCATCCAAATCCCAGAGGACGGGTTGTATGGAGTGATAGGTATGACTGGTTCTGGTGAGAGAGTCCTTATATCTCCACCTGTCGTGACTTGGACGCTGGAGTTTGATCAAATTTGGGAAGTGTGCTCTCCTCATGTAAGACACGAGAGACATGGTCTTTGTCTGTATGTTGGTCCGGGCTACCTGAACGAGGAATCCATTGGGACTATACGTACAAAACAGCGAATTGATCCATTTGGCCCCCTCAGCGGTCGAAGTTTCGAAATCCGTATCGTGGATTCCGGAGAGAAGGCGTACATAGCAGTTGGGGTCTGTGACAGGTCGTATCCACACAACATGCTCCCTGGTTGGAAGGATACATCAGTTGGTTACCACGCAGACAACGGAACTCTCTTTGACAACTCCGAGAACGGAGAAGAGACGGGACAAATCTGTCGGACAGGAGACACAATGAGATGTACTGTTCAGCCCACGGCAGATGGTGGTCGGAAACAAGCGTCCGTGGTTTTCCACTGCAACGGTCAAGTGGTGGGGAAGCGTGTTACATGGATACCAGAGGACGGGCTTTACGGAGTGTTTGGCATGATGAGCAAGCACGAACATATCCAAGTCTCACTGCCTCAAGTTCACGAACCCTACACCATTCCAAAGCTCAGTTTCCTGTCCGTGTGGGAGGCCGTCACTCCCAATCTTCAGTACCAGGAAAACGGAGTTTTTGTGTACACTGGGCGAGGTGGGGCCGACATGATTGGTAGCGTCCGTTCAAAACTACCGCTCAATCCCACGGGACCTAACAACACGTTTGAGGTGAAGGTTGTGGATCCTGGAAACAGTTGCTACATTGCTCTCGGGGTCTGCAGTCCGAGTTTCCCACCCACCCAGCTCCCCGGTTGGATGGAGAACTCTGTCGGTTTCCACGCCGACAACGGTCTCATACTGAATGGGATCGGGAACGAACAACTCGAGACAAAGTGCAACTGCATCAAAGGCGACGTCATTCGCTGCACACTAGAACCAGTTGACGATAGCCAGAAACAAGTCTACGTTGTTTTCCACAGAAACAGCGTTTTCCTCGGAAGGAGTATGCTCTGGAACTCCAAGCAAGGCTTCCATGCTCAGGTTGGTAGCATGAGCAAAGGAGAGATCATACAGATCGCTTCACCGCAGACCACTCCAAGTTCTCTGCCCCACAACCCTACCCCTCGCTCCATGAGCGTCCCGGCAGTTCAAAGCTCAAAGGAGGCCGTGAAGCGGAAACAGATGTCAACACGGGACTACTCTCGCATGACTCCAGCTGTTAGAGAGGCTGAGGAGCCCGAGCCGTTCAGTGAGGGTATGCATCGCGTGCAGACAGCTCCTATACTTGCTTCTCAGCCTCAGACTTATCACAGAGCAGATGTTCACACTCACAGGTACACCCAGTCTATCGAGCAGGGACCACCCCACGACCATCATCAGCACCCTAAGAAGGATCTTCCCCAACAGTTTCTCCCTCCCTCGAGTCATTTGCATGGAGCAGATGCTGCTCAGCAGTCGCACACTCGGCTGCTACACCACCAGCAGCACATAGAAGATGGTTCAGATGACCCACCCTACTACCACCAACCACACACCCACACGCATCCCTCTCCCTCTCCTGAACCACCTCCCACGTGGAGAAGTGTTCCACATGCTCATCTGGCCCCATTTGAACATGCAAAGACAGCCTCTCCTTTCCCACTGCAGCCTGTAGGTGAGCATCCATTAGCTGAACAGGGCACCAAGGGAAGTGGGGCTCAGTCAGAGTTGACAAATCCCCGTGAAGTGGCACACAGCGCTTTTTATGCGAGTCAGGTGAGCACTGCATCTGCAGCGTCTGACTCGGACCTGCACTATCAATCCCAGCTCAGCTCCAGGATCATTGCCAGTGGTACGCAACGTGCTGCGTCTGGGGCCTACGAACAGCTCGCACAGCACGATGTCCCAAGACGTTTCCGAGCACAGACCCAACCAGTACCGCAAAGGACGACACGGTTTGCTACACCTCCCGGTGGCGCTTTACCAGTAACACCACTATTTAGTGGCCTTGAGAAAAATTTTCATGGAGGCACTGGGTCCACGGAGCGCATTTTCAAACCTGGGTTTGATGATTCTGATAGCCCCCCTCGACATACAACGGTGAAGGTTTGCTCTGTTCCCGAGCCACGACTCTACACTAAAAAGGAGAACAGTTTCTGTAGAATCCTCCACAATGCCTCGTGCAGCGAGGACGGTACTACTCTCCACTGTACTCTACCAGAGGACCCTTCCGAGACCTGCTTTGTGATGCGCCGCTTGCAACTGACGGAGAAGATGCCCTACTTTGAAGTTGAGCTAGTGGAGCAGAAACCCAGCGAGAATGTGGTGATTGGAATTGTGCCGCCAGATCACCTGTACACGATCCGTATGGGGTCTGTACCGTGCACCATTGCATACCACATGGCCACCGGTTTGCTAGTAGCCGGTGAAGAAGAGAAATCTGTCACTAAACCGTGTACAGCAGGAGATGTGGTGGGGTGCAGAGTTGACTGGAGCTACAAGTTGGAGGCGTACAATTGTGAAAATGATTCCGTGGTTGGTGTTGAGTGGTTTGTCAATGGGTGTTCCGTTGCAAAAAATACAATTAGTGCACCTTCTTCGGGGCTTTACCCTGCAATTAAGATGAAAAGTGGAGGGACAGTGGTAATTTTCAGGCATGGAATAGGCCTCAAACCGGACTCCTATTTCACCTCCCGTCCTCATCCCGAATGTTTCAAGAACATAGATGTTCCACTGAAAACAAGCGACACGTGGAAGTGCATCCTGAACGCTGAGATCGATGAAAATTGCTACATCATTCCCAAAGACTTGGACAAGGCATCCCTACCCAGCATTGTGCAAAGCCACACTCCATTCACAACTGTCCAACCGTACTTTGAAGTAGAATTGCAGCATCCCATGGAATCATACTCTATCTTCTCTGTGGGAGGCATAGAGGGAGAGTCATCTGATTCGGACAAGTGTATTCCGGGTGAAGTCGCCAACTCCATTGCACTTTTTCCTCTCCTAGGTCTCGTGATGTGCGACGGTAGAATCAGTACCACTCTACCGCTGGCCATCGAGGAAGAAAATGAAGACAATGTCAGAGAAACTGACAATAGGCGTTGGGGTTGACTTCCATCAGAACGTCCCACACCACAGCTTGACTGCCGCGAAAAGGGTGGCTGTGTTCTTCACTGTCAACTACCAGCTGATCAACTCTACCTACATGACCATCCCTTCCACAGGGCTCTTTCCAACTGTAGCAGTTGGATCTGACTCCAGTGGCCATCTCTTGAAGCTCAAGTTTTCAGATCCCTGGCCTCAGGCACCCGCCCTTCCCCTGGGGTTTGCCCGAGCTCCGCAGAAGGCTTTTGAGGTGAGCCAACTGAACTCAGTTGTATCTGAGAACACCCTCCCTAAAGGGACAGACTCCCCGCAGGTTATGCAGGCCGCACTGCCACTGTCCCGCTCACACACCTACTTTGAGATGAAACTGTTGGAATGCCACGAGTCCCACATCTTTTCTTGCGGTCTAGCACCTCACAACTTCCCCCTCACCTCACATCCAGGAGACCTCAGGGATTCCATCGGGTTCTTCTCAAGTTATGGCTCTGTGCACCACAGTGGTAAGAACGTGGTTGTCAGCTCACCTTTCAACTACAAAGGGGCCATGATGGGCTGTGGAGCAAGGTTCCCTGACGATGGTAGCTCTAGGTACACGGAAGTGTTCTTTACTCTGAACAGGAACATGGTGGCCAGAAGTATTGTAGAAAACCGTGAACCGGGGCTTTTTCCAACAGTAGGATTCTATACGAAGGGCAGTGGAGTGGTGAGCATCGATTTGTACGCAGAGGACCCATTCCCAAGTTTGCAGTTCAGTACCACCTGGAGGGATCTCAGGAACATGACCAGCGAGGGTGCCTTCCTTCATCCCACATCTTCCTCTGAGACTTGCGTGGCACAGCTTTCGCACTCTGTGCCTCTCGACAGGCCTGCTTATTTCACCCTCAGGATGGCAGCCGGAACTAACAGTGCTAGAATCTTGATTGGGTTCACAAATAGTTCCACATGCCCTCTTCTCGACGAATCTCAGATTGCTCCCTCTGAAGAGAAGAGTGCTACAACTAAGAAAAGTACGCCGGTGCTAGTTCAGGAAGGTTGGACGGGGTGCATTGTAGACATGACAGGAAAACAGGCCCTGGTGGAAGGCTCTCTCTATGGCATTCAGCTCTTCCATTTGCAGCAATCAGACGTCTATGGTTGTGGTATCGAGCCTATCGAAGGAAGAAAGTCCCACCTCTTCTTTTTCACTTGCAACAATCAGGTTGTGTTTGCCAAAAGTATTAATCTCAAAAGAGACATGCTGTTCCCCACCATTTTTGTGAAGGGATCAATTGGGAAGATAAGGGTGGATGCGTGTGCCGTGTGGCCCCTCCAGTCTGCCATTGGCAGAGGCTGGGCTCGAGTGAACCACCTCTTTCTGGAAAATTCTCAGATTAAACACGTTGCTGCTAGAGGGACATCATCCAGAATGCCCGTCGGATTTGCGCAGGCGTCAATGCCCATCACACCATCTTCCTCTTACTTTGAAGTAGAGGTATGCTCTCGCTCGATAGAGAAGGCCATAGCTGTGGGACTTGCCCCAAGGATTTATCCAGGCAACACTTGGGTCGGCTGGAAACCCATCTCCGTAGCATATCACTTGGACGATGGGTGTCTCTTCACCGGTGATGGTCTAAAGGGCCACAAAATAGGCCCCCAGATATTCAAAGGTCAAGTCGTTGGCTGTGGAATCACTACAAAACCTGGGGTAAGCTCGGAGAAAGAAAAAGATGCGAAAGTTGAAGTGTTCTTTACCGTCAACAGAGTCTTGATTGTGGAGCAGAAGATCTCTGTCCCATACGGTGGCTTCTACCCAACAATCTGCCTCGAGAGTCCCACGGAGTCGGTGGTCTTTCATCGCTACCCCTGTTTCCCACCGATCCGCCACCTTGTCGGGCCTGAGTGGGCCAACTGCTACTCTGTCCACCAGGCCGGCATGCTGCTGGAGCACAGCTACCAGGGAGAGATGCCGGTCAAGGGAATTTCACGGGGATTCTGCCAGGCCAGTCGCCCCTTCTCCCCCACAAGACCCTACTTTGAGATCAAGATAGTCAGGTCTTCCTCGGCCTCCAGTATTCAGGTAGGAGTTGCCGTGAGACTGCCCGTAGGCTGCAGGAGTCCCAATACAGATTCTGTCATGTATTACACCAACGGCCAAGTGCTGCTGCGATCGGGCGGGAACAAGTCCACCCAGCTCACTGAGAAGTCGGGCATCGGGGATGTGGTTGGGTGCGGTGTGACGTACACTGGCGGCGACGAGCCCTCTGCCGTTGAGTTTTACCTGAACAAGATGAAGGTGGTGACGTTGGCACTGCAAGAGAAGTGGAGAAAAGGGCCACTGTTCCCCACTATTGTCCTGTCCCATCCAGGGAACGCCGTGCTACCTCAGTTTAACCTTTCTCCTCCAGAATGGGACCGCTCGTCGCTCATCGGTTGGCTTCGGACAGAGCGAGTCCAAGTTAAAGGAAACATCGCCTCCTATCTTCCGTCAAGCACAGCAAAGAATATGGAAGTTGGATTGTGTCAGCTGAGCCAGTGCCTGGAAAGAGAGTTAAACTCTTCGTTTGAAGTGGAGGTGCTTGATCGTGGGGAAAGGTGCTGCATTGCTGTCGGCGCAGCGGGCACCAACTACCCTGCAGTGAACCAACCTGGCTGGAAGGAGAACTCGGTGGCCTATCACGGAGACGATGGAAACCTCTTCAATAATAATCCTTACGGAGTGTCCTTTGGTCCTCCATGGAAAGAACGTGATGTCATTGGTGTTGGCGTTCGACAGCCAGCATACGACAACCCACACGTGGTCGAAACACAAGTATACTTTGTGAAGAATGGCGTTGAGTTGGGTCACACGACTGTTATCATCCCTCCTAGTGGCCTGTTTCCAACCATCGGGTTCCGCAGCCCTGGAGAAAAGGTGATGATCACGCTCAACTCAGGCTCGCACACTTTGGGCAACTTCAACAAATCCTTGCTCAAGTGGAGGGACGTGTATGGCATGAAACTCCAATCGACTTCTCAGGAGAACACGTTTCTGCTCCAGTACCTTGAAAACGGAAGAAGAATGCCCTTCACTGGAATAAAGCCTGCAGTTGCCGCCTACGGAGAGCCTTTTTCCGAAAAACTGCAGTATTTCGAGCTGGACTTACTGTCGGTGGAGACTAACTCGGCTGTCGCGATTGGAGTGGTCCCTAGGGATTACTCGCTGGAGCTCGCGCCTGGCTGGGGGAAAGACTCACTCGGGTACCATTCCGACAATGGCCAGTTGTACCAGGCTCGAGACAGGGGGAAATACTTTGGCCCGATTGCCAAGAAGGGAGACGCCATCGGTTGCGGGATCAGTTTTACGCCCAACAACCAGAACCAGTGCTCGATATTATTCACCTACAATGGCGTGGAGATTGGGAGGGTCAGAACCAGCCTCCCAGTCGGCGGGTTCTACCCCTGCATCTGCCTCATGCAGCGACACGACAGGGTCCTAGTCAGGCTCTCCGAGACCTTCAAGCCAAAGTGGTCGCCCCCTGAGCGTCACATGGTGGGGCTTATGAGGATCAGCAACTGCTCCTACTGTGACCAGATCGTACAGTTCTCCGGCACTCAGAACTCGACTGCTCCCGGCTTTGCTCAGTTTGCGCTCCCCATGCACAAGGACCACAACTACTTTGCCGCTCACGTCCTGAAGGCAGAAGGACAACGTCGTAATTGGACTGGCGGTCAGGGACTACCCCATAAGATATCTTCCCGGTTCAATGTCCGTATCGATGGCATACGACATCACAAAGGGGAGCATTAGAGCCGTGTACGACAGCGACAATTTCCACAGGTTCGACGACTCCAGTTTCGTTTGCTCGGTGGGGGACAGAGTGGGGTGTGGGGTAGTTTCCTCCGACTCCAAGTCGCGACCTGGCTTCGTCTACTTCACCAGAAACGGAGTGGTTGTGAAGAGGATAGGGTTGACAGATCTGTTTGAAGACCTGTACCCTGTGGTGGGGTTCTCTGCAGAGAAGAGGTCGTCCCTGCTGTTCATGGACTGGAAAAGGCCTCTCTTTGACTCTCCCAATCTCCTGTGTGACTGTTAACTATCATAATATGTGTGTCTCTTCATTCAACCCTGTATTATAATTATCACTCAGTGTCCTTATGTCTCCTTCACTTTTACTTAATGTGTGATAATCAAAACACATTATTTTTTTCCACACCATTATCTCCGACATTAATTGGTGGTTCTGAATGTTTGGCCAAATTATAGAAATAAAGTTTTGTGATCACAGAGCCAAGAAAGGTAGAGAAGGATGATTTCTAAAAGAGTCAATGAGATGAGAGTCTGATTCACTAGCAACTAGTCTTAGCAGACGAACGAAACAGAAATATCTAACCACACCGTGTACCTCAAGACCTCTGCTGTCTATTAGGTCGTGCATGAGCTTATAATACTCACAATGGCTGTTATTTACTGACCTTTCTGCTGAGCTCCCTGACCGAACCACTCGGCCAGGAATACAACAGAACCTCTGATGACACTCTGTCTCTGTGCGTATGAAAAGGTTTCAGCCTTCACAGCAGTAAGACGTTACAAGTGTATACCTCGGAAGGTGACGATTGCCTGATTCGACACAGCCACAGAGCCTCAATAACATCAGTGGCTACGATGCTCAATGTGACGATGGCCTCCAGCAGACGGGCCAGAGAAGACCACACCTCCTCAACACCCTATGACAATCGACCAGGCAGACACACTGTACATTACATCAACAGAAATCTTGCTCATCCTACAGATAAAAAACTTCTTCATAGAAAGTTATGGTGAAGAACAAAAGGTAATGTGTGTCAACCTTTCCTACTTGCTGCAGGTAATGACTGAAAGAATTTGCACTCAGCAGTAGACGAACTGGGATGTCTTGCTTGAGACCTGTGAAAAAAACATACACATGCGTATGATAAGTGTAATCATCAGCGTGCACCCTTATTACCTTTCAGAAGACACCACAGAGAAGTAAATTTTTCCGAAATAGAGCTTTCTATTAGACCATGTGCCACTGTATGACAAATAAGCATAAAAGAGCTGTGGGGCTCATAGGGCCAAGTCCCCATGGATAAGGCTCAAAGTTACCAATTCCTCTAGTATACGGTATGTTCTATGACGTCATAATGGTGACTGACCCAGCAGAGCTGCATACTGAACTGAAGTGGAGAGGAGTTTGTCTGTGCCTCGAGGCAGGAGGTGGGGTGAGTACCCACCCTCTACCACCGTTACCTGAGCCAGCAGGAACTCTCTCACACTCTCTGTTGCTGCCACAACCTCTAGCACACCATCTGCAGTTGAAAGTATCATCAACACATGGACGCCCTTCCTTCCTTTCACGGTATCGAAATTTGCAACTTCTTCTTGCCTTTTTGTGGAGAACTGTGTTTCTCGGCCATAGCTGGAGATGTCAGCTTCTATTAGAGAGGATAAGTAGCTATATTATAATGGCAGTGTATATACAATGCTAAAGCATACCATAAACAGAGACATAGGACACAAGGCCGTTTGGCTACTAGTTCCTTTCCCGTCAGGTTTTCTCAAGAGTGCCTGGCTTGCTGTAGGGAGTGCGCTAGTGGATAAATCTTGAGTAGGGGACTGAAGGATGTTGCAGCTGGAGTGATCAGAGATCTCGAGGTAGTGCCCACTACTGGGTGATGGATGACTGTGCTTTGAGCTTTCGTCCAGAGACGAGACAGGTCTGTTGTTGGTCTGACTATTAGCATTAGGAGAAGGTAAGCCACTGCTAATGTCAGAGGAGAGGTCGTAAGACTGGTAGGATCTGTTGGTGGCAATAGGAGAAGGTACGCTAATGTTGCTGTGGGACTGGAGGTTGTCCGAGTGGTGTGACTGGCTGGCTTTAACTCCAATCCTAACTGCCTTTCGTAACTTCTCGTACCCACCACTAACCTCTTCAAACACTATGCCTGGGTACAAACACAGTCAACCAAAGACTAAATGCATGCTCAGTTTGATCAGCAGTAGCTATACCTCTCAACTTGGAGTTAATCCATTTCATACACCGTTCAATACACCAGTCAACAGCAATACCTATAGCTACAGTCAAAACCTAGAGTATATACAACAAGCATCTTTTTTAAGTTGCACCCTTTTCAAAGAGGCAAACCTGCTTAGGAATGGTAGCACACACCAGAGCACTCATAGCTCTACTGGTATTAGCTTCACTGTGTCTGTAACAAACTATTGTAATTCTATGCACAAGAGAGAAATAACTCACCCTCTACAGAACTGCGTTGCCTCTTTCAGGGCACAAGAGAATGTCTGATCTCTGACTTGGGCCACTTTCCTGACAGCTTCACTCTATGAAACAGGCACTAGACATAAATCACCAGGCCCACAAGCACAGTGTTCAGTCACAGACCCTATGAAAAAGCTCCTCCAGGTTAATACATGATCCACTACCGGGCTGGTCTGAGCTGCAAAATGTAACCATCAGCATTAGATATTGTCTGCATGCAGACTATTGCAGTCACTTGCCACGACTGGCCAATCCAGAGTGCCAGACTCTGTAAACCACTTCTGACGTGCTCGGGAACAATCTCACTCTGCACTAGCTGAACTGCTGTCTCAGAGACTCTATCATGGAGGCAATAAGAGTATGCCTGCATATAATCCGATAGATTGTTATTATAGTACATGCCTTTCAGAGACAGTGTCACAGAGCTGTTTAAACAGAGGAGGATGGTTTCTGAAAAAATTCTCCTGCAGTTTCAGCTAAAACAAGACGAGAAAGAGTAACACCCATGCTACTGTAATGGAGCTGGTAAAAGATGTATAGGTACCTGTAGCGGTGAGACTGGTGAAGATTGTGTGTGAGTGGTGTCTGGGCCAGCTGGGACGGGCTTGATCTTTCGAATTGGACCTACACCCCAGTTAGAATATAAATGCCATACACATCTCAACATGCATACAATTTCTTCTGGTAGAAAACTGTTAGCTACTTACTAGTTTTGGACTGGAGGCCAGAAGCAAACTCTGCCAGTGTGACTCGTATGCAAGCTATAGACACAAGAGAAGGATTAACACATTTTGTGTGGTTGTACAACTTGCAATAACTCCTCACCTAGGTAAGGACAGCAGATGTAGAGCAAGTCTCGAGTCACCAGCTCGCTCTAGAGATGAGCAACATTAATTGTCAGCTAGAACTACTAGAGAGTGCGTGCAGGTAGTAAGCTGCTAACCTGTGGCAGTTTAGAAGGCTGGAAGCCATCACTTTTCAGGCACTGGAAAAAGACTGAGCTGGAAACGTTGGGAGTCTGTAAAATATATAGGATAATACAGTATAGAGTAAATATTGGCGATTGTAAGCTTTGTAGATTAGGGGAAACAGTTCTTGCAAAAAGTTATCTATGCGGAAATACTTCCAAAATTCATGCACTTCAGGAATATGGGGCGACTATACACGTTTACAAATGGCATTCAAATTATAGGCCCAACGTACCTCAAGCAACCAGCCCAGACAGGCCAGCACCAGGAAGGAGTCTGCAGTAACAGACCCACCTTCTAGCAGAGTAGACCTGTGCCAAAAATCCAAAAACTTCTCTGTTTTATTGTCGTACGATTGCGCACACAACTCTCGAGCTACATCCACAGACAAACCTACCTATAGATTGCTACCATCTGGCAGAGGAGGGAGTGGACCTGAGGGACATGTAGGGCGTGGCTGTCGATCATACTCATGTAGTCCACTGCCCAGGGAATGGTGAGGGAGATATGCTCTCTCTCAACTGCCTCATTCACACACCGCGACACTAACAACGTATGAGGCTGCAAATGGAGAGAAAGAAGAGCCATTTTGTCTCTCAACTACACACACAGGGAAGAAAGAAACACCTTCCAGTTATGAGGCTACACACAAGGACAAATTAAGAGTAACAAATTGCGGCACCTCTCTTAATCTTAGATATAAGAAGAAACACCTGTGATTGTAAGAAAATGTTTCGATGCTGCGAGAAAAGACAACTTATAATCAGAATTACTGATGATATTTCCTAAGAGCTTTGTGTACTGGTGACTTACAGAGGCAGTTCTGGCCTGCAGGAGAGAGGTGCAGACACTGGCGGTGTAGGGTAGGAAGTCGAGGTAGCCCAGGAACTTGCCACACACTCTCAGAGCATGCAGGACCTCAGGAACCTCCCTGGTTGCCACCGTACCACAGCGACCGTGGAGCTGAAGAGATCACACCAGCAATACATGTACAGCACATTACTTACCAGTAACAGATTTAGAGGTATAGTAGCAACATTTTGCGAGTATTTCATTTTGTATGCTAATGCGCAGAATACCGCATGTGTTTACTAAGCCACGTTAGCAAAAAAATGGTACCCTTTGAAGACAAAACTCACTTTCAGAAGCTCATGATGGAGAGCTGTAGTTAGATGGCAGTTGAAAGTGTAGCTGTAGTAACAAGGCAGTAGGTCCGTTAGACAATGTATATAGCATGTCAAGAACATGTTTTTGGGTGGATGCAGCTATATAATATGTACACCAAATCCACCTGTCAGCGGATGTGACGAAGGAACTGAAGAACTGTTCAGATTCAGAGAATGTGGCTGGCGGGCAGGTTCCAGTACTGACATGTGGCTGCCGCTGGAACCGCTCACTCAGTCTGTGGAGGAAGCAAGAACGAACGGTCGAAAGTAAAGCTCTGATTTCTCTGCGAACTTCATGAGTTTGTCTGGATTGAGATTCTTCAGTGGGCCTTCTGCCAGCCTCTCCATCCCAGCACACAAGTGGGCAGCATAGCTACAGCTCTGCCAGAAGAGAAATAACACATTCATGATAGCATATACGAGTGCCTCCAACTAATACAGATTTATGCATAATTACAGAATTCGTACACAATTTACAGACAAAATGTGAAAGAGAAAAATTCGCTTCAAAAGGTGTGGCAAGTATCTATGATATATCGACGGGTAAGAGTGCTACATGGAAACATTACGTAAAATACGGAAAAGGTTGCCAATGGATGCAGACGACTGTATCTTATGGAGGGACTGATACATACAGTTGAACTGTACAGATATCTGTGTTAGGTTTGTCTACCTCCATGAGTTGCCTCTGGAAGAGAGTGGCAAGATGGTCCAGGCTGCATAACTCAGGAGGCTGACTCATCAGAGCCCTACGTTGGTAGACTTAGGGTCACATAGCCCAGGGGTCTGCGTACTAAAGGCCAGGGTATATAGGCACCTTATCTTGTCCCTCAGTGCAGACTGGAAGCTCCAGTGGGGCATGTTGTGATTAGCCTCCCACTCTCTCAATATTGAGTAAAAACTGTCCCTGCAGAAATTTTTGTTTTCAGAGTCTCGTAAAAACAAAATAAAGATATTGGACCTTTGTTTCTTGAAGGCGTGAAAGACTTTCATATTGGGAAAGTTTCTGAGGTTGTCGGTATCCTCTTGAAACGGAACTCTGTTGTTAGTGAGGGCACTCTGAGGCACCACGTGACTCTGCCCTCTGCTACTGACCTGGGAATATCATAATAGCAAACTACCTACATAGGTCCAGTTCAGTGGTACTGATGGGACTTTGGCAGTTGTGTTTACTGCTGTACTAACGTCCGTTTGAGCTCTTTCCAGTGCTACAGAAAGAAATGCCGCTAGTTTTGGTTCCAACTGTTTGATCTATATAAGGAAAAGAGAAGAGAGGGGAAGAATTGAGTTAAAAATCACAGTGGGATACATATGTTTTTCTACTCACTCGAGTATTATCACTCAGTAGTTGTAGAGTGGCAGTATCCAGTGCAGTGAGAAAACTGGAATAAAGCATACAGAATGTGCACCATTAGAGCCCAACTCAAACTTTGTCAGAATTTGCTCACTTTCTGATGTTGTAGAGAACTCTGACTGCAAAATAGACACAGTTCTCAACTGTGCGAAATAGGTTCTCTGATCCATCTGCAGAAATGAGATATTCTAAACAATTATAATGTCTACAACACTTAAAAACACTAAAACAACACCTGATATGTTTTGTAGTGCGTGAGTTGGCTGGGTGCATGTCAGAAGCTGAACAACAAAGTGGATCTCAGACGTGATATTGGGCACCAAGCGATCTATAGCAGAATATATTTGAGCATCAGAACAGCATATCAACCACTAGTGCAGTACCGGTGATAATCTTGGAGTGAAGCTGTGCTAGGTGCTCCAGTGAGGTCCTATTGGACACTCTATTAACTGAGAGAACTGAGAAAACACTGGTAGCTGGAGCAGGGGTGGAGGTACGAACTGTGCCTGCATGGCTTGAAAAGAGAGCCCCATCTGTACGGCTGGGTGACAACAGAGCTGATTCCGATCCAGTGGAAAAGGCTTGATGGGTGATAGATTTGTTACGGGTAGCATTGCTCATAGTTGATCTACATTGAGTATTCTCTACTCTTCCAGGGTGTTTCAATCCCCTATCCACTTTACGACTGTCACTTCTCCTCTGCACTATTTGTCTGGACCTCTCCTTCCGGAGCAGTTTCCTCTCCTCGCTCAGGGGAGAGGGGGCGGAGGATGTGGTCACCATTTGGCCCACAAAGGCAGGGTGTGGAGACCAGCTCTCGTTGGCTGGAGGGAGGGGTGTGAAGTGGGGAGGGTGAGAGGAGGGAGTTTGGTGAGGTGTGCTCCGACTCATGGACGTCAGAGTGATCCTGCGTGGCTTGGTTGCCTTTTTCTCCTTCCTCCTGACAGTTGAACAGAAATTAGATCATACGTATTTGGTGCATCAACCCATATACCAAGAATTTTTAAGGGAGAAGTGGAAAACCCATTTTGCAGGAATGTTTAGAGGGAGAAGTGATGGGGTGGGAAATCAAATTGCTGCCCATATTTCAAAGAGAAAAAAATTCGGAAGGTTCTCAAACCATAGGCTTTCTACTTTTGCCACACTAAGGTATAATTATGTGTAAATAAGTTTCATCAACCTGCAGGTAGTGTTCACACTGGGCTGCATAGGCGGAAACTCCTCCAGACTGTTCACATCCAGAACAGTAGCACTGCCCGACCGACCACCAAACAGAGCTCTCTTTGGAGACACTCCGCGACTGGCAGCTCCTCCTTTGCCTGTCTCGGGCGGTTCCCTGGCTCTCCGCCCCTCAATTCTGCCTCTATCTTCATCAACAGCGTTTGCCGCTGGGCGACGATCAGAGGAGGGTGCATTAGAGCTGCCTGCGCTCCTCAGCAAGAGTATGGGCGTCGTCTGCTCCTGCAGGAGTTGGATTAGAGCGAAGGCATCGCCTCCGTCGAGGCTGCGCTTTGCAGAAAGCTTTCGTAGTTGCTCCTCCACCATTAATTTTCACTCCCTCGCACGCACGCGGAAAACTCGCGGGAAATTGGAACTTTGCACTTTAACGCATGCGCACACTGATATATGGGCGGAGCGTAAACGGACTGCAGGACAGGACAGCAGGCAGGCTGAAAAATGAGCTCACCTTCCTCTCCGACGAGAGAGAGCATCTCAGGTGGGTTGGAAACGGTGAGAAATACTCTCCAGACTGCGTACCGTCTGTCTTCCTGGCGCGAGAAACAGCCAGAGCCGAGACTAGTGGCAGTGTCAAAGACCAAACCAGCGGAGGTGGTTCGGTGGGCCTACGAGAGCGGACAGAGACACTTTGGAGAAAACTACGTCAAAGAGCTGGTGGAAAAGGCCAATGACCCCAGTCTAGCCTCCCTGGACATTCGCTGGCACTTTATCGGTCATTTACAGCGAAACAAGTGCAACAGCCTCGTCTCAACACCTGGACTGTGGATGGTGGAGACGGTCGACTCCGACCGATTGGCCACTGCTCTAGACAGCAGCTGGAGAAAGAAGCAGACCGAGCAGAGACTCAGAATCTATCTCCAGGTGAACACGAGTGGCGAAGAGGCTAAATCGGGGTGCCAGCCACAGGACATCCCTCGTTCAGTAGAGCACGTCCGAAACAACTGCCCTGGGCTCGAGTTCCGTGGATTGATGACAATAGGGAGAATGGGCCACGACTACGCCACAGGACCAAACCCTGACTTTGAGGTTCTGGCAAGAACGAGGGAGGACCTGTGTTCTCAGCTGGGCGTACAGCCTCGGACGGTCGAGCTGAGCATGGGCATGTCGGCCGACTTCACACAGGCAGTAGCTGCTGGCAGCAGTAATGTCAGAGTTGGTTCTAGCATCTTTGGAGCTAGAGCCCCAAAAACTCCATCATCATAATAATTATAGGTAATTCATCATTCCACAGGGTCACCCCTTATTATCACAGTCACCATAACTTCACTGAACTCAACTCCATGAAAGAACATGATGCTTACAGAATCACTTATGATGTTATATTATAAAAGAGAGAAACACACACTCTTATATAGTAGACAACTATATATACACTGAGAAGAAGAGCTGAGATGTGCTGAAGACCAAAACATTATGTAATGACACCTAATGTTCTCCAGACTCCTGGACAGGTTCAGAGTCCTCAATTTCCTCCAGGAAGAGCTCAGTTGGTGAGGTTCCGTAGTTAACCAGCTGTCTACCCACCAGATATCTATTGTAGACACACGTATATACGAGGAGAAGGGAGGAGAGAGAGAGACGGTTATATATGTGAGAGGTAAATGAGCATACATCATAAGATATAGCAGGAAACGGTTAGGGTTGTTATTGTTGACGAGGACCATTTGCATTTGATTTGCGAATATATTAATACTCCATAGAGGAGAGCAAGGAAGAGATGGACTTACTTGTCGTTCTTGACTTTGATGTAGAGTTTGTTGACTCGCCTCACGGCCAGTGTAACGAGGAGGTAGACCAGGAGAATGAGACTCAGTGCGGGGAAGAAGTATCGATACACCAACAGACAGTGCTCATAGGGCAGTCCTGGGGTGGTTGGGAGACAGAAAGAGAAAAAAAATTACCAGCTGCCCTATACTATATCACATTCCTGCACATTGATTTTGCCAAAACCTTGGAGCTTGGACCAGAAGGTTACAGTAAATAAGTAGCTTCTGCAATAAATTTGTGCATCCTCAAAATTTTAAACCCCAAGATGGAAAACAAACTATATACGTAGGTCCAAGTCCCTCCATGCTGCTTCATTGTATGTATGTAATCATATATACCAGTGAGAGGGACGATGCCCATGAAGGCGACGTAAGGTAGAGCTATGGTGAGAGAGAGCCCCGCGATGACTGGCCATGCCACGTTCTTGAAGATGAACGTCAGGTCAAGATTCCTCACTCCTGCCTGATACACCTGTAGACATTGCAGACCATCACCAAAGAACATCATACACACATACTCATCTGTGCGTCAATGACACGATGAGGTAGAACCAAGATTCTTGAGGCAGCCAAGGATGCATAATATGTACATAGCGCTCGCCTAGACTGCAGAGTGTCGTGGGTTCGAATCCCACCCAGGGCAGCTCTTCCTTTTTCCTTGGAAAAAAGAGCTGTCCTGGGTGTAGTTGACTTGTTTGTTGTGCCTTTGCCTTTCTATCTCTTAGTTCACATGAGTAATCTACAACTAACTGCACGAGCCGCTTTCAGCTCGGTGCACGAAGTCATGCACCTATCAAATGTACATCTGCAGAATAAAGTATATACCTGATCCAGGGTTCGTTTGAAAGGGATGTTGGTGAGCCAAATGGCGCCACAGATGCACTTGGTGTGCAGTAGCCCCAGCGCCCACTCCTAACACACAAACAACAGCAGTACATTTTGTTAACCCAAGGCAGTGGCATTTGAGTAAATACACTGGTCTAAAATTACAAAAAAACCCTCCCTCAAAAATGATAACCCTGCACGAGACAGAGTTGCAAGCAACTTCAAATGTAAGATAGAACCATGCAACATGTTGCACGCGAAGAGAAATACGTCTTTTTGCACTGACTATTTACATCTGAAGTGTCATGCAACTTGTGTCTCTACACAACGACTCACGGTGGAAGGGTAGAAGAGAGGGGTTCTGTTGCTGGGTACTCTGAGAGGAGTTATGACGACGAGGTCCACCAGGTGGCCCAGCAGGAGAGGAATCACCACCAGGAGTAAGAATCCTGCCACTACACACTTGCCTCCCTGTACGTAGAGGAGAAGAGAGACGGGGGGCACTAAAAAGAATGGTTCACTATAAAGACTGGCTATCACTATAAGCTACTCGTTTCCGTCAAGAAGAAAAGCGAGAGCGAAGGGGAGGAAGTGATGTGAAAGTGAGACGAGAGGGAGAGAGGAGATGCTTGATGCAAGAAGACACTTGAATTCTATTCTAGTTTAGCTTTTGAGAAACATTGTATTGAAAAGCAACACAGAGTCTGTACCACTATCCGCGGCCTTATATATAATACACACACACATATATATATAATTAGTTATGAGGATGCATTTCACAGTTGGACATAACATACACTTCAACAAAGACTCATTGTGAATTACCAAGCATTAGGATATTTTTTCACAACCTTCGACCACTTTAAAATGTCATCCCAAGTATTACTTTCATGTACCAACAATCTGAGACTAAACCCAACGAACGGATACCTGTAGGGACCAGATGGATATCTGCCAGGCGAGCGTGGACAGACCCTGGGACATGTAGTGGAGCAGAGTGTTCAGGGCCCTCAGGACCAGCCACACTGCGTAGAGGCCTATTGCAGCAGTGTATATATCTGGAGCCTCTGACACTCCCACCAGACTCATCAGCAGGCGACCCACTGACACTGGGTGGAGAGGGGGGAACACAAAGGGGTCAATGCTATGGGACAGTCAAAAAAGCTAGAAAGGTTCAATTTTTAATAATCAGTGAAGAATGGGTTAAAGGTGAGGAAGGGGTGAATTTTAATTGGTGAAAAAGGGGTTAAAGCTATGGGTCAGTCAAGAAGGGGTAAATTTCAACTAGTGAAAAAGAGTTGGGAAATGTTATTTGTATGAGAATAAGGGGTTAAAAACTGGGCAAAGAACCTGGGAGGGTCATAGAGGCAACACTGGTGGCGATAGACACTGCGGCAGTGAACAGCAGAAACCCAACCAGCTGAGAGACAAGAGCAGAACATACACACCTAACATAGAAGAGATCCTTCAGCAAACACGTGTAAAAAGCACAAGAGAGAAACAGATGTAAAAAGATGCATTTGAACGTATCGGCTAGGTAAGTTTAAAGTTGTGGAGATGACATCTTACTCTGAGGTAGAAGAAGCGAGGTCGAAGGTAAGGCTTGAATGGAGCAAAGCCAGGTCCCAGGATCTGGACCGGTCCGTCATACACCGGACCGTCACGGTCAGCTTGGTCTTGCTCGGGTTGACCATCACGGTCAGCTTGGTCTTGCTCGGGTGGACCATCACGGTCAGCTTGGTCTTGCTCGGGTGGACCATCACGGTCAGCTTGGTCTTGTTCTGGTGGACCGTCACGGTCCCTGATGGTATCGTGTGGTATTTGATGGATAATGTTCTCGTGTACATCGACAACATCACCCTACGACCACAGAAAAGAGAGAGAGAGAGAGAGAGAGAGAGAGAGACGAGAGAAAAGAGGGCGAAAGAATGTGCTAAAAAGGGGCTCAGTTACAAGTGGGCATCAAAAGCGGCTCACCCCAGTCTGTGCCTTGTCCAGAAGATATGACTGGAGACCACTGGGTGACAGAGACAATGAACAAGAGGCGCATTACTTAGTTGTGATCCGTTATACAACTAACGAAGGGACGCACAACGTAGCAATTTAGCAGAAGATGCGACTAAAAACTGACGACTCATTTCAACACCAGTGAAGTAATCAGGCCCAGTATAAGACTCATAAGAGAGAAGCAGAGAGTCTGGCCCAGTGGCAACACAATGGTATTAAAGAGTATCGACTCACAACGGTACATAGGCTACGTCCACAACAGCACATCGGCTAGTTAGTACCTCACTCATAGGGGCCAGTTGTATATCAGACTCACAACAGATAGGCGGAGAGTCTGGCCCAGTGTTTGATGAGGAACTTGAGGCCGGCCCGACTGTTGCCGTGCTCTAGGAGCGTCGGGACCACAAACTGCAGTAGAATCAGCTCCAGCTGGATCTCTCTTATCGGACTGATGGAACTGCAGACACGTAGTATAATAGAGACATTAGAGTATAATACAGTATAATACAGACAGTACAATACATACATTAGAGACGCTGTAGATTTCAAGTGAGAAATGAAAGTGTGCATTTTGTGGGGAAGTTTTCTCAGCGCATATCGGTAGGTGGAACTCATCCCCTAACAGAGTGTGCTACTATGCAGTGAACTTGCTCCCATGTGGTCTTATGTACACATACAATAGTTTAGTACAAGTGAAGTGATATTACAAAACCTGGCAATGGTGAGGTTGAAGGGAAGGAAAGAGGGGAAGAGGAAGGAGATGACTCGACTCGGAATGAACAGAGCAAACATCACACAGACTCCAAACATCAACTGCAACAGACAGACAATGCATTCCTTCATAGTCACTTCATACATGTACAGTACATCGTGGAGTTTCAGAATTGTGAGCATCTTTCGTGCAGAAAATGTAATATTTAGCAGTAGTATATCAAATCAACCAGCACTATGGCGAATGGAGCTACACTTACACAAGACATGACAAATCTCCGCAAGTGCCTCTGCATCGGCAGCCCAATCATCTGTGCAATGATGTGCAGATCATACACAAACAGCACACGAAATATCACAGCCCCATTAACAGTATCTACAATGCTAGGTATTACCATGCCCATCTCTACAATATGGGGCCAACAATTTTGTCCCTTGTAGAGAGGTCGTCCCTATCTCAGAGGTAAAGTATTAGCATGGGGTTGAAATGAGTGTCCTTTGTACAGAGGTTGTCCCTATCTCCTTATCGGAGGTTCCACTGTAATATCATCATATTAGCGATGTACAACCTCTTGTATGGGGTGGAAGTTTTGGTCGTTGAGGTTGCGGAGGAACCAGAGGACGCCAGGTCGGAGGACCTCTCTCAGGAGCATCACGAACGAGGCGAGGTAGAAGATGAAGATCATGCCAGCCAGCCAGTGGAGAAACATTATCGTACCTGCCACACCACAACACCCAATCAATACTCCGAACACTACCCCAGAAATACAATTTCTACACAGTATTAATTTTGTTGGAAGCTCAGACCAACACCCAAACAGTGTCGTAGAGTTAGCAAGTGAAGAGGGCCTACCCGGTTTTCTAATGGCACAGCTTTTTACAAATAATTACCACTATCTAGCAATTCGCCTACTAAATACCACAAGTTCCAATCCACAGGTATATACAGTGTGTGTGTGTTTGTTCCATGTACTACATGTCTGTTTACCTGGAGCTTTTTGGAGGCTCTCTTGTCTCGAGGACAGCGTTGACCCAAACAGACCCTGGGTGGTGAGAAATGGAGAAAGAGAGTGAGGAGGGAGAGAGGGAAGAAAAGAGTTATGAAAAGAAAGACAGACTCATGGATAGAGGGAGGGAGGAGAGGAGAGAGGAAGACAAGGAGAGAGGAGAGAGGGAGTAAGGAGGGAGACAAGGAAGGAAAAAGTGGGAGAGAAGACAGAGCCAGGGATGGAGGACTCACAAAGGCGCAGATGTCGATCCACCAGCCACACAAGAGAGGGAATATCCCAGCCTCCACTGCCAGTATCATCCCAACCTTGATAGCCACATACATCACTCCCAGGACACTTTGCACTCTACGTATACCAGCAGACAGAGGAGAGAAGAAAAACCAACTACTGCATAGGAGCTTTCATACATGTCTATGAAGAGACTTAGTACCTCTGCATTAGGTGTATGTACATACAATCATATCCATGTGTATATACATCAAGTGATCTCTAACAGATTGCTGGTATTGCGCTGGTATTACAATGTCGTCCAACTTTCGTATACACGTGTATGTATGGTATACACACGTACCTTGGCAGTCTTATCCATCCCATCCCATACTAAACAACGCAGTCAAGGAACAAGGACGTCGGACACACACAATGATCCAGGCACACAAAAATGTTTGGCAAGCAAAGCAAGTCAGGTTGAAATTACGAGCGAAAAATATTGAGGGAGGGAACTTTCGTGATTGGAAGGCAGTTAACAATGTCACACTTACATACAGACTTTGGTAATGCAAATAGAGAGAGCCCCCCACTAGCTTAACAAGGAGAAAACTTTTTAACTTTCGCAGTTGTACTTGAAACAATGAAAAACGCAACCGTTATCTGTCCCTGAATGATTCCCGCTATACATTACGGAGTCTTGCTCTGGTAGAATGCATTGGTACTACTACTGCTGCTGGTGGATACGTAGAAGGCAATGATGACACAACAGACGACGATGTAGCCGATGAAAGTAGCGACTGCTCCTCTCCACGTGACTATTCCCACCTGAAACAATAACAGACAACACATCAATAGCTGCATTTACTACTCACCATTTACTACACATCAATAGCTGCATTTACTACACATTAGTACAGGTAAATTACACCGGTTAGTTTGGGAAATACATCTCTATTTCAGCACCTGTTCATACACACGGTAATCCGGTTGCAATTATGAAATTATGACATGTACTGTACATACTACGTACGTATGTCCATTGTTTGGTAACAGCTGTGAGATGCAAGTGAGTCCGATATAAACAGAGAACGTACGAGAGGAAACTTTACGATGGGGAAAGCCTAGTTTCATGGGTTGTGCAAATCCACGAGATTCCGTGAGCAGAGACGTCTCACAGCAACCTAGACCAAAGTTCCCCATCACACAGTAAAGGGAACAACTATTCCCTTTAAGGCACCACATTCCAGCAACCTATCGTCACCTCATAATGCAGCTGTCATAGCTAAACCTCCTAGCCTCCACCCTCCTACAGTTGTACATAATGTAAATATGTGGTAGCATTGACAATGTATGAGGTTGGTACACATGTACTGTATGTAAGTGCAAAACAGGACTGACCACGTCCCAGAGGGAAGTGAGGGCAGCTGCCAGTCTCCCAATCTGGTACGGAACGAAGACTGAGGCAAAGGAACAGAATATAACCACAAACACATCAGCCTACAAGTGTCACTCACTGAAGCTCATAATAAGAGCCGACACGAGGCAGATGAGCCACAGGACATGTTCCTGAGAGACACAAAACAAAGACTAGCTTCGAGATTGTACACAAATTTGCTTGAAATGGGCTTAAAAATGCTGCTGGCCCTCCAGAATTGATGGACCACGTACATCCAAGGTTCTACGGGCTGGCGGTATTTGCGTGAAGAAGGTTTATAGGTATGAGCCATGTAATACACGTATGTTGTGAGTGTATGACACAGGGGGACTCTCACCAGGAAACGGTAGGTCCCATCCAGCCCCAGCAACTGTGGATGTAGTGAGAGAATACACAGTGTTTAACATACGCAGAGCATCTTTCACACAATTCAACGTATACATTCACAAACGTAGGCACCATTCATACATTTTATACCACACGATCGGTTTTCCTCCGAGTGCATAACATTAGCTAGTACAAACACACACTTTTTTCTTCATTGGAGTTGGCCTAATGATAATGGAAGTTCACTTCTGGGTGTCTCTGCCAACTACCACCAACACTTATCAAAAAAACGGAATGCTGCGATGGTTAAATGAATGTAAATACTGTATCTTGCCAATGAAACTCATGAAACAATCGCACAATGGGGTTGATTAGCAATAAACAGATGTCAGTATAATTATACTAGGAATGTACATGCGCATATCTTGCCTCGCACCTGCCAGCCAATGCGGTAACAGTCCGACTGAGGCCGCTCATGCGTGCGCTCTACTGACTGTACGTACGCATATCACGAGAATACAACCCGGAGTACTCGGCAATAAAGACAAGACAGAGAGTACAGTGGTTGTTGATGTGCCTTACTCTAGCCCACGTGATCTCCTCATTCAATTCTGGCCTGCCAGGCTCTGCGAGGAACGGAGAAAAACTGTAATCACAACCACAACACATGTATACCAGACAACACTCGCCCAAAGAAACCAAATGTTAGAGTACGTTGCACAGCAGACAAACAAAGACGCTAAACACACCAGCATACAGTAGTACAGGGCACCTGCAGCTTCAAACAATATTTGCACACACACGGCATATTGAAAAGAGCCAGAAGCAGTATATGAAAGAAAGCATATACAAAATTTTTTACTTCTATAAGCACGCACATGCAGTAGGGAGGTTATCGTAATGCATATAAGACTGGTATATAGTGGGTAAAGAAATGAACGGAAAAAAGACAACTTTTCTTTTACCAAGAACAGTTTCTTGCATGCAAATTAACCCTTACAAACAGGACACTTCACTAAATATTCAGACTTTGTCCCATTTCTGTCCAGATTAGAGGCGTTCCACTAATAGTCACAGAATGGAGAATACCTGGTGGGCGGTCTCGAGCCAGTCCCACTAACGCTCTCCCAATGTTTGGTCTGTTGTTGGCTGGCCTCGGGGGAAGGGGCGGGGCCACCTGTGGATGACATCATCATCACATGACTATCACATGATACTCAAACACTTGTATTATGGAGTGCACTGTACTCGCTAGCTAGTTGGTCAGTCTTTCTCCTCACGTAACGTTCAGGCCACCCATTGTTCACAGAAACTCCTGAGAATTGCACTGCAATCTTCAGCTAAAGTCGAGGTATTAGGTACTGTTACTTGGCCTGTCTCTCCTCTCACATACTCACTAAAAGTACGAAAGATTTAGGCCACCCTATTTTCCAGTCACTCCTGAGAATTGCACTGCAATCTTCAGCTAAAGTCGAGGTATTAGGTACTGTTACTTGGCCTGTCTCTCCTCTCACATACTCACTAAAAGTACGAAAGATTTAGGCCACCCTATTTTCCAGTCACTCCTGAGAATTGCACTGCACTCTCCAGTTATAGTCAAGATATTCACCACTGCTAGTTTGCCATTATTACCTCTCACATACTCACTAAAAGTACGAAAAATTAAGCCGCCCTATTTTCTAAAGTCACTCCTGAGAATTGCACTGCACTCTTCAGCTATATGCATAGTCTTTTAATACTCTTAGTTGTCCTATTACCAATTCACCAAAAGTACCAGTATAATAATCTTACAGCGTCATTCTGGGGTCTTCCCAGCAGTCTGTTGTACCATCTGGAAGTGAAAGTTCAACATCACGGACACAAACGGATGGATAGAGTGGCACACCTTCTGTTTTCCTGTCCACCTTCGTTCTGCCCGTCCTGTCCAACAGGTCGGTCCTCCGCAATCAGACCAGCTGCTATCCGTTCTTTTCTCCTCGTTGCCTCCTGCTCTCGCAAAGATAAAAGAGAAATAAATTCATGAATCTCGCTAAAGGATGAATTTTCCAAATTGCTAACAGTGATGATTGTTCTAACAATTCAGCAGGGCAAAACAGCGACTTCAAAATGTAGGGGGCACAAGTTTATTTTTAACAGAGACAAACTAATGGCAAAGGCTCACCACTAGTTTGAATTTTGTGACGCGGAGTCTTCTAATTAGAGCACTCTCCACTGGCAGCAGTTTCCCGACTTCGGCATTCTCCATGTCGGCATCCCACCCCTCCACCTCTGTCTCCTCCTCCTCCTCCTTCCCCTCGTCCGGGTGGGTGACTCCAAACACATAGTGCTCTCCATACGTCATCACCCTACCCAACAACATCATCAGCCGAGAAAAACACTCAACTAAAGGGCATTTTATCCGCGATGCAAGAAAAATAGAGTTGCATGGAACTTCACATGTATGGGTATGATAGACCATGAAAAAACATGTTTATAGCGTAGCTATCCTTTTAACCTTTTCATGCATATTTCATTGGCAGATAAACTAGTAGTGATACTAGCTAAAAGAATAATAAGAAAGAACCCTTCAACCACCCCACCCATCCTCTGAAAACTCTCTCTCACTGATGCTCTTGTCATAGACCATGTAAGAAATAGAAAGCATTGCTTTTGCGTGCAACATGTTGTGTTGACCATCACCGTACATTAGAAGCTGCATGAAATTTTGTCTCACTAAACGAAAGTCTAAAGTGCATCGTGGCCCCTGTGTTTCAGGAACTGACGATAGAACATATCTCCAAAATCGTATAGAGAGGGAGTGTATGTGTGACAGTCTCACTGGCAGATCATCTCGGTGTGTTCCTGCTGGTTCCTGAGGATCCTCCGTTGTTCCTGCCTCACCTGCTCCAGTCTCCTCTCCGTCTCCTCCCTCTCTGTCACGTCCATCTCCCTTCTCTCTCGTCGGATGAGCTGCAGAAATCACACAACGACACAGTACACGCTTTTACCGACTTACCGGCAGGTTAATTGGCAAGCAAAGCAAGCTCTCCTAGTCATCTCTATTGTGGAGTTTTCCACGTCTGTGAGCACTGTCTGCCATACTTTAATGTTTGAACACGAAACACCAAATTTTTCGCATACATCTGCGACTAACCTCGCGAACCTTTTTTTCACAACCATTACCTCACACACTAGTACTAGTGTACAAAATATGATTTCCTAGAGATACTGCCCACCCGGAGTACACCAAATTGACATTCATAAGTGTGACCGACACATAATGTTGTGGCGAGAGACGATATATACGCACTCGGCAATATAGTATGACATACTGAAAATGTGGCTACTTTGGCTATCTGCTTTGGGCTGTTGTGCAAAGATTCAGCCCGTGTAGTTTACCCAGTACATCTTCACTTTCAGTACAGAACAGGAACACATCGTTTTGTACATGGAGGTCCCAACATGCGACAAGTCGAGCATAGCTACAATGCTTGTTGCGATGTAGGGCGATTCATTTACTTACATGCATATGAAACTTTAGCTTTACCATCACACTATACTGTATGTATGTATGCTGCATGTACAATACCTGCATAACAGTGACTTCTTCAGGGGTAAAGGCTTCACCCCAATCCGACGGGGGTGGAGTATGGGGTATGGGGTCGGGGGCCTTGTAAGACTCTGGTGGGGTGGCCCCCTCGTCCCCCGTCTCCTCCCGGTACCGACGCACCCTGTGTCGCTCCCGCCACCCCTCATTCCTCCGCCCTTGCTTCATCCTCGCCCCCCGCAGGACCATCATGAAGTGTCGCTGGCCCGCCCCGAGGTCGTACGAGAGCTCCAGCTCTCTCACTCTCAAATGCTCCAGTTTCTGGTCGAACCGGCGACTCTGGACCTCCTGCAGCTGCTTCATGTAGCGGGACCTCTTCTCTTGTATCTCCTCCACAGCCCGCGCAGCCTCTCTCCTCCGAGGGGATAACTGCAGCAGTACTGCCTCTGCAGCTAGTTCCTCCTCCTCCTCCTCCTCTTCCTGGTCATCCTCCTCCTCCTCGTCAAAGTCAGGGCGGTCTGCCTGCTGGTGTCTATGGCCGTCCCTAGCAACGGCTTCCCTCCGCTCCCCCTCGATGCGGTCCTGTTCGAGCCACTGCGGACCGCCGCCATTACGAATCTGGTCCTGGAGCCAGACCACGCTGATGAACCCCAGGAGTGACAGCAGGACAATCACCAGACCGTAGAACCCATCACTGGCCAGGTTCTCCCTGTGCATCCACACACAGTCATACATGAAACACACGTGTAAATACACTATTGTCTTTTTTTTACTTCAAGGATATATCTACAAGAATCGTTGAGCAAAGTTAGCCAATCTACAGTTGACTTCCTCACAAAAATGCATTAATACAGTACTTATGATGACACACTGTGTATTGCATGTCTAGAAGTATACACTACATACATGTAGTACACACATAAACTTGATATGCGGTGTCTTTGTGAGTGTGTGGATGAATAACTCACAGTGATATGAGCTCCAGAGGGAACCGCACAAACGACCATAGAGTCCCATAGAACAGAACTCGGTAGATCCGATCTACGCACGAGACACAAAGTTCACCGTATTACGCACTCCAACACATGCTAAAACCCCACATCTAGCATGTACGTGTGTTACCACAGAAAGTCAGACCACACCATCATGGTCTGATGCTATCACAAACATACCTCTCACACATATCTTGACACCACACCTACATAGTTATCAAGCTACACATCACTGAAAGTGCAAGTGAAAGTGTCGTGTATGACATCAGGAACAAAAAGGCTGGCATGTCCTTCTGAAAGCCTGGAACAGCAGCATCCATACCGCTGAGTATTTACACCTCAATGGTTGTTTTGATGCTGGTCCACAAACACACAGGTCCCAGGGAGATACTGTGTTTTTCCCAACAGAACTTTTCCTTACATGTGCACCGGGCTCCATACGCACGTGTCCACACTCACACGGAGCTATGTATATATTGCTGAGAAGCTCTGGGGGTCCGCAGTGTGAGTGTGGATATAGCTAATGTCAGAGGCGTATTGTGCAAACAGTTACCTCCCAAGACTGCTGACACAACTGGTAGTGTAGTAGTATACACAACTGCGTGTAATGGACTACTAGTCGGATTAAAACGCAGAGTGGTACAGTACAGAGCTCAGTTGTAGGGCAGAGTGAGAGACAGATAGAACTGTAGTTTGACACGACCGAAGAGCGGTGGATAAAAGTGTTAGGACTTTACACTGGCATACGGAACCAGTAGAAAAGGTTCTCGAGTGAAACCTTTGCTGCAGCAGTAAAGTTACTGTTCAGGAGGTAAGTATGGGACTCTATGTAGCATGCTATACCTTTGTTTCAGAGCTACAGATCAGTCCAGTACTATATCAGCATCACCAACGTAAAGGCAATTGATTGATCATAGTATAAAAGCTATATTTCATAGAGTAACTCGATCATCACACACTTTTCTTCACAGCCTAACATACAGTTCGGCAGTTTTGCCGGAGAAGAGTGTAAAAGAATGTCGAAAAAGTTCAGGTTCCAGAGCGTAGTTCTCGACCACGCGAAACCCCTGGGGTCAGGTTACTATGGCAACACGTACACGGCTCACTGCGACCACCTTCTGTGTGCCGGGAAGCACATGACGCCAGAGCTTTTTGAAGTTGAGCGAGAGTCCGGCTGGGGAGGCACCGCCAGCCGGAGGGAGGGGAAGATCAAGAAGAGCCTCATCACGGCATTCCTGCACGAAGTGGACAACCTGCGCCGCATCTGCCACCCCAACTTGGTCCAGTACCTGGGCACCCACGTCGACGCGGACTCTGGACTCCCGTCCTCATCATGGAGCTCTGCCAGGACAACCTCACCACCTACCTCGACAAGTACTTCGAGTCTCTCGCCTATCACAAGAAGGTGAGTCTACTGCACGACGTCGCCCTCGCCCTCGTGTTCCTCCACGCTCACGGGATCGTCCACGGGAACCTCGGCAGCAACAACGTGTTCGTTGTCCCCTATCGTCTCCCGCGGGCAAAGATCTCCGATTACGGGCTGTGCCGAATGCCTAGCATCGTCAAACACAGCTCCAGGTACTACCGAGGGAACTCGGCATATCTACCGCCAAATCCACTGGTCTGTCTCCTGAAGAACGCACCAAAGGTTGACTGCTACTCGTGGGGAGTGCTGGCCACTCAGATGCTCACCAACCAGCTGCCTCTACCTCCTCCCAAACCCTCTGAAAAGGTACATACGCACACACAGAGGTTTAGCTCAGCAGAGAAGAGTTGGTGTACACCCTCCATCTCCAACCCTGCTTTCCCCTCTACTGAAGTATATTTAACCATGATTACAAGCAGTTTGTGGTCTTTGGCAGCGGATGTGTGGGTAAATGGTCATTCAGGCCCAATTATTCACTTCCAGGCTAAACGGTGTCCTATGCATTTGTGAGTTCATTTAGTGAAGCTCATCACCATCTTCAAGCCATAATTTATCACTCATCAGTTCCACAGTTGGTATCATCAGATCATTGTATAGGCTTGAACAATGCAGCTTTTGTACTCCGTTGCACGCCTACAAAACAATGCACTGATCTTCAAGCGCAATACAACCATGACCAAAATAAGTCATACAATGCAACTAAGTATATTATAAGAGAGTAAGACTATGATTGGTCATGTTTAATGCACAGGTGAAGGGAGAGCAGCCGATAAACATAGAGGAGCATCACAAGACGATCCTGGCATTGGTAAATTCAGCCAACCCTCTCCTCCCCATCATCAAGAGTTCTCTCAGGCAGCTCGAGGGGCACCGCCCACCCAGCGACGTCATCAGCTACAGCCTCGCAGAGCTCAAGGCGGACAGGATCTACATCGACAGCGTGGAAAAGGAGTCAAAGGAGAAGCAGCAACAACAACAACAACCGCCGAAAAGGGAGGAGAAGGAGAAGAGCATGGCGGGTACCAGCAAGCTGAAGAAAGATCTGCGGGAGAGCAAGATGGAGGTGGAGAAGCTAAGGAAGGAGCTGTTTGGAGCGGGGAGGCAACAAAGGGTGGTGCTAAGACCGACCTTCTCGGAAGACACCACAGAGAGGAGGGTCAAGACAATGAAATTCACTCGCAGCGGCAAGGATGATGAGCACATGAATAGATACGGGATGAGTGTACCAATACTGGACTCCAACAGTATCCTCCACGGAGGCAGCAACAGAGAGATCCTCGGGAGTTACTGCTCGGAAGAGGGTGCCCTGAAGGAAGTGGAGGGAGAGGCAAACGGGAGAAACAGCATTCTGAGGGCCAAGTCGTGCAGCAGGGAGCTGGAGCTGGTCGGGGAGGAGGAAGAGGCTGCGTCGGGAAAGATGGAGGAGTGGAGGGAGGAGACTGATGCTGTTGACCTCGCGGGTCCCAAGACTGCAAGCAGCCACACTGGGTGCTAGCTCGAAGAAGAAAAGATGGAGTCTACTGCGGAAGAGCTCCACGCTTCCAGACATGCAAGCCCCAGCGAACACCCCGACACTGACAGTTAGGGTTGGAACCAGCGCACTCTCGGCCATGGTTCGCGGATACTCGGCTGTTGACGAGGAAGGAAAGGCCTTCTTTGCCTCCTTCTCGTCCTCCGACAAGCGAATCTACACGTGCAAGGTCCACAAGCACTCGAAGAACCTAAGCTGGCTGGTCATCCCCGAGTGCCCCCACTTTGAGTTCGGACTTGCTCTGGTCAATAATTCCGTCACGGCCGTGGGTGGGTACATGCAAGAGTACCGACCGAGCCAGCCCTCAAACGTCCTCCTCACGTACAGCGAGATCAGGCGGCAGTGGACTGAGCGGTTTCCACCCATGCTCACTCGGCGACGCCTCCCCGCAGTTGTCACCACTCGCTCCCTCCTGATTGTAGCCGGCGGCAACGGCAACAGGAATGAGATTCTGGCGACGGTCGAAATCATGGACCTCCAGACGATGAGTTGGTCGATAACTGTCCAGCTACCGATGGGGCTCACCCATGCCTCGGCCACCATCCTCGACGACTGCATACACATTGCAGGTTGGAGTTGTGCTAATTCAGCGTGTGTGTATGTACTTTTACTGGTAATTGTCACTCTAGCACTTGTAAATTACACAAAACATCCGTTGTTAGACTCAAGAAACACTAACGTTGTAGATTGACAGCACAGGAAAACAGAGAGTGCAGTACCACACACACTTCTACGTACCAACCAGACAGTACCACCACACACTTACATACTAATTAGACACTATTTAAAGGGGGACACATTTTGTACACATTCATCTATTTCCTCGCTATGTCCACATTAGTCATTAGTAAGTATACCTACACCTCAACAGCCCTTATAGTTTAAAGTGTACTATATGCCATTTAAAGATGTATCTGGCTGTTACAACAGGAGGCCAGAACGCAGCAGGGCCGACAAATGCCCACTTCACCTCAAACGTCACCTGCGCCCCGGGAATCTACGGCAGAGAGGAGCTCTCGCCGTGGAAGAAGGGCTACAAGACCCCGACACTCTGGTGCACGCTGGCGGCTGTGGACGGGCGCCTCCTCGCCATGGGAGGCCAGGACGACCACAAGACGTGCAGCAGCGGAATCTTCATGTTTGATTATCGCAGCGACGTGTGGGTGAAGGTGGGGAACATGCGGCACAAGAGGTCGGCCTGTCTGGTGGCGGTGCCCAACGGAGAGGGCTACGAGGGTATGATGGTGGTGGTCGGGGGATTCATCAGGAAAAACGAGGCCACCAATGCTGCTGAGGTCATTACATGCATATCCAAGTAGAACAAAAATTCATCATTTTCCTGGATTTTCAAGACAGTATGCAGTATCACTTCTTTACTTGCAGTATTCAGTAATTTTTTTTTTACTCCATACCCACACACACACACACAAGTCATATAATTATGGTAAGCACAATTCCAAATTCAATGCCAGCGCTTATTTGCTTACTAAATTGCATATTATTACAGTCACTATAATTTACTATCACTTCACTCATACTATGCATGTTTTTAATCAGTTCACACTGCTGTCACTCATCATTTTCAATTTTTATACGTATTTTTTCTGACAACCACACATATTCATCATAGTTGAAGAAACTTTGCTGTTTGAAAGGAAAACTTTACGGTCGGACAATACTGTACTTTATACAGTAATCGGTGAAATACTTTGCTATTCAATTGGCAGTGTTGAAAGCTATACAGTACATATACATGGACTTATGGACTGCAAGTTGGGTAACATTAGCTACCAGTGAGAGTGACTCACAGATGCAGACAGGCATGATGAAGAGCCAGACAAACGCCACCAGAGAGAGATGGAGCCAGTGGCGGACATTTTTAGCCATGCCCTTCAGGACTCCGCGGAAAAACTTGGAGAAGGAGAGACTCTGGGGCATGCTCGGATGGTAGACTGACGGTAGTGGAGGAGAGGAAAGGGTTAAATGTGGAGGAGGGGAAAGGGTTAAATGTGGAGGAGAGAAAAGAGGAGTTAAATGTGGAGGAGAGAAAGGGTTAAATGTGGAGGAGAGAAAAGAGGAGTTAAAACACTATTTGACGGGCGTAACAAATAACTCACTGGGGTTGAACACAAATTCATGTTTGCAGAGCTCACAGTGACTGTAAACAAGAGAAAGACATGAAGCACATTACCATGCACTTAAGAAATGCTTTAAGTGCTAGCTCATGTATATTATATGTACATACATACCTCTTTCCACTATGCTTTAGCCACTGAACAAGACTGTGCGTAGAGAGAAACGGCAAAGCATAAGTGTGTGCACATGAAGTATGGTCAAAAGAGTGCGAAGTAAAACCACCAAACACACCCTCTCAGTGATGGACACCTCTCCATAAAGGACATTTGGTTCTGCCCCATACTAATACCTAGTGTGCATCACATTACCTCCGAAAAAGGGGTATCTCTCAATAAAGGACATTTGGTTCTGCCCCATACTAATACCTAGTATATCACATTACCTCCGAATAAGGGGTATCTCTCAATAAAGGACATTTGGTTCTGCCCCATACTAATACCTAGTATATCACATTACCTCCGAATAAGGGGTATCTCTCAATAAAGGACATTTGGTTCTGCCCCATACTAATACCTAGTATATCACATTACCTCCGAAAAAGGGGTATCTCTCAATAAAGGACATTTGGTTCTGCCCCATACTAATACCTAGTATATCACATTACCTCCGAATAAGGGGTATCTCTCAATAAAGGACAATTTCGGTGAGTCCCTTATTCAGAGGTATCACTGTGTGTGTACAGAGAGAGTGTGGCTCACCACTCTTGGTGAATGAACTTGATGCTGCCAGTGCAGAGACAGGGGTGGAAGAGAGGTCGTCCGGGCGTGGACCCAGTGCGGCACACACGACAGATGTCTCCTGCAGACAGTAGAGGAGAGAGGCAGGGAGGCAGGGAGGAAAACGCTTCACACATCATCAGACTGTAGCAATCAAAGCTTCCCCTATAGACATGCTTAGCACCACTTTCTTGTGCACCTCGTAAATACTTTATAGCACAATGCTTTCCTGTACAAACACACACTGTGAAAAAATTTGCCGGGAAGGTTGTAGGGTGTCCCTAAATTTAAGATGAATCAGAAATGTGTGAGTGGGCGAAACTCATGATGCACATTGCTCTGCAATACTTTTCATACGACTTGTTACTAAGATGAGATACCAAAGACTTATGGTGTAGGTTCTTAAATACAGACACAATGGACCACCGTGCCAGCAGCACGGGTCTGCTTGCACAGGCTTGCGTTTCCATCCTGAAGATGACGAAACACGGGATGACCCCGCCTTTCATTTGATATTTTTGGGACAGAAAAGCGCCCACGGTGGCCATTACCTCCGTCTTTCTGCGAATTTCCGGACAGAAACTCGTCGTCTTCGTCATCCTCGAAGTGCTGAGGGTGATATATCAGCCCGTCCTGCGTAAAAGACAAGTTGGCAGACGCCATTTTCGATCCTGGAGGCTGGGTAACTTGACCTATTCGTATTGTCACGCATCGCGCATGCGCGTGGAGAAATGGGTTTGCGGTCATCTCCGGATATATCCGGATGGGAATTTGTGTAACCCCAATACCCTGACGGTGCTTCCTGTCGTACTTCCGACAAAGGGGGTGTATAAATAAAAAGCAAAGAACATCATCACTACAATTCTTGGGATAGTCAGTAGCTATCACTTATACAGCATGATTTGATAGACTAGGCTGAATGAAATTCATCCGGAAAGTAGCAGCTTACCAACCACATTTCTACGTGCAGAGCAGGATGGACTATATAATGATCAGAGGGTGCTGAGAAACCACCAACAGAGACCTCACAGCAGCCACCCATCCAATGGAAGATCAGACAGAGAGGTTCACAACTGAAGATGATCTGCAGCAATTTAGGAATCTACAAGCTCCACTGCACGGTGCAGGCTCCTCTACCGATGATCCTAACAACTCTAGCCATCAGAATAGAGAAGTCAATGGAATCAGAGGGGCATCAGAACAGACGGAAATTCACCAAATGGCTTGTGAACCAACTCTACAATCCACTGCAACAAAGAAGAGGCGATTTTTTGCGTCTATGGCTAAAATAACTGGACTGCTGATCTTAGGCACTGTTATAGCTGGACTCTTCTCAGTACCAGTAGCACTTTTCATCCTCAAAGCTAATGTAAGGCAAACACACACACACACACACATCTTTAATGCATACACTAAGTTCTAAACATCCCATTATACAGGATTCTAGTGCAGAGGGTGTGTGCACTGGAGAGGTGTACAGGGGTGATATCTGCAGAACATTTCTAGCTGCACGACAGAGCTGCATTCCCGGCAGGGAGAATAGCTCAGAGATCCTGGTGGTACTAACAGAGTCACAGCAGGCAATATTTGAGCAAGGGTTGTCGGCGCTACGACCGTTCCTGTCAACAAGTCCAGAGTGCGGAGATGAATTGTTGGAATTTTTCTGCCTCGAGGCGGGACTATGTGATCCAGCTGGTGTTATTCAGAGGACCTCAAGGCAAGAGTGCGAGAGGATCACCACGAGAACTTGTGCAACAGAGTTCCAACAGGTCCTGCCTATACTTCAGGGTAGAGGACTCGATGTGGCCTGCGATACATTCCCAGAGGAGAGCAGTGCATGCACCACTAGTAAGTCCCTTAATGTCATTGTAACTCCTACACAGCTTGCATGTACAGGACATGGCCATGGCATCTATTTGTGTACAGTAACACCCCACAATCACATCTAGAGTATAATAACCTTGGTGATTGGCCTAATAGGGACAAAGACTACTACTGGCAACTTGTTCTGTGTTTCTTTCAATATGCAGATAGTACACTTGGAAGTGGATTTGAAACGACTATCTCTTCTCAACCTGCAATTCCACAAACAACAATTACCGTAAGTACTGTTACAAGTCAGCCTCAGTCAATGATTTGTATATACAATCAGCCTTGGTTAATGTAAACCTGCATTTGGTCAATGACTAGGTCATTGTAAAGTCAGCCTTGGTCAATGTAACGTCAATGTAAAATCAGCCTTGGTCATTGTAATATTTTGTGGCCTTTTCAATGTGCAGAGAAATTGCAGTGAGGGATTCTTTGTGAATGAGGACAGCGACCTGCGACTGTGCACGCCAGAGTGTGGGGAGTGGGTGGCCACAATCAACCAGCCAACAGCGGGTGTTTAACGCCACTAACCTAACAGCCGGAGCACTTGGTTTAATCCTCTCTTTGACGGTGGTGATTCTCTCGTGCATTTACTACAAGACAACGTACGTAAACAGCAGCTGCTGGGCTATATATAGGTTTACACAAAGCTGGCCGAGCACTCCACAAAACCAACCGCTTCCTGGAATCAATAATATAGTTTTACTCCCCAATTATTACACCCACCATTTTGTGGGTTAAGATTTTGGAGAGATACCTTCCTTTTCCCTGTATTGTGACATCCCATATTGTGGGTTCCAATTCTCCAGTGTCTCAGTCAATAAGAGACCCATTATGTACTGTCATAATTATTACACTGAAAATACTGATTATGCCTATTTAGGTTCCACTTCCCAGGGATATTCATATTCTACCAGATGCTGAGCTCACTAGTGTACATTGCAATATTCCTCCTCAACTACGTGGACTTCAAGGGCCTGTTCTGCCAGTCTAGAGATCTGGTGGAGAGTCTCATGCCAGGCAATGAGACTCCCTTCTGTATCATATCAGGTACAACTGCAACTGCAACACACACAGTACAGGTGTTCGTGAAATTAGGCTGCATAATTATCTGTTAATTATGCTCCCACATTTTACTCCCTCTCTCAGCTGCAGCATGGATCTACATCAGCTCCCAGGTAGCTCTTTGGTGGATATTCCACCTCTCCATGATCTTCTGTGCCGTATTCTGGCCCTTCAAGTACCACTACTGGCGGCAATCGGGCTGCCTCAAGTACATCCATCTTGTGATGGTCCTCACGGCACTCGTCCTCCCCATTGTACCAGTCATTATATGCCTCAAATTGGACGGATACGTGCTCTATACCCTCATTCAGCCCATGTGTGTGGCGAGAAACTCCCAGGCAGCTTTCTATTCCCACGTCCTGCCACTTATATCTGCAGTGGCCGTTGGACTTTACCTCCTCATTCTCATCCTTTGGAAGTTCTTTTCAGAGGTATGTTATGCAGTATATATATAGAACCCCCAATAAAAGACACTCCAAATAAACAATAGCTCTGATAAAGGACACTCTCCGAATTTCCTATCATCCCAGTAGCTACACATTTTAAACTTTAAAGGAGAGGACAACCTCCCTATAAAGGACAAAGTACCTGGTTTATTATTCAACTGTATATCACTATTAATCTCAGAATGTACCAATCCCTACCACTATTACTCTAACTGATACCAAACACAACGTTATGCCCACACCATATAATACCCAAGCCCTTAGTCACCAAGATTACCCACTTTGTTGGCATACAAGATTCTCTCTAAATGTGAAGTTACATCATGCCTAGAACAAAAACACACCCACCAGAGGTGGCAATAACCCATAGCCTGAGAGCCAGGAAGTCACTTCATGCCTATACACTGGACAACCAGCTAGAGTTATGTGATACAATAAGTCTTTGAAAGGGAATGCCAGAGATGCTGGGCTAAATTTAGTGTCTGTTACTAAAAGCAGAAATTAATTGCAATATTTCACTGGCTTAGTACAACATTTGTAAACTTAGTACTGTCCATTCCCTTTAAAACCTGGCTTTCTTCTCTTGCAGGAATGTAGGACATCAAGGCGGCAAGGTTCAGCCAAGAGACAGGTGGAGGTCAAGATACTTCTCCTACTTCTCTGCTACATTATCGTTTGGACGGATGCCATTGGAGTGACTGTAGCCACGCTGATAGAGGCCCAAGACTACCGCAACACACTGATTGAATACTTCACCTGCGAGGCATCGGGCACGGAAGAATGCCCGCGGGGAACTTTCGAACAGTTTGACATTGTCTCAAAGTTGATTGCCGCTTTTCTGATTTCCCTCTACTACACCCGGCATCTTCCTCATCTACTTTGTTAGGCAGTGCAAATGCAAGAGATCGCAAGACATTAGCTTTTCGGGGACAAGTGAAACAGTTCTTTCCAGAAGTATAAGAATACACATGGATCACTAGTATTGCAACCACTCATTTATTTTTTCACTTTTTGTGTCGAATTCTCATTGCTGTACATCAAAGTCTACATATGCTCTACATTGACACAATAAACACAGCCCACTGTTCAGTTTCAGATGTGCGGTCTTGAAATGGTAATTTGTGCAAACATTTCTCCACACTGGCAGCACTGTGCGGGGCCAACAAACAACGTGTATTCACTACTTCAGCATTGTAGTCCTTGTATATATATATATATATATATATACCTTGCTGTTTTTGACCCTGCTAGCATGTGATGTCCCTTCCGTTCACTTTCATTTCCAGCTTGAGTGTCCCATAACCTGACTTCGCCATTCTATTGCATGTTTTACCATTATGTGATATAATAGTGGGAGGTATACATAGAGTATGGCATACCTTATCTCCCGTCACTATCCACTTTTTATCCTTCCCAAATTTGGCATCCTTTATCCAGCTAGTGTGACCCTGGAGGAATTAGATACCTTAATTGAGCAAAACTGGAAAAAGGTATAAACTAACTTTATATGTATTTCTGAGCTGATGTGTGTGATTGCACCAAACATTCACATTGGAGTCATAGCCAGCAGACACAATCAGCGAATCTGGTGCATTCATGAGATAACACGCACGATCGGCGATCTGCACAATTCATATATGTGCTAGGCAATCTGTTCTCTCACCGTCCTTGGAAAAGTTGCAGCTGCTGACACAGCCACGGTGCTGCCCCAACACCACAGGTCCCTGTGACCTGCACAACACAACCTGATACTGTCTATGGCAAAATGTCCGTAAGGTTTCCATCAATGAACATAGGAAGTTCCAAATCCTATACTTCGGACACTCCAGAAGTAGAAAGGTATTGTATGGGTGCCTAGTTCCTGTCAACCTATAGAGTGACTGAGGCCCCACATAGCGCTTTCCTGTGAGGGAACTAGTATGGAACTCCTTTGAACCTATGTAAAGGTGTCTGCACTATTTCTCAACAAAGCACTCAGGTATATACCGCACTGCCTACAAAGTCTATTGGGAATATACATACTGCATACACATGGAATGATGGGCATCTACCTGAAAGAGCCATCTGCCAAGTTGTAGAGGTGAAGGTTCGTGTCCCATGAACCAGTCAATAGCCAGTGGTTGTTGTGGGAGAAGGCACAGCAGCTGACAGTGTGCTTGTGATCTCTACATAAAATTAGTTCTGCAGTTCACAAATCACGTTCACTAGTACACAACTGACTTCCCGTATTCAACTTTACATCAGGAAGTGATTTCAGCCACATGTACACATACAACAGGTATATACAGACCTTAGTTTCAGTAGATGTTTCCACATTCTAATGTCCCACACAGCGGCTCTGCAGTCCATGGAACATGTGCAGAGATTGTTCCCACCAAAGTCAAATCGGCAACATGTGACGGTATTTGTATGACCTGCAGTTTGTGATGTAATTAATACAGGCCACAAACGTAGATGGTAGAATTATTGGCGATCAAAAAAGCAAGCACATCTAGCCGTCTGAATGTGGGATATATCCAGCGCTGTATAGCAATGTTCTAAATATGTACACTTGAACAATTGAACTGCTTGCCAAAACGTGTTGCATGCATTTTTATGGTAGATCAACCGTGTTTCGTAAGCTCTGTATGTACCCACCTGCTTCAACGGAAATGACGAGTTTGTGAAACCAATGCTCAAGCAGAAACGTTGTTATCTTTGGCCGGTTCAAAACCCGCGCGGCGCAGGTGGTGCATACGCGATGCGCATGCGCATATATTTCGGCGCGCGGCGATCGAGCGAGAGCGAGAGCTAGCTAGAGCTGCATGCTGAACGAACCTGGACCCTTGACGCACCGGTGATGGCGAGCAAGGGGAGTGGAAGAGGGCGTGTATTGAGAGACCAGGACGGAGAGCGGAGACCTGGTGAGCCGCGGTAGCCTACTGTAGTCCCAAGCCAGGCCCCACAGATATGGCGTCCACTACCACTTCATACATACACCCGCAGGCAAGAGCCAGGCGTCGTCTCGTCCTGAGCCAAAGGCACCCCAGACAGTCGAGGGACTGGCAAAGTACCTGAAATCCCTCGCAAGCGGCGACAACCTCAAAAACTACGGCGGAGTCTTTGCAGACATGTTCTGGGAGTTCTCCAGCAACGAGGAGAGGTTTACGGAGGCCGTGGCCCTGATAATCGACACTACAGTGGCGGACCGAGACTACGTACACCTTGGGGTACTCGTGTGTCAGCTGATCCTGGAGAAAAAACAAGGTCCCAAGTTCAGAATGGCCCTCATGAAGTGGTTCGAAAACCAGTTCCGTTCAAAGGCCGACATACGAGCAGTTTCAATCGAAAAGTGGCTCTCTGTATTTGCGTTCATGTGCGAGATACACTCGTGTGTGTTGCTGAGTGGACAGCCCATTTCAGTGCTGGGTGCTGCCATCTTTACAAGCATAGAGTTTCTCTTGAAGCAACCAGACCGCGAAGACGACGAGGTAGACTGCATTTGTTCGTCTTTGAAACTGTGCGGAAAGACCCTGGAAGTTACAAACCAAGACAAGATGGATGCGCTCATGGACACACTTCGAGGAATCGTCATTTCAAAGCAGAGCAGTTGTCGCGTGCGGTGTCTTGTGCTTGAGATACTGGAACTGCGGGCCATGGGCTGGAGTGACTCATCGCAGAAAACACTGGAGAAGTTTTATGTCGATGGACTAATGGATGCAGTGGCTCAAGACGAGATCGCCAGTGGGCCACAACCATAACCACTTTTCTCTGTTTGTGGCTTCCCACTCCTCCTCACTAGCTTTATACCAACAAAACTTACACTGAACATGAACAAGCTCAGCAAGTGTGTATATACCGACAGACACAGATTGACTTGGCCAACCAATCGACATTTTTAAATGCTGGTTTTGGTGTATGTAGTTTTCATCTTTTTCTGCACAATGTTCTCCAATGTATAATGCAATCACCACATAGCTGTAGAAAAACAAGTATATACCTTTGACAGTGGTGACCTTCTCCCCAGACCTCACATCCCACACATGATAGTGCCCACTGTCAGCTGCAGCCACCACCAACTGGTGGCTCAGGTTGAAATCACAGGACAGGAGCAGAGAGGACTCACTGTCACACCACTGTAAATATATACAACGATGCATCTTCAGCTTTGCAATAAACTGCAACAGTGAAGCATACTATTTTGTTGGTTGCAGACCCACTCATGTCCCAGAGAGCTACACTCTTGTCCCACGATGCAGTCAGCAACCTGTACACATGCCATCCAAATCTAGCTCTAAACTGGTTATCACACCTGTGGCTGGTTTCCTCCAGTATGCAATCTGTGATTCTATCTGCGTGACCAGCCAACTCTTCTTGCCTGCTCCCATCTTGTGCACCCTGTTGTTATACAAGACATTGGTCTACCTAGTAATACGGGGATAGTGCATGCAGTGAGCCTACCCACAAGACAATTGTAGCATCGTGCGAGGCTGTCACTATGACGGAATCGTCATAACAGAGAATGCAGGCACTCACGCAATCATGATGTGCTTGCAGGAGACTTATTTTATCCTTTACCGGCTGGGAAGGGTTGGTATTGGTGTTCTGAATATCTGCCATTGAGCCACCACGGTGCGCATCAATTAGAGACAGAAACTGGAGTCATGGCAACGACAGATAGATCTAGGCCGAATTCATTGCGCATGCGTGCGCAAGCGCAATTTAACCGCCACAGCGGCGATACCGCTGCAGAATTCAGCAATGGCTGCAGCTACGTCTTGGACGCACGAACAAGTCACAGCGGCGTTTCGCCGCATGCCAGAGCTGGAATCTCTGCTGCTCAAAGGCGTGGAGGACACGGGCGAAAGACTCGGTGAAGGCGCATTTGGCGTCGTACGCAAGCTGCGAGTCGCAGGGGCAACTTTCTGTGCGGGTAAAACCATTCACCAGGCCCTTACTGGCAACGACGACAAAGGAGCCAAAAATGTTGTGTTTAACTTCCTCAAAGAGTGCAAGATGATGGCGGACCTGCGGCACCCGAACATCGTCCAATTCATAGGCGTCTGCCTGTTGCGGGGCTCAAACATCCCGATCCTTGTCATGGAGCTTCTGACCGACTGTCTCCACCATTTTATCCTCACTCGCAAAAACATCCCGATAGGAATGAAGCAGTCGCTGCTCATGGACGTCGCATCGGCTCTCGTGTTTCTGCACTCGCGCGAACCGCAGATCATCCATCGCGACCTCACCGCCAAAAACGTCCTTGTGGACGAGAGGAGCATGAAGGCGAAGGTCGGTGATCTGGGCAACTCTCGATTCACTCGAAAATCGACTTCATCCTTGACCAGTATGCCAGGCAACCTGCTCTACATGCCCCCAGAGGCCGTTGGGCCAGATCCAGATTACTGCAACAAGCTGGACATCTTCTCTTTTGGGCATCTGAGTCTCTTCACCCTAACTCAGGAATTTCCTGATAAACTCCTTGCTCCCACCTACAACAGCCCCAAGGATGGTGGCAAGCTCATCTCCCGCACTGAAGTCGAGCGTCGGGGACCGTACATCGATCGTCTCAAATCGTCACACAGCAAAGAGCACCTCCCGCTAGTCACACTCATCAAGATGTGTCTTGACAACGTTCCAAATAGGAGACCAACTGCAATGCAAATTCTGCAGCGGTTCGAGGAATTAAACTCCGACTACGACGACGTTAGGCCGTTTCAACAACAATTTGCAATGGCTGAAATGCTCACCCAAAAAGACCAGGAAATTCAACACCTCCGAAGGAAGTTGCAGCAGAAAGAAACAGAACTGGAACTGGTAAGTTAGATCTGATGCAGACATAGTACATGTGTGGAATGGAAATTTGCAGTGGATAACACTGCATTGGTGTGGGCAAGCTTGTCATACAGTCAAGTAGTTAGTATATATTATATGCGCAGCATCCAGCGGGGTGATTTGCATCTTCTAGAGCTTGCTTGTGACAACTAACTGCCTGCATTCAAAGGTGATGTACGCATTGGCTATGTAGGCTAAAGCTCTCTTGGTCTAAGCAACTTTGGCTTGGGAATCACACCTATGAGCAACAAGTGTTAGGACAAATTGTTTAGATCCCCCATCCTTCCTGTTAGGACAAATTATTTAGATCCCACATCCTTAGTATAGTTTAGAGATGAACATGAATAAGCTAAGGTGAGATGCAAACAAACTACAGAGCATAAACCAAGTCTATACAGTAGCTACCCAGGAGACGGTTTCATCATTATGTATTTTCAACGGTATAAGTTCAACAATGAAGGATAAACAGGTGGTGTTTGTAGCTGATTTTAAAAGTTGTTCGTAAAGTTGCATTCATATTCACTATTTATTCAAGCTTCTCAAATGCACGTGTGATTTAGTGCAGTCATCAACTGTGTATTATACTCTAGGTTGGTGAGCGTGAAGTTATGAGCGGACCTCTGGAGAAGTTCTCTCCGAGGAACATCATGAGAAAATGGAAGTCGTACACTTTCAAACTGAGCGACTCGCACCTAAGGTTCTTTAACTCGTGGGTATGCAAAAACGGACTTTCATAAAACTACAATATAGTGTGTATACTCATTACAGATAAGGAAACCACGTGGTGAGATCCTGCTCTCTGCTGTGAGCCGTGTGTACATACCGCACCGCAGTGGTAGACTCCAGGGCGACAAACACTACTTTGAAGTACACTTCAACGGTAGGGACTCACCCTGGATTCTGTCTGCGTACTCTACGGTAGGTTGGAGGGATCACGCTCAAAAGTGAAAATATCAGAGCTACTCGTTTTGCATACTGCACACAGGGGGAACGGAAGGACTGGATGGCAGCCATCCGCGCTTGCCAGAAACCAAAGATGACGGCAAACGCAGCCTACGGAATGGTCCCACTCACTGCTGGTATGGACACCCCCGACACCATCGCTGAAACAGAGAAGGAGCATGACTACGAGACCATTGCCCCGCTACAGTCTCCACTGGCACCTCTCCCCGCGAAGGAGAAGCCCACACTTCCCCACCGACCGGAGGATTTGAAACGAAGACCGGCTCCTGATCAAAGTGATGTCACAGATGAAGAAAAGAGACGAAAACCGAAACCACCCATGGAAAGCCTAGCACCCATAAAAGAGGTGACGACCCCGACTTACGATAAGACCGTTGCTACCCTCAACCGCCGAGCAACCAAATTCACCCCAAACCAGTTAAGCCATCTTATCACCATGCTGCAGCAAACCCAACAGGAGGCAGTAGGCGGTCCCGAAAGTGGCGATGAAAAGAAGGATGCAGGAGGGAAGGAGCCACTGATCAGAGTTGAAGATAAGGACAGTGATCCATCTTCCGACTCCAACAAAGTCCTGCCGTACTACATAAACTATAGCAGCCTGCTTGAAGCCGACAACAGTCCACAAGAGAAGCAGGCAACGTTTCCTCGCTCCACCACCAAATCACCCTACTATGTCAACTACTTGGATGTGTGTGACCGTCGTGGGAGGCCTAGCTCGGTGAAAAATCACGGTGACTCAGAGCATAGACCTCGCTCTGTATCTCCGACAGGTCGCGACTCGCCCTACTTCACCTTCAGCAACATGATGGGTGGTGTTTCGAGGGAGAACAGCCATAGCCAGAGTCACTTGGACCTGAGGGACATGGGCACACAAGACGGCACGGGTAAAGGTTTGCGCAAACCGGCACCTTTCCCCAAACCTTCAAGTCCACCCCCTTATCTCGTGCCACTGCCCTCTTCCCATGGAAAACAGCGAGAGACACTGCGTACGCTGTGATATTTACAATTCTTTCACAGTTTAATTTTTTATACTTTTGTAGAACACATACTGAAGCAGAGCAAGCAAGCTCCAGAATCTCTGTAAGTATTAAACACTTGCTGTAAAACATGTAGTGACTATACATTATTTGATGTGCAGGCTCATCACAGAAGATGACACTCCCGAAGAGTATGTTTCTCGCCCTCAGTGGGCAAAAGCAAGTGAGTATGTGTATATACAAACAGAACTTTAATGCATACATATTATTTCACCATAGATACAAAGCGTCCTGGGCCCAATACACTGGCAGCGATGCATCGCAGAGGAATCTACATTATGCCGAAACTTCTAACTAAAGTTGTGAGCTTGGGAGAAGGTATAAAAAATATTAGCAATTACAGGCACAGGGATTGCTAGCACTGTTAATATTTCAGGTCGGTATGGGAAGGTGTACAAGGCAGAAATGCTGATAAAGTATGGAGCCAACATAAAAGTTGTGGTCAAGTCTGTCAATCGCATTACGACTGAACTTCAAAAGGAGGTGACCGTCATGTCAGAGGTGGTGCATCCCAACATTGTCCGTCTCTATGGACTGATAAATGAAGGTATCAGTGTTTCTAAACTTCTTGTAATACAAACTACCAGCAATAAAAAAATTTGGAGATTTCGCCCGAGACTGTGTACTCTTTATCAACCACGATTACCAAACCACATTTTATACAGTCTAGGAGGTTAGCCACTTATAGGATTGGTAAACAAAGCCATAACATCTGTGCAGGTGTAATGAAACCTGCAATTGTGATGGAGCATCTGCCAAATGGAGACCTAAAGACCTTCTTATCGGTAAGCTTTTCAATCAGGGAACGTACTTCTTGTCATAATGGCATATCGCTAACTAACTATCATCGTATCCTACCCACCACAGAGAAATGAGAGAGACAATCTGCAACTGATGAAGTACATGGTCGATGTCGCTATAGGTATGCACTACCTGTCCGAGAAGGGAATCATCCACAGGGTAAGCAGATTCTAACATTTACAGTTGAGAATCACCAGTTTTCCCCTTAAGGATTTGGCGGCGCGCAACGTTCTGGTTGACACAAATGAGCTGTGCAAAGTGGCAGATTTCGGTCTGGTGCGAGAGGTTCCCAGTGAGAGCACGCTATTTGCACCCGAATCGAGGGGACCCTCCACCATTCGTTGGATGGCACCCGAGAGCATCTCCAAACAGGTGGTCTCTCCTGCCTCTGACATCTGGAGTTTTGGGATACTCCAGTGGGAGATGTTCAACGCCAAAAAGCTCTACCCCTACCCTGCCCTGCACAACGAGGAGGTGGTGGAGAAGGTGACCAGCGGGTACCCCATGCCAACTCCGCGCAGAGCGCCCCAGATTGTGGTGAGGATCATGAAAGCCTGTTGGAACAGCGAGCCGTCCCGGAGACCCAGTTTCCTCCTCATCGCAAACCTTCTCACCAGCCATATGATGGGCGATGACGATTGATTGATTGACTTCCAAAATATTTAAAAAACTCCTTTTGTGTTTGTTAGCAAATTTCAAAATAGTGTAGTTATACACATGTATGATGGTTGATTGTGCAATGCAGAAAATAGCACGCTGGACACACCTAGCAATGATCATCAGGGATTTCTAATTTGTTCCTCCGTAGCACAGCATATTGTGCTTGGACAAAACTTAGCAGCGGTACATACAACAAAGTAAATCCCAACGTTCATGCACAACAGTTCAAACCACTTACCAACCACAGGCTTGCAGCTGATGAAATCATAGAACACAAGTGCAGCCCACTGCTGTATAATGTGCAATATTTTGACAGATGTCCCGTCCCGGTGGAGCAAACATTTACACGCTCACAAAAGGTTGGTTACAACTGAACTGGACAAAAGCTGCACTGGTACCCTTCCTCACTAAGCCTGTTTTACAGTTGAACCCTCACAAATAGTGTGCTCCTATGAAAAGGTACGTTGCAAGATGGACAGAGTTCTGTATACTTTAACTAAATTTCGCACGGCAAAGTTCTGCAGAATCATAACGAACCCTTACTTTTCTAAGTGCATCACACTTTTTAATTCAAATTTAATTCCTAAAGAGTATAACAGCTACTATGCCTACATGAATTCATCAGTATAAAGGAGAAAAAGTGATTATAGTGAAAATTTCTACAGTTCGTGAGCATGAAATGCAAGAGCCGCTCTTACACGTGGAAGAAAGAGGAATACACTGAGAATCAAAACAGATGATAGAAAGAATGTTTCCCAGACAATAACCACAAACAGTAGGGTTGTTGTGCCGACTGAAGTTGCAAAAACGTTGGCAAAGAATCCTGTTACAGTGGAAAAGTAGACAAACACATTCACTCCCGAATTGGTGTAGTTTCTTTTCCGAATACGCCTGTTTAGTATTGACAGTACCACCAAAGAGAGTCCCAAGATAACCTGAATAGTGATTACAATATGATCAAATATTATTGCAGTTTCAGAGCTACATTCAAACTGAATCAGAAGAACAGGTTCCTGTGATCCATCATATGACTCCACTACATCCACCATTTTAAACAATTCAAACGGTGGATCAGTCAGTATCCAGTACAGTTTTATCAAACAGTTGAGTCCAAGTATCCCACCGACAAAGCAGACAAGGCATTCATCTGAAAGAAAGCGAAGTTTTTTCTGAAAATGGTTGAATATGATGTAGATCCTCCAGCTCTGGACCACGAGTGAGCTGAGTATTAGTGTGTACCCAGCAGATACATTCCAGTTGGTGACATAACAGAACATGCCATACACAATGAAATGGTTCCGAGACAATGGATCAAAGAGAGAGACAACGCACTTTGACGCGACGAGAACAAGAATGAAAGCCAGGAACATCACGAGGTAACATCCGGAGAAAATGAGCTGGGACAGTCTTGGACTAGACGCTCTTATTGGACTGGAGTTGAAGTGACAGATGTAGAGAATATGAAGAGTAGACAAGAATCCTGTGCACAGTAAAATCAGAACCAAAATCACAACACTAACTGCTGGGTGAATGTATGTCTGCACGATCTTGAAAGAACTCGGTACGAACTCTGCAGCTGGGTAAACAAGCAGCCCACTTGCGTCATATGACCCAATAAGAGAGGAAGCTGCAGTGGCATTTGATTGGTTGTATGCTATCTGGTACATGTCCACGGTGGTGGCAGTGTCACGAGTTTCATTCCTAAACGAAATTCTCCCCGTGAGACCCTCGAAATCGAGTAAACTAAGCTGATGTCTTATAAGAGCTGTTGCACGTGGATTTCCATACCTATACTCAGATAAGGTCAAGTTTTCCTGACGTAAAAGGTCGGGCTCTGCTCGAGTGAGGGAAAGAGCCATTGCCCACACGGCATCGTAGTAGAGAGGAGCCCAATCTTCAGCTGTCGGTGCATACTGATCCCGAGTTAGGTTAACCTCCTCCAAATGATCAGAGAGCTGTTTTTGATAAGCTACATAGAAATCCCGCAGAGTCAACCCCACATCCGTTTCAGCCGAGGCATTTTCCCTCTTGAGACGAAAAAGATTTAAAATCACCCCGTCAGTAGATTGCATCATTTGCTGTTTGGAACACGAGTAGGCTTTGCCTGCATATGAGAAGGCCACATCTTGCCAGAGCTGATCCACCGTTCTGTCGTGAAATATCCACTGGTAGACTGGGTAACCCAGAGGTGGTTGAAAGTGGTAGGCCAGGCAGAGAATGTTGCGTGCCAGCTCAGCCCCGACAAACACAAAAATTATCCTATAGTTCAGATAGATATCAGCTAGAGGAATGTTATTCTCGGAAACCGGTGAGATGTAGCTGACATTGACTGTGTCATAGAACTCGTGAAACGTTGAAAGAAAATACTTTCTGTTTGGATCGTACAGGGCGGCTACATTGTCCCATCCGTTGTACTGCATCAGCTCACGATACAGCCTCACGTACTCCACGGACGAGCTCAGTAGGCGGTAAGTGTTGGGGTAGAGATCGGACACCAGTTCTGGCGAAGTAGCCGAAGGAGAGACGTGCAGCAAACTGCTGGCATCTCTCCTCAGCAGACCTCCGACGGCAGTGGCGGCCCCTGAACACGCAGGACCTACTATTCCTACTGCAGCACAGCCTGTTGCATGCAGACTGCGGCGGTGCAAAACGTTACGAGCAAGGGAGAAAACCGCCTTAGACTCAATGTCACAACCAGAGTCTCCAATTACTAAACTTAGCTTATAATTTGGTAGAACATCAGTTCTGTTGTTGACGGTCTCCACGGCCAACCTCGCAGCGGGAATAAGCGCCGGGCCTCCGTCCCAGCTCGGCCGAACACCGACCGTCTCCACGTGGTCAGCAGGGTACGGTCCTAGGACTATGAGACAAATCTCTTTCCTCCCGGCAGTTAGTCCAGTGCAAAATGTAATGGCCAGAAGGAACTGCAGTATGTTCATTCTTGTCAGACTGAGCCCTGGACCTAGACGTCGTACTTTCGGCCTATGCCGCGCGTGCAACGGCGGTTTTTCCTAGACTAATAATTGGTCGGGGGCACAGAACAACTGTGCTGTGCTGCTGTCGTGCACGCTACGCAACGCGCACGCGCGAATATCAACGTCGCCGCAAAACAAAATCGGAGGTATAATAGCTACCAGGTGATGAGGATGATGGGCTATCTTTCCTATACAGAAATTTCTTTTGCTTTGTCTGTTTTGTTGTTTGTTTCTTTTTACATTCTGAGATCAATAATACAGGAAACTATTAGTCCAAAAAAGCTCCATTGTAGTCTAAGACCCTCTTATCGGATGGGCTACCTTACAAACAGTGGATGATAGAGGAAGGGTTCTTTGATGATACAGTAGCTGGTGTTGTGGGATGCACTATCACTACTTACCCACCACAGAGAAACCCCAGGGGAAAACCTTTCATTGTACCTTTACAGTGCTATACAAATCAGCTAGCTTAGTGACAATGTTACTGTTGAAGTCATACCAAAGGAGCCAATTTGCATCTCAGTAAGAGAGCTTCCCCATGACAATAGCTTTGCTCTATATTATTATGGATCGAGGACCCCCTTTGTTTGGACGTCCATACAGGTCTTCTCTTCCTGTCGTACACCCGACCTTGCTCAAGTGGGGGAAAAGAGTCTGGTGACAATTAAGAATGATTTCTCGATTATCACCATGTGGCTGAACACACCCAGTATGGAACTCCAGCGGGAAACAAACTCAACTCAAGGAGGTTGTAGAGAGGATAACCAGTAGGTTATAGTCTAGCTACCTAATGTCAAAGGTTCACACTGTGTCCCCGGATGGTGATGTTGAGAATCATATATACAGGGAACATAAGCCACCTTGGTGACCTAGTTAGTTTCCTCTTACATGTTACACTATCATAGGATTGACAGTGCCAAACAAGAATGTACATGTATATGGTTGCTAAATGCATACTATGGTATTCTGTTTTGAGATCCACATAGCAACGGGTAACTTCAAGCATACAACCTTCATGCAATCTTCTTTTATTGGTAGCTATATTATGTCAATCACGCTAATCAACCTTATACAAGTAGGCCAAGTTAAGGTAGCATAGAGTTTCCATCAATTTTATGCCCACACAGTCAAGTTTGCTAACACAGTTAGCTAAAGCCCACTGGTTGAATGCTCAGTCTTTTTACAGCTAGCCATTATACAGCTGCATGCAGCATAAGCTTTATTCAGAAGGTGAGTCCTAGACTATTATTCAAACCCACAACAGGCAGTGTTCTAAGTAGACAGGGGCTTAAAAATAAAATCAGCATCAGTGTCATTCCATGCTCTAAAATAACTTTGCAAATTACAGCACAATGCCTTTCTGGGAATTGGTTGTGGTCCATGTAAGGAAATTAACTTTGAGACCACAAGGTGCCACAACTGGGGATGTGGAAAATCCCAAACATTCCCCAAGCAATACACAAGCCCACAAAATTTCGCCATTGGTTCAAAAAGACCTGCCAACTACCAATGGAATTCCCTTAATCGTTCACCAAAGAGGCAAATTACACATGTATTACACAAAAGAGTCGATGCCTACAGTTCATGAGCATGAAATGCAAGAAGAGCTGCTCTTACACGTGGAAGAAAGAGGAATACACTGAGAATCAAAACAGATGATAGAAAGAATGTTTCCCAGACAATTACCACAAACAGTAGGGTTGTTGTGCCGACTGAAGTTGCAAAAAACGTTGGCAAAGAATGCTGTTACAGTGGAAATGTAGACAAACACATTCACTCCCGAATTGGTGTAGTTTCTTTTCCGAATACGCCTGTTTAGTATTGACAGTACCACCAAAGAGAGTCCCAAGATAACCTGAATAGTAATCACAATAGCATCAAACCTCACTGCAGTTTTAGATCCACATCCAAACTGGATCAAATGAACAGGTTCCTGTGATCCATCATATGACTCGACTACATCCACCATTCGAAACACCTCCAACGGTGGATCAGTCAGTATCCAGCACAGTTTTATCACACAGTTGAGTCCCAGTATCCCAAAGACAATGCAGACAAGGAACTCATCTGAAAGAAAGCGAAGCTTCTTCTGATGACGGTTGAATATGCTGTAGAGTCTCCAAAGCTGGACAACAAATGAGCTGAGTATAAGTGTGTACCCAGCAGATACACTCCAGTTGGTGACATAACAGAACATGCCATACACAATGAAATGGTTCCGAGACAATGGATCAAAGAGAGAGACAACCCACTTTGAAGTGACGAGAACAAGAATGAAAGCCAGGAACATCACGAGGTAACATCCGGAGAAAATGAGCTGGGACAGTCTTGGACTAGACGCTCTTATTGGACTGGAGTTGAAGTGACAGATGTAGAGAATATGAAGAGTAGACAAGAATCCTGTGCACAGTAAAATCGGAACCAAAATCACAACACTAACTGCTGGGTGAATGTATGTCTGCACGATCTTGAAAGAACTCGGTACAAACTCTGCAGCTGGGTAAACAAGCAGCCCACTTGCGTCATATGACCCAATAAGAGAGGAAGCTGCAGTGGCATTTGATTGGTTGTATGCTATCTGGTACATGTCCACGGTGGTGGCAGTGTCACGAGTTTCATTCCTAAACGAAATTCTCCCCGTGAGACCCTCGAAATCGAGTAAACTAAGCTGATGTCTTATAAGAGCTGTTGCACGTGGATTTCCATACCTATACTCAGATAAGGTCAAGTTTTCCTGACGTAACAGGTCGGACTGAGCTCGAGTGAGGGAAAGAGCCATTGCCCACACGGCATCGTAGTAGAGAGGAGCCCAATCTTCAGCTGTCGGTGCATACTGATCCCGAGTTAGGTTAACCTCCTCCAAATGATCAGAGAGCTGTTTTTGATAAGCTACATAGAAATCCCGCAGAGTCAACCCCACATCCGTTTCAGCCGAGGCATTTTCCCTCTTGAGACGAAAAAGATTTAAAATCACCCCGTCGGTAGATTGCATCATTTGCTGTTTGGAACACGAGTAGGCTTTGCCTGCATATGAGAAGGCCACATCTTGCCAGAGCTGATCCACCGTTCTGTCGTGAAATATCCACTGGTAGACTGGGTAACCCAGAGGTGGTTGAAAGTGGTAGGCCAGGCAGAGAATGTTGCGTGCCAGCTCAGCCCCGACAAACACAAAAATTATCCTATAGTTCAGATAGATATCAGCTAGAGGGACGTTATTCTCGGAAACCGGTGAGATGTAGCTGACATTGACTGTGTCATAGAACTCGTGAAACGTTGAAAGAAAATACTTTCTGTTTGGATCGTACAGGGCGGCTACATTGTCCCATCCGTTGTACTGCATCAGCTCACGATACAGCCTCACGTACTCCACGGACGAGCTCAGTAGGCGGTAAGTGTTTGGGTAGAAAACGGACACCAGTTCTGGCGAAGTAGCCGAAGGAGAGACGTGCAGCAAACTGCTGGCATCTCTCCTCAGCAGACCTCCGACGGCAGTGGCGGCCCCTGAACACGCGGGACCTACTATTCCTACAGCAGCACAGCCCACTGTCGGAAACACGGTCCGTGCAAGGGAGATAACTGCCTTAGACCCAACGTCACAGCCCGAGTCTCCCTCCAGCAAACGGAGCGTGTACACTGGGAGAATGTCAGTTCTGTTGTTGATGGTCTCCGCCGCCAACCTAGCAGCGGGAATGAGCGCCGGTCCTCCGTCCCAGCCCGGTAAGAGGTTGACTCCCCCAGTATGGTCAGGATAGGGTCCTAGGATTACCAGGCAAAGCTCTTCTCTCAGGCCTGTCACCCCCGTACCAAACAAGGCAAGGAGGAACCAGAGAACGTCCATTATTTCAGGGCATGTATATAGGATTGCGCGGAGCCCAGCGCGCAGATTTTTACGCATGAGCAGTCTTCCGCTCACGTGAAATACGCCAGAGACTACACACTCGGGCTGCAGCGATGGATGTAATCAGACAGCTAGAACAGGAGACCGTGAAGGTTTTTAAAAGTGTGGAAGAAACCGGCCGTGAGCTTGGTAAGGGTTCCTTTGGGACGGTAGTGGAGTTGAAAATCAAGGGAGGAGCGGGGAAGTTCGCCGGGAAGAAGATACACGAAGTGCTTGTCACCAATAACGATACCACTCTTTTGGCAAAGGAGTGCAAAGTTATGTCAGCACTACAGCACCCAAATATCGCCAGGTTTTGCGGCGTCTGCCGACTTTCGTCCAGCAATATTCCAGTACTGGTCATGGAGCTAATGCATCAGAGCCTGGAAGACGCCATTGAAAGCAAAGCGACCCACCTCGAGTACAACACCGCGCTGTCGATCCTCGTTGACGTAGCAAATGGTCTCGCGTACTTGCACTGCTACACCCCAAGGGTTTATCACCGCGACCTAACAGCTCGTAACGTGCTACTTGATCAGCGCATGAAGGCCAAAATAACGGATTTTGGTAATTCCAAGATCATTCATCCTTCAAAATTAGGTGCTACTATGACCCAAGCCCCTGGCACCATGGTCTACATGCCTCCTGAGGCATTTGGTGCTAAATCCAAATACAGCGACCGCTTGGATATATTTTCCTTTGGTCATCTTGCTCTCTACGCAATGATACTACAGTTTCCAATGGGACTCTTGCCCCCAACATACAGCAATGCAGAAGGCAGTCTGGTAGCAAGAAGTGAAGTGGAGCGCCGACAGGAGTATATGGCAATGCTCAGTGTTGTGCTACCTACACCAGACCACTACATGTACCAACTGATAGAGCAGTGCCTTCACAACGAGCCAACTAAGCGGCCTTCAGCTGTGGAACTGCTGTTTCTGGCTACAGGAAGTATCAAGAGTCGAGCACAAAGATTTCGAAGACTCGATGACTGAAGGTTGTGACGCCATAAAGGTTGAAAGGGTTACAAAATCTCTCCAGGGAATGCAAGCATACATCAACAAACGCCCTGCAGAGGTTGAAGAGTGCGAGGTATAATATTACATTGCTAGCACTCCTCCACGGCATGAATATAATTGCAGTTAAGTAGTGGCCTATACAGTGATATGCATGAGAAATGGGCATTACAAGGTGTATGTAAATAAAGTATGCAAGGGCATGACACTAATGCATGGTCCATTTCAATTCTTTTGCAGAAGCGACCACAAGCAAAATTTAATAATAAGATGGGGCTGATTGAAAAGCGGTCGGTGAGAATGTTGAGAGGAGGTTGGAAAGCTTACCAGTTTACAGTGGACTACAACAGCTGCACTTTCCATTATACGCGACTGAATGTAAGTATACTGTGTGAATCTCGTATAACTCTTGTTTTACTACTTTCCCACTACACATGTAGCTGCTTGGTAAGCATACCTGGATACATTGAAAGATGGAGCTCTGCCAATATTATTTAGTTGCATGGTGTGGCCAAGTCAGGCACTTAGCTATATTGGGAGAATTTTCTTGCAGCAATTTTTTGTGCATGCATTGTGGTGTCATGGTATAAGGGGGCAAGATCTGCAGTGGTATAATGTTATTGCATTTTGTTATCATTTAGCCATTTGGGCCTAGTACTGTACTTCGACTGGGCGACATTACAGAAGTTAAAGAGCTGGATGTAGAAGAATCCACATATCCCTTCGAGGTATATTTCAAGGGGAGCAATTTACCTTGGATACTCAGGACCTACTCCGAGGTATAGGGAATAAAATTAATGTTTACCAGTGTGCACCCGTGTCAAGTTGATTCATTTGATATATAGGCCGAAAGAAGAGAGTGGAAGGAAGCACTGGAGTGCAAAATATCCATTGGTGACGTATCATCTCCCAGGATGACGGCAGAAAAGCTTCAAGCAGAAGTTGAAGAACAGAGCCAATCACTGGGTGCAAATGAAAAGCAAGAAGATACCGACAACTCGTTCCAAACGAAGTTAGAATCAGCTGCGTCAGGTCACACTGAAAACGATCGGATGCTTGCCAAACAGCTGGACGAAGCTGAAGCATCGGAAGAAGACATGTCAGAGCATATATATGTAGAGCTCCCTGAGACGACAACTCCAACAGTGAAGGTTATACCTCCCTCACCCAAACCACGGAAGACGGGAAATGAGTCCCCCTCACCAAAGCCAAGGCAAACGGGAAATGAATCGACCAGAGAGTTGCCGATAAAAGAAGGGTTTCTATCGGAAAAGAGAGAATTCCTCGCTGAATCCCCGACACCTCCACATCACAAAAAGTCAGATAAAGAGAGTGAATTGCCAGTGAGAAGACACCCAGAGCAAATACTAAAATCAAGCCTCAGTGCACCACAGGAAGATGATGCAGACTCTCACCTGTACGAACCAGTAGATTGGACAAAACATGTAAGTACAAAGCCTACAGTGAATTTTTATTTCCTTTTTTTTGCTCAGGCCGAGGGGAAAGAGGCTGCATTTCTACCGCGCCCCAGAGGAATGAAAAGTAACGCATCAGTTCCTCAACTAGCGCAGCGAGAAACTCACAGCGAAGAAAACATTTACGAAAGCCCATTCCTTGGCCCCGACACACAACCATCAGGTCTCTCATTTCATCCTGCATCAGATAGGAGAGCCACTGGCTACCAGCACGACAATGAAGCCGAAGAAGATGTATACGTATATATCCCAGAGGTTTCACTGGCGTTGCCACAACCTCCTGCAGTTACGATCGAACCTCCCTCACCCAGACCACGGCGAAGAACGGAGCCTACAGATGAGTTGAAGTATCTATCAGTGAAGACGCGACTTCCGCCAGAGGAGAGGCAAGTCCAACCTAATCAACCAAAGGGTAGGAGAGGGTCCCCTGCAAATCAACGAAAGACTACACCTCGTGCTCATCCTAGATTGACTCAGGTGAAATCAGTGCCAATAGATCAACACATGTATGAACCAGTGAATACGATGCAACCTGAGGGTCTGCAGATTCTCCCGAAAGAGGCACCAAGTGCCACAATCACATTGCCTGATACACCACCGCATCCACCGAAAAAGGCTCTATATTTAAACCTACCTCCGGCAAGAAAGAGCTCGGAATCCTCGAAGGTTGCACCGCCCGTGTCACCCAAGCCGAGGCTACCTAGGCCACCCTCACCTGTGATGTCCCAACGCCAAACACTTTCACCGACTAAGGAATATGCCCCAAACCCAAAGCCACGCCAAAGAAACCAACCACCATCTCCAGTCCTTCAATCACCAGCCGAAAAACGTTTACCCGTCACGTCGACAGAGCTCCTTCATTCTGTACCAGGAACAGGTGATAGGGTTTACGAGGTTGTAGACCCAGAGCTGGTTGCTGAACCTCTGCCAGCACCTCTGCAAAGGCAGCCACCCATTCCACCACAAAGAAAGAAAAAATTCACTTGTGAGTTAGCTAACTAATGTAATACACTATTCACAACCTTTGGCTGACACATTCTAAATGGTGGCTATGTTTATAACTTCAGTCATGACAGAGAGTCAGACTACATGTTCCATTGTTGAGCAACACCATGGAGAAGAGACATGTGCTGATCTCGAAAACCTGCAGAAGAAAGCCCTCTCAATCCCCCTTTCATCAATTTCAGACATTAAAAAGATTGGTGAAGGTATGACACTATTGGCAAGAGAAACGAGCCTAGTTGTCTGAATGTGAGAGTTCTTCATATCATGTTATGGGGACTGCACATAGCATAATGTTATAAATACACTTTCGCTTGCCAAAATGTGTTGCATTCGTTCTAGTATAATATACACCAAACAAGTGAACGACCAGGAATTTGGACTGTTACAGGTCAGTTTGGAGAGGTGTACGGAGCCAAGATGGGCAAAACCACTGTTGCTCTCAAGATTGTGAGGAGGTTTTCGTCACAGAAGGTGATGGACCAGTTTGAGGATGAAATGAGCATCATGAGCCAAGTTTACCACCACAACATTGTGAGGGTCCATGGAATACTCAGAGAAGGTATTGCAGCAAAATGCAGATTCAGGCTCTATAATCCTATGTATTGTTGCAGGGCCTAACTCTCCAGCCCTTGTGATGGAGTTTCTACCACATGGAGACTTGAAAACATTTCTCACTGTAAGTATGACTATATTATTCACAACGCTGAAACTGAATCTGAAACTATGATTTGTTAGAGAAAGAAACAACCCACCGAGTTCCTGATTAAATGTATGACTGACGTGGCAATGGGGATGCACTACCTTTGTGAGAGAGGATTGATCCATCGTGTAAGTGCACTAACTGAGACCTAAAAGGTGTTAAAGTATTTAGTATATACAAATTTCAGGATCTTGCTGCCCGCAATATCCTACTTGACGAAAACAAGACATGCAAAGTGTCCGATTTTGGACTGCTTAGAGAAGTTCCCAAGGACAAGAGCATATATATAGCACAGGGTGATAGTCTCTCACCTATACGTTGGATGGCACCCGAGAGCATTTCTGACAATACCTTCACTCCTGCCACGGACGTATGGAGCTATGGAATACTGCAGTGGGAAATGTTCTTCCCTGATAGAAACCCCTACCACGACATGGACAACACACAGGTGGTGGCAAAAGTGGTGACGGGTTATCGAATGCCCCTACCAAAAGAGTGTCCAGAACTAGTGGGAAAGATCATGATGGCTTGCTGGCAACATGACCCCAGGAGTAGGCCCAACTTCAAGCTCATTACCAGCCTTCTCATTCACCGTGATCGAGTAGCAATGTAGTAATGACTAACTTATCTTTGCTTAGCAGCATGTATTAAAATGAGAGTAGTTTCAGTTATCATTCAGGGTGCGGCGGAGGCGCACCTGCGCTGCCGCGGCAGCTCGAACGAAATACAGTGCGCATGCTCGTCGTGTGTGTACAATATAAGTAGCGCGCAGCGCCTTTGAGCTGAGAAGGACACAGGCACAATGGATGCTATCAAGCAACTGGAACTTGCAAATGTTAAAGTGTATAAAAATGCCAAGGAAACGGGTCGACTACTCGGTGTTGGCTCATTCGGGTGCGTGGTGGAACTGACCATCAAGGGCGCGGGGAAGTTTGCGGGAAAGAAGATTCACGAAGCTCTTATTGTCGACGGAGATACCAGTCTCCTCGTCAAAGAGTGTAAGCTAATGTCGGAACTGATTCACCCCAGCATTGCGAAATTCTACGGCGTCTGCAACCTGCCGTCCAGAACCGCTCCGGCGTTGGTCATGGAGCTAATGGACCACAGTCTGGAGGATTTCCTCGAGAATAAGACGTTCCATCTCCCGCTCACGACGGCTACGTCCATCCTTATCGACATAGCCAACGGTCTCACTTACCTACACGGTCGGACGCCTCGCGTTCTCCACCGCGACCTGACTGCGCGAAACGTTTTACTCGACAGGTACACGAACGCAAAGATAACGGATTTCGGCAATGCCAGGATCATCGACGCAGCCAAAATCGGTAAAACCATGACCCAGGCCCCAGGTACCAGCGTCTACATGCCTCCCGAGGCACTGGATCCCCACACGACGTACTGCGACCGGCTCGACATTTTCTCTTTCGGGCACCTCGCGCTCTACACACTCATACGAGAATTTCCGAGAGAGCTCCTTCCCGCCACATACATACAAGACGCGGAAGGCCAGGTTGTGGCTCGAAGCGAGGTTGAGCGAAGGAGCAAGTACATGGAAGCTCTAGACGTCAAGCTGCCTGAACTAAACCACAAGCTTTACCAGTTGACTCGGCAGTGCCTGCAAAACGACCCCACTAAGAGGCCAGACGCAACCGCGCTCTTGAGCAAACTACAGGAGGTCCTCTGCCTGGAGTATGGAGAACTCTACGCCACAACAGGCACTGAAGAATCAACGGCAGATGCAGATCGTAAACTCCTTGAAGATAAGCGTGAAGTACGTAAAATTTACTTTGCCTGTATACAGAAGGGTAGACTAAGAACATGGAAATAAAAATCTACATAGTATGTTGTTGTTACCATTACTTTGACAAACAATAGCATTATTAAATAACCTGATGCCAAGCACATGACCACATCATAAACATCTCCCACAAAGCCTACGTAGCTATATCCAATAATGGCACGCTGCCCTTGAAATTCACTTAAGTATTGTGTCTTTTCGCATAGGGTCAGGTAAAAACAGGTCTGATAGAGAAGAAGTCCAGAATACTCAGCAGGTGGAGTGAGCGAGGGACATGGAGAGCTCACACATTCGCAGTCGACTACAAGAGAGGGACTTTCAAATACACAAGGAGTGGGGTAAGCAACCTAACTACACTACCATCTACGTCATCCATTACTATACACTGCGACCATCAGTATAGTGATAAGAGCTCCATTTTGAGTATTAACAAAAACCAAAGTAGGAATTCCATATAATTATAGCATGAATCACAAAGCAAATGCATATCAAACAATCCTAGAATAAAATTTTTTTAAATTCATGGCCTGTTTCCTGCAGTCATTTCCAGCAAAAGGTCCTGTGATTCAGCTGGACAACATAACTGAGGTGAAGGAACTGGAGCAAGACGGACCAAGGTTTCCATTTGAAGTCCACCACAAAGGAAAACACTCCCCTTGGGAGCTGAGAGTCTACTCAGAGGTAAAAAAATCTATTGACTTGCCTTACCTACCTTGTTTTGACACATGTAATTACTGCTTTGCTTCAACAAATGTATAGGTACAGAGAAGGGAATGGAAGGAGAAACTACAAATGCACGCAGAAGCTTCAAGCCCACTGCTTACAAGATCTGAAAAGGAGAAGGAAGACATCGATGCCTCCATCGACGAATGCATCTACGACAAGATTATCGATGTCCTCAACAACAGGTTCAACCCCAACCAATTGGACGAATTCACCAAGAAGCTACAAACCCACACGTATGCAACACTTCCCGCTGACAGCAGAATCCTGCCCGCTATAAAACGTCCACCCATGGATCAGCCAGCACCATCTCTACAAAGATTTCCAGCTGTGCCTCCACCTCCAGAGACAGACCTTCCACTGCTCCCTCCCAAACCACCAAGGAAAAAGCTAAAAGAGCCCCTCGCAGACAAAACATTGAAGCAGCCATCGCCGTCAAGCACACCAGGGAGCTCAATGCTCTCTCTGACAGTTGATCCGGCACTCCCAGTGCTACACAAGACACAAAGATCCATGTCACTCCCATCGGTGGAGCCCATGCCCCTTGATGTGGGCAAATTACCTGTGCGTCGCCTCAAAAACGGCAGTGACAGAGGACTATGAAGACATGGATTCTGGTCTAGTCTCAGAGCAGAGTTCCAGGCTGGCACTGGCACAATTGTTGCCACCAACTTTGCCGCCACGGCGACCAGCCAGTGAGTCTTCTTGATACACATGGGGACATTCACAATTTTCCTAAACTGTAAACACAGGTCCATGTGCTTCACTTGAAGCTCTTCAGAGAGAAGCGCTCGCAATTTCTCTCTCCTCTCTGACAGATGTTACAAAGATCGGAGAAGGTGGGACACAATTTGAAATGTTCGGTAACTTCAAACTGTGTTTTACATATACAGGCCAGTTTGGAGATGTATACACGGCTAAGATGAATAGATCCACTGTTGCTGTGAAGGTCATCAAAAGGTACTCGTCGAAGAGAGTGAAGGAGCAGTTTGAGAATGAAATGAGCACCATGAGCCAGGTCTCCCACCACAACATTGTCAGGCTCCATGGAATCATCAGAGATGGTGAGACAAGTAGAGATAATATACTCACCTATATACTTGTTGACCTAATTATCGATAGGTCCTCTCTCGCCTGCACTGGTAATGGAGTTTTTACAAAACGGAGACCTCAGGACATTTTTGAGCGTAAGTCACAAAAATGTTGATTTGCACAATAACTCTTTCTTCTGGACTGTAGAGGGAGCCACAATCGCACGAGTTCCTCATGAAATGTATGAGTGACATAGCAATGGGAATGCACTATCTTTGCGAGAGAGGACTAATCCATCGGGTAAGCTGACACAATTATTGCATATTTTGAGAACCAAACTACTTAATGAGTAGTGAGTCAAACTATACTCAACGAGTCACTTCATTTTCCAGGACCTGGCAGCACGAAACGTCTTACTCGATGACAATAAAAACCTGCAAAGTATCTGACTTTGGATTGCTACGGGAGGTTCCAAAGGACAAGAATGTGTACATCTCGCAAGGCGATGGTCCGTCACCACTACGGTGGATGGCACCCGAGAGTATTACCGACAACATCTTCTCACCTGCCACTGATGTGTGGAGTTTCGGAATAGTGCAGTGGGAAATGTTCTTCCCCGGCAAACAACCCTACCACGACATGCAGACTACGAAGATGATTGTGAAAGTGGCCAGTGGGTATCGAATGCCCATCCCTAGGGGGTGTCCAGCTCTGGCGGCAAAGATCATGAAGGCTTGCTGGCAGCATGATCCAAACGAGAGACCCACTTTTCTGCTCATTTCAAACCTTCTTAGCTCACGGGATCGACTGTTAATCACTCAGTAATGCAGAAATAATCTCATATTATTACAAGCGGAGAGCACTGCGCATGTCGGATAGCAACGCGTCGCGCGTCGCGTTCAGTCAGCTCTCGCGTCGTAAGCAAAGATGCTGCACAAAAGGCGGGGCCCCTCGACAGTTTCACCTTTCAGTTTTTCGCAAAAGACGTCGCCCCCTACCATTCACAGCAGCGTACACGTTCCCCGATCACCGCACCGACGTCTGCAGAACGACAGCGCGATCGCGCTAGGAGTCGGCAGAGCCTTCACGCGCATCCCACTCCTGATCGAGAAACCCATAGTCCGTTCGCCTAGACCGTCGGACTTCAACAGATGTCTCCTAGCCGAAATCGGGGCCGCCGCAAATTCGCGCGGTCGCGGCACCATCAAGCTCTCGGCGAGTCGACCCCGACCCATAGTCTGTGACGATCAGATTGAAACGCTCTCCAGAAAGAGAATCTATACCTCCACGACGCGAGGATCCACTGACGAAGCCGCTCTGCCAACACCGCGAATAGACCCACCTCTAACTACGCTGGAGAGAGACGCGGACCCAGTCACAGTGTGCCGACGAGCGGCACGCTACGCTCCGCGGCCCGCCGCCTGGCAGCACTACGCGAGAGAATGGGACGCCATGCAACTGAGGAAAACCTCTGACAGTCCGACGTTGTAAGAGAAATTAAACACTTGGTTTCAATTTTCAAATGATATCATAACTATAGGCCGCAGATCGTAAGTACTGAAGGGCATAAAGACATCACGTAAGTTCTTTCTGTCTCAGTGTAAAATGGATGTTCAAGTGTATTTATATATAGCAAATCCCAAGAGCATGAAACAGAAGAGGGAGAAGGATACAAATTGTAAGCCATGTTCAAGTGTACACACTTTCAATTGAAAAGGATTTTGTACGCAGCCTGCGTCCAATGCCAGGCTATGGAGGGTTCATACCGAGACATGCAGTAGAGCCACGTCACCACCCAGAGCCCAACTACATCTCTGACTGGATGTGCAGTACTGCCCGGAGAACATACAGGTTTGATATGCAGTGGAACCTTCGAACAAGGGAGGGGCCAATGATTTTTGTCCCTCGCAGAGAGGTTGTCCCTATCTCGGAGATCAAATGATACACTAAAGTATTAGCATGGGGTTAAAACAAGTGTCCTTTGTAGAGAGGTCGTCCCCATCTCGGAGGGTCCCTTATCAGAGGTTCCACCGTACTCCAATATCATACAACTTTGCAATAACGTCAATGCAATGTCTTTGACACTATAATTATAGGAGTTTTCCAGCCTATGAGTACAAGGTGCTCGAACATGCACACAAAGGCCCCTTCTCAAAGACAGTCACCATGACCCACCCTCTCAACCCTTTCAACAAAGTGGAGCATCAGCCACGCATCTACTGACTGACATACCACAGACAGACGGTGCAGAGAATCATGAGACATTGAGGAAACAACACAATAAATAATTTTGTCATTCATTCAAACTTTAAGTGTTAGTCTCCTCAAAAAGGTGGTCTTTGATGCAGGATGGAGGCTCTTCCCTACAGATATATATACAGACAGTTACTAAAACCTGATATATATACGTACATGCACTGGTAGCATGCATATATACAGTGTATCCACGTGGCTGTTATTGCGGTCAACGAATGGAGGCAGTAAAGAAGAGTTCTAATGGGGAAAAACAGCCTATTATACCGCATACATATTCACATTTTACACGAACCAAGTCCTTGACTGTTAGTTGACAACCTACAAGGAAGAAATGAATCAGTGGCTATGTATTATAGCTACACAGGAATGAAGGGTTGTCTTGCCATAACAGAGGCAATCCCAGAGACCAGGGTCACAACTCTCAGGCCGGGAGAGGTGAGTGAATACTGAGCCATCAGCTGGTGGACCAGACGGTGCCTACGAAAGATTATAGTGCTGACTCTGTCAGGTTGGAAGCTCGTTTTACCTGACACAAGGCACATCTCTTTGACTTTTCATCTCCACCAACAGTCAGCTTGTCACCAGTTCTATAATGCATGTAAGTAGAGATGCGACTTGTGTTTGTGTATCCGAGTCTTCGTGGCACACCTGAACACAGTGCTAGTAGTGGAAGGGAAGTCCACCTGTAGACCAGCTATGAAAGACTCAGTCAACTGTTCGATGCTGGCCATTTCTGGCTCCTGAGACGTCATGTCAGCTATAGGCACCACAGGGTCTTTCACAGACTAAGACTTACCAGACTTGTAAAGTGGGGGATCGCAATTGAGTCAAGTCCGTTTAAACTTGCATACATTGCCACTTCATTTGCAGGAAACTCCCTACATATGTACATGTTCCAAACATACACATGGAACACCATACAACATCACCTCAGTGGTCTTATAAAGGCTACATCGCCTGTCCTATCGTCCATGAAACCCTGTGTGTGAGGCTATCGATTTAGCATCACCGAGAAACTAGAGACTCTGACTGTGTCGAGTGGAAGAGTCTGCCCTCTCCCCTGAGCCACATTTCCCAGCAGTCTCACGGCCAGCCGAGTTGCTGTGTCTCCCATCAATACCTACAGCACCCAACCACCAGTATAAACGTCCAATACCGCAAGACAGTATCATACAGTGGAACCTCCGATAAGGGAACCTCTGAGATAGGGACCTCTCTAAAAAGAACACTTGTTTTTGACCCAATTGTGACCTCCAAGATAGGGATGACCTCTCTATAAGGGACAAAATCGTTGGCCCCATATTGCACCTTGTTCGGAGGTTCACCTTATTATATATAATTATACCACTACAATCATGCACCAACCTTGCTGTAGCCCAGTTTACGTGCAGCGTCGACAAGTAACCTTCGCCTGATAAACAAAATCTCACAACTTATACATACGTGACAGACAAACATTGAACAAGAGAGCACACCTCAGTGGGAGTAAAAGGCTCTCTTTTGCAGTCACAGAAGTGCAGGAGTCAAAGAGAGATTTGATCCTCTTCTCCAGAGCCTCGTTCGTGACCTTCTCTCCAACAAGAGACTGATACATTGCCTCCACGAGCTCAGCGTTAGTACGGCCATCACTAGTACTACGGTCTGTCTTCTTACTCCCGCCATTACCTTCCCTCACTAGGGTTCACAGTAGCCCCACTGTTTCTCTCAACACACTCTGCCTTTGAAACACCACCCACTTCTTTACTGTCTCCTGTTTTTCCCCTCAGCAACTGTTCCACAGAGCAAACTGCACACTCTCCGCCAAACACCTGCATACAATGCAGCCACTAAGCTGCTATATACAATCTCTGGGCAGCAGTTATACCTGTTCTATTCTGGTATAGAAGGTGCTGAAACCAGTGGCAGTAGCAATGGCAAGGCACTGAGACAACTGACGGCACCTGTTGTTCCATTTTTCACCCAAAACCGCTCCCTCTAAATCCATACACACCAGCTACAAATTTGTTGCACAACCAACAGCGCTCACCATCAATGACTACAACAGTTGGTTCAAACCTCAACTTCTTGTATGCACTCAGCTTCAACCCCTAAAAAAATGGGGAAGGGGGAGGGGTAGGGAAGAAGTGGAAGTGACAGAGGCAAGATAAAGTATCGCTGGTTTGTCGTTTCTATCTAAAAATTGTTGAAAATCCTATGCAGTGAGTAAGGGGAGGGGTTAAGGAGGGGAGATAAGGATAGGTATATAATATAAACACTCACAGTGCAGCATTCACTCCATGGGTTAAAAATCCCCTGGTTTTGATATGTACAGCTGGCTAACTCAACTGACCTCTTCAGCAAGACCCAGTAGCACTCTGGAGTTCATACCACCAGAAAATGGCAACAAAACCTTCACAAAACACAATTTTTACTAGCAATCTAGCAAAATATTGCCACTTACCTTCTCTCCATCAGTGAAGAGCCTAACCTTGCCAAAGGTGGCACGAAAGCGGTGAACAAAGTAAGCATTGAAGCATTCTCTGCATTCAAACACACACTTTCATATTACGTAGGATAGCGTTTACCGAGTCAGCTAAGAAGCGTTTCGCACTGACACTCTACTGACTTGCAAAACGGGTCTTTTGTCCTTGCAGTTGTCACAGCAGCTCTCTCGCATTTCATACACGTTTTGCCAACACTGCATGCGGTCAATATACACATGGCAGACCTTATGAGGAGAGGACGAACCTGGGAGAGCTCCTGGGTTCTGCCTCAGCCTGCTGCAGTCCCTCCACAACGTCGCACATCGCGGGGAGATGGGCTCCAATTGAAAAACTGCTTGCGTCTGCATTATTTTTTGTCGGCGCGAACATTTGCGCATGCGCAACGGTCGAATACAATATCATCATCATGTGTGCTTGATCGGTAGGGTTGAGGTAATGATTGGCTTGGGACGGTTCTTGAAAAGGATCTTTTTTCTGACCAGAGCCATAATTTCATACTCTATCATGCCACTCTCTTGGTTCCCTGCATGATCCATTGTGTCATTATTAGCCACACCCCAGTCCTTGGAAGATCTCTTAGCCAGCACTGCCAGTGGTTTGTCCAGCTCCACCACTTTCCCAGTCAAGAGATGGTGGCCAATTATCAGTGAAGGGGTACCCTGTATAGAGAGCCATTCAGGTATCATAAAAGCAGACCATGGCATTGATGGTGTACCTGAGCGTCAAAGTGAAGGTCTCCCATGTGCATGCCGTCGAAAGGAGCTCCGTCTCTTGTCTCCAGTTGCCCCTGTAGCTCCACTAGTCCCCATTCTCCTGGATTCGACAGTCTCAGCAAAAGCTGCACCATAACTCTAATTATGCGAAAACCAAACGATTTTGATTTTACGCTGTTAACAAAACTCTACGCATGCGCGAGCAAAAAGACAGTTGAGCAGCTGTGCTCTAGCTGTGCTCTCTTCTTGCTTGCTGCCTGCATATACAACGCTGCTGCGAACTATTAGGAGGCTCAGTGTTCCCTTGAAATCACCAACAGTCACTGTTCATGGACTCCCAGTGTGGAGGTAAGTACATAGGCCAAAGAAAACCATCTATGCCAAATTTTTTTCCTCCACCGTGGTTTGTGCTGTATAATGTGTGTACTAGAGCCCAAAGTGTTGGAACGAGTGAAGAGAAAGAGACGGCTGAGTAGCTGTGAAGATGGCAGCAATACGACAGGGTCGTCCTCTCGTCTGTCGATGTTTGTTCAGTCGGCTCTCCGGCAAACACCAGTGGAAGACGGGGACGGAATGAGTCGCCATGACAACGGCAGGTCGAGAGGAAGTGGCTCCAGTAGCAGGAAGAAACCGAGACTAGGTATGGATTGTGATACTTTGAGACTGAGAAAACTAAACCTTGGAAAACACATTTTACAACAAGGTGTTTTTGATTGAGTTTATTGTTGTACATCCACAAAGCAAAATTTGGGATTGATTCCTTGAACAGTGCCTGTATTTGTGTGTGATTTTAGCTGCCCGTGAACTGGAGAAGAGGTTGGAGGCGGTGCAGTTCCCTGGGTATAGTGAAGAGGAGGAGGAGGAGGAGGAGGAGGAGGCACTCGGAGGGTCCATTGATGTCTTTTCTGAGAGTGGGTCTGAGATAAGCACCCTGGAGGGTCTGGAGGGTATGTGACCTCTTTCCTTACATTTTCTGACATAATCATCTTTCTTCCTGGTGGTGTTGTTTCTCATTGCATCGTCGTATATATATACACACACTGCAGCGATAGATGAAGGAGAGGAGAGAGAGACGCAGGTACCTATGGCCATTAGTGCTTGGAAGAGGAGAAAGGAGGGAACCAGGAGCGGACGTAGGAGGACCTCTGACCAATCTTGTACATTCCCCTCCTCAGTAAGTCAGTAGGTGCAACATTGTAAGGCACAAAATCATTATATAATGGACCTGGTATGTAGGTGCAGTCAGCAATTTTTAGAACACTTCATTTCGGTTGCCTATGCCTACTCTTCGCTTCGTTCGTTTTCCATAGAGCAGATTTTTTGAAGAATTGTACAAACGTTATTGATATTGTGTTGTGTATTTCAGGCTGTTGCTGGGGAGAATATCCGGGAGTTTGACTCGTGTTCGTCTGACGACAGTACTCCAGAATCTCCGGCAGAGCCAGTCCATCCTCAATTCCCTCCTACCCATCTCCACACCTCCACCCCACTCACCACCGTCACATCTCCTCCTCACACCTCCACACCTGTCTCCGCCCATCTGAATCCTCCTCGTCCTCCTCGCCAGACATCAATCATGACTCTTGGAGAATTCCGCTCTCTTCTCGCCAGTGACGATAATCACCACTCGATCATAGCCACACCCACTTCTGAATACCAGAGCATAGTGACTCCGCCCAGTTCTCCAGAGGCCACGTCCCCTTACAAAAGGTCAGGGGTCAAACAGACGACGGCCAGCGAATGGGTGAGGCAGTTCACGCTGGAATCGGACGAACTAGGAGCCAGTACTATTGGAGTCGGCGACACCATATGTGGACTGAGTGATAGTGTATTGGTGAGGGGGTTGGGGGAGAGTGTTGGGAGGGGGAGGGGGAGGGGGAGGAGGGGGAAGGCGGTGGCAGGAGGTCTTGCCGCCCTGGCAGAGACGGTGGCTCAGAGAGAGAGAAGTGAGGTTGCGTTCTGGGAACACAGAGCAAGACAAATGGATGACTCCAACATTGGTATAGTGATACATACACTAGAACGAATGCAACGCATTTTTGGCAAGTGAACGTGAGTAGTTCACTTTTCCGCAGGCGTGCTATAAAACACTACAGTACATATGCGGAATAGTGGCGGAAGAGGGATTGGTGAAGCTAGGTGCAGGAAGATGGAGTGCATTATTCCATAGTCCAAAAATAGTCAATGTATTGCAGATGGTTGGCATGTCTGTTCTTTCACTGATGGTCCTACAAAAATTGCAAAATCGTTGACACCCTTATTAGAGGGTGAGGGTGGGGGACCAGCAAAATAGTGGTGAAAGATGGATTGGTGAAGCTAGATAGGAATAGGTGCAGGAAGATAGAGTACATTATTCCATAGTCCAACAATAGTAAATGTATTACAGATGGTTGGCATGTCTGTTCTTTCACTGATGGTCCTACAAAAATTGCAAAATCGTTGACACCCTTACTGCAGATGTGTCGGTGTGTATGACGGTGGAGGTAATGTGGGTGAGCTGTAGCCACTCTCTCACGGTCACCAGCTGCAGATCTGCCGCCTCTAGTCATGGGGGACAGCCGGCTGATCTCGCCAGCCGCAGGGAGTCCGGTCCTGGCAGTGAGGAGAACGTGAGAGGAAGAGGAGGAGGAGAGATTGTAACTGTGCTGTTCTCAAGCAGATGTGCCAAGTTTCTTGATCTTCAAGTTGGCCAGACTATCAGAGTCCATCCTCCATGGTGAGCATTACCTGTCGTAAGGGTTCGGGGTGCCTATTATTTGCATGTAGGAAGCCCCATTACTGATCTGTAAAGAGTTTGCATCGTGCTCTATGCCAATACACGGAAGCTTTGGTATGCTCTCTATTATCCCATTATATCGTATATACACGTTTCAGGCAGTGTCTGACCACACCCTCATCGGGACAAAGAGTCATCTTTTGCACCCATTTCTGTCTCCTCCTCCCTTCTCCTCCCTCCGCTCTCTCCCCAACGGCACGCTCCACCCTTCACCACCTCCCCACCCCTCCCTCCCTCACCTCTTCACACACTAGAGGCAGGAGTGGGGGAGGTCTTTGTCAGATCCGTTCTCCTCACAAATCTCCCTCGTCTCACATCCCCTCCATCACCAGGTCACCATCCCAGGTCTGCAACATGCAAATGTACGACAACGAATCTTTGAGGAACCCCTCTAATCTGGGCACCGATGGGAGAGGTGTCCATATTTCAGTACACACAAGAAACTGCTTTGGGAAAGCAATTCATTAGGGAGGTGTCCTCATTTCAGGGGTATCCTTAGAGATGGCTGTACTGTTTTTTAAAAATAGAAGTGTTAATCTACGAATATGTGTGAATGAATTAAGGTCAAAATCAAGATCCATTTTGGCCGCGTATGTATATGGTGTTGCAAAGCGTGAATATAGTTGACGTGTTTATTGAGCCTCATGACCGTCACCGTTCATAATTTCATCCGGGGGAGAGTGCATAATGTTGTAGCAGAAATTTGTTCGAGGAATTTTTATCCAATCTAATGTAATTACGATTACACATGAAATCCCACTATTGTTATGAAAATGTGTTAATTACCCACTGAAAAGGAATTGTTTGTGATTTACACAGTTTGGAGTCGTTCCCAAGATACTTTTCCCTTCATCGGACCCTCACGGTGAGCACCACACACACACCCTCACGGAGAGATTAGTGGACCCTCAAAGAAGACTCTAATAAAAGGACACTGCCCTCTATAAAGTTTTGATAATTAGTGTACCTCTAAATAAGGGGTGCCTCTGGGTGTGTGATGCCTCATTCCAAAGTTTCACCATATTTTACTGCTGCCCACAGGCCGTCATCCTCAGGAAGCCAACACAGCTGCTAGCACGACCCTCCCTCCTCTCTCTCCCACTACAACTGCTGGCAGTAGTGGTGGTGAGGCTACCGGCAGAGTGTGTTCCGGTCTGCTGGATGCAATGGAAGGCTGCACACGTGGTGGACTACTTAGTCTCCAGTGTCGCGTTCTGAGAGTGTACCGGAGACCTATCACCTCTTGCGTCACATTGTTTGTCAATAAACTCATCATGTGCACTTACAAAGTTCTTAGTTTTGCATTATAACAACGGTTACTACATTGGATAAGTGGGGAATCACCATTGTATGGTACTGGGTAATCCACAAGTCTTTCTTCTCTCTACCATGTGACATGCTGTACACCCAAAACAATCATCTCTACCCTCTCTTGACAGTGGGAAGGAGGTCAGGCAATGGGCAAGTGGTGGTAGAACTTCAAAAGCCTCCCAGAAATGCAGGTCAGGGAATGAAGGATCACTAGTGATACAACTTCCATTATAGCTCCAGTGTCATTTTCACTGCACTCTCCAGCTAGTCAACATGGCAGGTTATGCATCCCCACCTGCTTCCTATAAGTACTAAAAGTTTAAGTTGTCGCAATCACTCTTTGAGGACTGCATTCTCCAGTTATTGCCGAGGTGTTCAGGATGATTGGTTGGCCTGTCCTTCCCTCTGCTTGATTGATAAAAGTACGAAACGTTTAGATCCCCTACTTTCCCTGTTTCAATCTGTGAAATGCTATATATCTCTGCTCTGTGTTGCAGGTGGTGTGTGTTGGTGTGTGATGCCACTGGTCAGCTGTGCGAGCTCCAATTAACCAACATACACCACCCAACCTGGTACACCTCATTTCTATCGACTTTAGTTACTTGTGTATAATATAAAATCTCAAATGTATGGGCATAATGCAGGACAACCTGTGTCATCCCTATATTATACTAAGTACTACCGTACTTAGTGATATACCACTCATGGATTAAAGCTTGGAAATGGGTTTTGCACTGCATTTCCAAGTGGGCATATTCACTCAGCAGTAGCTCAGATATTTCAGCTATGTAGCTATGCATGGTCCTGGGTGGTGTGTGTTACTGTATCCTATCCTCTGTATGTAGCTAGCTATGCATGGTCCTGGTTGGTGTGTGTTCCTCCTCTCAGGACTGAGGTAGTGAGAAGAGGGGAAGGACACGTGTACATCTTCAGAGACATCAGAATATTTCGCAGGACCAACCCAGCCAGGTGAGGAAGGGAGGAGCAGCAATTCTATTGTATATAGCTGGAGGAAAGGAGACAGCACCATGTTATATAGCGGAACAGTTTTGCGCTGCGCACATTTTCGTTGTAGTGGACTTGGATATCTGAGCATATTATTATTTTACATGGAAATATTTGCCGCTGAACTTCAAAGAGATAGCCGTTTCTGCAAAGAATGTGGCGCTATGCAGTATGTATGGAGCGTATATAGAATAACACGGCGTCTGAAGTGGGATGTTTGTTTTTGGAAACCGTTTGAAGTTTGCAGATGCCGTTTACCATTGAGCAGCACCTCAATGCACCGAGTCACTTGTGAAACTGTGATGGATGACTTAGAGGACCGGCTGGCCTTTCAACAAGGGTTCCTAGCAGGAACTATCCCATCCACACACACACACACACACACAGTATACGTATGCACATTATAGACTGTAGTTGTAGTCGGGCCAGCTGCGCCGGCGGAATTGAAGTTTCCACCGCCACAAAGAGTATCCCAGTTTACACTGCTCGCCCTTGCTCTTTTGTGGATGGCACGGTGTGAACTATTGATTGGTGGAAAGGCATGCGAATAAAAGAGCCGGCACCTTTCATGAAAATGTCACCAAAGTCCAACTTGATATTCTCCCACAGGCAAATTGGTAGCCCTAACTTTTTAAAACCACCAACACGCGACCGTACCAAAACTGTCACATTAATTTGGGTGTAACATCATATGGCTTTGTATTGAGTTACAGGCCACAAGTGCGGGCCATGTGCCGCCCTGTGTGTCTCACCGAGTGTGCCCGGTTTCCTCTGCCATTCAGGAATCCTGAGCTGTTCTCTCTCATCAGATGTCTCTGTCCTCGACTGACACACGCACCCTCTGCTCCCACCAGTACTCAGGTGTGTATAATTATACATTTCTCTCGCTCCCACATACCTACCACTGACAGGAATTTCCCGAGGACACAAAATGTACCTCTTACTGTTAGCACCCGCGTCTCTACGAAACTCAGCTTCTTTGTGCCGCCTACATTACTTACCAACCTAGTTAACCCTCGGCCGCGCATGCACAGCGAGGGTTACGGTACTTGTTTCGTAACTGTAGTGATTTCATATTGTTGTGTGCACTACCACGTAGTCTGCATGTACGTAAGTGTATGTACATTTCCTCTCAGTCTCAAAGTTTGGACAGAGGGGTGTCTTTCCAGTCCGCCGGTCCCGTTCCCATTCCCTCATACTGCTATGTCCTGGTGTCAGGACCAGAGAGTGTCCCCGTTCCATGTCAGGAGGAGGGGGAGGGGTTGTTCCCCATGCTAGTCCGTCCCACTGTCTCGTCAGCTGTCGACAGAGGCTGTGATAATAAAGACTGGGAAGTGGCTAGAGTCGACCTCTATTGCAGAGTGGTCCACTGCCAGCCAGAGGTTGGTTTTATAGGCATAGTGTCAGTGTAGTTAACCATCCCCATGTCTCATATTTCAGTGAAGAGATCGTTACTGCAACCCAGAAGTAGGTTTGTATGAGTGTGGGGCATATGGTTGTATACCCTCGTCTCATACTGCTGTAGAGTGGTTTACTGCCTGCATAATAGGAGCAGTTCCCGAGTCTTATACACATTATTGTGCAAAGTCAGAAACTACGCTGCATCTTTGTTTTTCCTTACTCTACGTGCAGATCCCAGTGGAAGAAACACGCAATGTCCCCCTTCCTCCTCATCATGGGCACTATCTCTTTATCGTCACACCCTCCCTCCCCTCCTCCTCCTCCTCCTCCTCCTCCTCCGCCCATGGTCACCAACTGCTCCGTGTGTATATGAAGCCTCTGTTCTCCACAGAGGGAGGGAGTCACCTACTCTGCTCTCCTGGCCAGAGACTCCTCATTAGGGATCTGGAGGCCAAGAAAGACAACGGTCAATATGTTTATATTGACTAACTACTTGTGCGAATTTTTTGAACTGATAAAGTATCCACTTTGTAGCAAATACGTATGATAACCACATTTGGTATTAACGTTACTTGCTTGTATGCGTGTTCTACAGGGAGCACTGTGTACAGTATGGATGCCTGTTCTATGGTCTACCTTTTTACCAGCAAGAGAGACCTTCCACAGGTAAATAGCTCCCCCTCTCATTCTTAAAAGAGTTTGGGCAGAGCTATACACGTAACTCACTGATGCCAACCCCCTGCATACATGTATATACAACACTAGTTCCCTAGCAAGTCTCACAGTTACCATGCCTATCCCTATATATACTAAGTACTTAGTGTTAGACGAGAGAACACCCTTACTCTGTAATAACTGCCATGTACATCACCAGAGAAGTGGGGCAGGCACCCAGCTTACAATGTCTATTACAGACACCTAACTTACAATGCAACATTGCTAGTGGGATTTCCGAAGCGCCCGGGGAAACTGTCACCCTATTAGCTCAAGCTTAGGGACAATCGTATGCCATTGCCTAGGAGTTCAAAGCGTCTACTATAGCAGGAGGCTACGTAAGTATGTATGCAGAGAAGCCTTGAGTAGTGTTTATACTGTGTGGCCCTGTTCTGAGTGAGTTCAATCTCTGCCAGTGACAACAGATGCTCCGCTCGTGCTAGCACCGGGACCCTTTCATCTGAAGAGCTCTATTTTGGTGTGTCTGATCGCAAGCCCTTTGGAAGTGCTCTCTCTGACTCTCTTAGGGCCCTGCACCGCGTGTGTACACAGCGTATTACGGGCATCTTTGATCGTTTGCGTTTGATCACATGTCTCAGTTATACACATGTACACTGTGTGTGCAGAGAGATTTTTCGACCCCCAGACTTTATTTATATCCAGACACCGATGCTATATACCAACAACCTTGGCCGAGTAGTGTACCTGTGTCCCTTAGAACTCCTTTAGATCCATACTATTCCGTATGTATGTGACAAAATGAGGTATGTAGCAAGGCAAAGGCAAAGTAGACGAGCCAACTACACCCAGGACAACTCTTTTTTCTCCAATGAACAAAGAAGAGCTGCCCTGGGTGAGATTCGGACCCACGACATATGTATGGTTTTCAGCGTCCAAGACTCGTATTATTAGTTTCTCATGTTCTTTAAGAGTGTTACGTAAGTACTGTATAATAATTATGTATCGTAATGTTACTTATCAATAAAAGGCACGGCATTATGTTCCGCTCATACACATATTATAGGTAGGTACGTATGTTGGAGAGCATGCCGAAAATCGGGCACCAGCTGAAATTTCACCACAAAACAACACCTTATAATTACCATCTTCAACATGATAATAGGCCGCACACACACACACACATACACACATAAACTGCATGCAAATGAGGGCAAGATATATGTAAGGGCATGCCTCGCGTTTTTTGTTTGGCACCATCCATGCAATGCTTTGTTTTCTATTCAATACGTGTCTGTAGGCAGCACATCAAAGCCAGTAGCAGCTGTCATCCGGGGCCAATTTGTCCAGCGTATGTGGTAACGGATGCAAATGGATTTTTGCGGCTTTTGTTCTTTTGAAGAAATTTGCTTTTTCGTGTGGTGTGATTGGCTCGTATTGTCAAAGTTAGCAGATGTTTTAAACACACTGAGACGAGTAGTACATCATATGAACTGCAGTCAATTTAACACATTTTTGGTGAGCAAAAACAAACAATTAAGTCTTTCAAGCACAACTTTGAACCCTGCTCTGCATTGTTTTCATACATGCACATCGTTGCAGAAATGAGACAACTAGAAAAACTCACCTCTCTCACCAAACAAACATAAAATAGATACGCAGTAGAACCCCTCTCTCTAAGGAGACCCCTGAATGGAGGACACCCACCTCTCTAATAAGGACATCCTCTCTTTCCCCAGAAATAGTTTCTTCTTGCGTGCAATTGAGCACCAAAATTAGGGACACCTCGCTAATATGGACACTTTATTCTGTTCCATTGGCGTCCGGGGGTTCCGTTCCACTGTATAATGTATTATTAATGTATTATGTATTATAATGCGTTTGGTTGTCTGCCAGTGGGTTTCAAGGGCACGTGTTAGAGAGAGATCACATTACATGGTGAAACCAGAGTGGTAGTCTTCCTGACCACTTTTAGAGTAACGTCTTCCGCACGACGTGTTTGTTTGCCCCAATTGTCGGCATACACGCGGTGGTGTCTCTCTATACTGGACACCAATGAGACAGAAGAAAGTGTGACCTGACCTTATTAACTGAATACGTGAAGTGTAGGAAAGGTGGAGAGGTGTCCTCGTTTCAGTAGAGGAGGGTTCAACTGTACAGGTGGAGAGGTGTCCTCGTTTCAGTAGAGGAGGGTTCAACTGTACAGGTGGAGAGGTGTCCTCGTTTCAGTAGAGGAGGGTTCAACTGTACAGGTGGAGAGGTGTCCTCGTTTCAGTAGAGGAGGGTTCAACTGTACAGGTGGAGAGGTGTCCTCGTTTCAGTAGAGGAGGGTTCCACCGTATATAAAGGCCAATGTTTTCTAATTGGTGTGTTTGTTTATGCTCTATTGACCACGACGCAGTAAAATTGTCAGGTTTTTTTAGTTAGTCAATAATCGTCCTTTTCTCGTGGATTTTTATACCATTTACATCTAGCTGTGACAATAGTGGTTGCAGTTTCTTCTAGTCTAAAAATACACACAGTTTCAGCCATGATTTGGGACTTAATCTCTCTGGCAGGGAGAGGAGACGTATCCACAGTACTGGTTTAGCAAGGAAGAGGAGCAGTTACTGCACGGCCTCCCTCCCCCCATCCTCCCTCCCCTCGCTCCTCAACACGGCCTCGGCTCTCTTGCATCTCTGAGAGGTTTGCCGCAATCATGCTTTAGTCAGAAGCCTATGCACAATCTTTTGCACAATTTTCAGTGTCAAATCCCGACCCCGAGTAATTTTTGATATTGCACAACCGCATGATTACTTTTGAGTCCATAGTTGCAGTTAATCACAGTATCCAAACACACACACCCACACACGCGTAGGTTTCGTTGGAGTGAATTGATGCATACAGGTATGACTTCTTTGGAGGCAGCTTAAGCCTGAAACACATGAAATTAATCCCACATTGATTGGTTTAACGGGTTACAGGGTATATATGCCCACATTGGTTTCCTGGTTACAGTATAACCACCACACACACACACACACACACACACACGATGTGACAGGCGATATCGTAGCTGTGGACGAGGATTCCGCCTTCTCCTGGACTCAGTGCGACAAGTGTGGCAATGAACAATTGAGCACCACTACCACCACTGAAGATGGGTAAGACCCTCTCATCTATGCTAATAGAGAACCTCTTGAGGGAGAAAATCATCGTGGCAAATTTTTTATGAGCCATCGGTGAATGTTGTTAAGTCTTGGTATAGCTAAGGTTTGTACAGTTGGATAAGAAGATTTCTCAGTAAAAATTCTTATGTTCTGCACCAATTTAGGCACCAGCTACAACTATAATTTCAGACAATTTAGTTACGAAAGTACGGAAAGAGAATAGCACTTAAAGACATGGCCAATTAATACGGCAAACGGTTGGTAAGTGTGCAATATAGGAAACCTGCCTGCTGCTTGCGTTCGAATGACGTTAGACTTGATCTGGAGGCACTGTACAAACTTGTATTGAAACGTCATCAACAGGATGGTGAGATATGGCCCATACCAATCAAACCAGCTAGATAAACTTCACATTGTCGTGGTTATGTAGATGGCTCATTGTATCGGTTTTATTTCAGGAGACCTATTTCTTTTGTTCTCTCTCACTGTAGACTACACATATTTTCCAGGAAAGATACATCTGCTGTGGGCATTGTGCTAAGTCTTAATTCTAGAGCCAGGCTGTCTGAAATAATATTTATCTTGACCTTGTTAGCTGTGCCTACTTATACACACGATTGTTCCATTCTTTGATCCATAATCTGTGGCAGAAAATACAAATACCGGCCAATTATCAGACCATAGCACACAATCATTGGCCTTTATTCATGCATTATTGGCCCTAAGCATGCAATACTTCTACTGCCTCCTTTGCAACTCTACACCCCTTCTGTTCCCAGTTCTCGCCCCAGTGGTGGGTTTTCTAGTACCACATCTGAGTCCGTTTGCCCTCTGGCAAATCTGGTTCAGTCTCCAGTGAAAAACACCCGTTCATTGACCCTAAGCTGCATCAAGGAATGCACAAATAAGGAAGGCTACCACTAGTACAGGCTTCCTCTGCTGGGGAACTGAGGTTTACACCAGGAATTCCATTACAATTATACTCCAAACAAACACCTCTATCTAATATATCCACTATCAAAAATAATTTTACACTCAGCAAACCCAAGCAAACAAGTCAACTCCACCCACCTCTCCCTCTTTCTCTCTATCTCCCCCCCTCCCCCTTCCCCTTTTCTCTCTCTCACTATTAAGAGAAGACGATGGATTGTTATACTGTGACGAATGCAACACAAAAGTCCTCAGTCCGTCTATCCACCTCCAACTGGCCGTCTACGTCAAAACTGCTCATGATGACTCCTGCCGTCCTGTGTGTGTCCAGGTCAGTAGCATTTCCAACCATGGTACATGTATACACACCCCATGTGCTCGCCCACTGTACATACCACGCCATACGGTGCCCACTCTTTCACACGGTAATAGAGATAGATAACGTGTACGGAGGCTCATAAGGGCCATCCTTTGCAATTGCAGGTTTCGATTGTACAGTCGAAGCGTTGGCCCCTGTTGGCTTGGCCCCTGTTGGCTTGGCCCCTGTTGGCTTCTTTGTACGTTTGCATACAGTGCCGTTCTATTCTGCCAAACCTGCTTTTGCTGTGGAGCAAGAGCTCTAAGTAAGGCCAACACGGAAACCCTCCACACTTGTGTTTGCGGCGGTACTACCTCCTGTTTTTCCATTCCGACGGTACACACACGTAGGTGATAGGTATGCAGTAAAGAGGGGGCTCGGGACCAACAAACAGAAGGGAAATTTGCACTCGTTCTTTTTCAAAGCACCGATTCCTTTAGATGTTAGTTACACACTCTGGTCCGTATATACAATGCAACTTGCTCATGTGTACATACTCACACCAGATACTTTCACTATAGTATTACATGTGGATCCAGTAGAATTTCGTGTATTACACACGCAGTTTAGTAGAGTATCTTGTGCTCTTGGCATGTAGGCTTATGTATACAGTACTCAGTGTCAGATGTATGTATGTAGGTATTATGTGTGCCCATCAAAAGCTCCAGGAACCATTGCCAAACGCATTACTTTGCGGTCTGTGGCGTCCCTTTGTCACGTTCCAAGTTTGAGAGTTAATCACTTAGCCACAAACACACCGTCTCTCTCTGTCCCTCTGAGCGGCAGTCGCTGCACATCTTTGACCGTCGCAGCTTTCATGTTCCTAGCCAGTTATGTACGTATGTAGATCAGCTAACATTCCCTCCGTACAAACTGCTGTGGTAGACAAAGAGTTAAATCGATAATGGATAGGTAATTGATTGTGCATTTCACACGTCTCAAAATCAGAATTTTGTGTTTGATCTGCAGTGATTAAATTAACCCCATTAGCTGAACCCAGTTAGCCATTAGGGCCCGCTCTCTTCACAGACGTGTTTGTGAGAGAGCAAAAGAAGTGCCAAAATGGGAAAAGAGCAATTTTCGGTTACATCACAATTGATTGTCTGATTAAGTGCCATAGCCAACCCGTCTCGGATACGTATAATATACAGCATGTTTTCAAACTACCATCTCTTCCTTTCTCCCCTCCCCCCTCCCCCTTTCAGCTACTCCAGTCAACCATAAAACAACTGCTGCCAGTGTCTCCTGCTAATCTGGATGAGGTCCGTGAGTGTACGTGATGATAATGTTCAGCTAATACGTCTGCATGTTTCCCTAATGAACGCAAAACAAACAAACTTCAGCGTTGCATTACGGTTATTGAAAATATGCCATCTATATCAAAATTCAGACGACTGGGTGGGGTCGCTTCATTCGCCAACTAAATAATAGCAAACGTCCGTACATTTCTAATGTGTCCCTTGGAACATAGTGAAAAAATAGTACCATGCATACATCCCTAATGTGCCACCTGAAACGTGTAGACCGATTTGCATGCAGGGAAGGCGCAAAAAGATCATATTTCAAATGGCCGTGGGTTAATTTCACAAACCTAATTCGCCACTGTTCGCACTACAAATGAGACATTTAGAGCCTCGACAAGGTAGATTTCACAGGAACAGTTGCGCTGAGGTAGATCAGGTGAATGGCCCTTTTCGGACCAGTCGACATGCCAGCGTCACTACTCCTTGGTATTATTAGCATGAAATTGAAATACAAATTGCACATTTAGAACATTTGTATAACTCGCGAGTAATTCAATATGTACGTACATGCGTAGTTAATTATTTCTCTGAATGTATAGGGGTTTGATGTGAGGCAGGTTTTGAAGCTGTCGGTGTTTCTAGATGCCTGCTATGTTCAGGGTACTCGTGTGACCAAACTTGGTATGCCCTCTCTCTCTCTCTCTCTCTCTCTCTCTCTGTGTGTGTGTGTGCGTCAAACGTTTCCCACTCTACTACGTCATATAAACACCCACATACACACATAAGAAAGAAATTTGTTTAGCTGGCCATTGCGCAACAAGCCATATATAATCTGGATATTGTGGCCACAATTGAGAGTCACTAGTCATAACAACCTCCCCAGGGCGGCCGCTAAGTCTGAATATGTCACTCTCTCCCGCCAAAGCTTTTTCTAGGCAGTGGTAACCAGGAAGGAGCCTTTCTTACACAGCGCACTCTCAATGGACTGGTGATCCACTTGTTTCCAAACATGTGTGGTTCAGCCAGCCAGCCAGTAGCAGCGGAGGTGTAGCAATTGTCCACCCACTCATTCCATATATCCCTCCTCTTTGTCGCCTACCCTTAGTGCTGCAGTGCGTGTATATATACGTACCTTGCCTGCTGCCAATCATACACATGTAGTCGTTGGCTGGGCCCCCTAGGTTATAGCATATGCTTCCCATCCCTACACTACCCCGTGTGGTCTGTGGACCTTTCTCTATGCTATATATGATCACCCGCATATCCATATTCTGGGGTAGTATCAGGCTGGCGGTGATTTTGATCAGCAACATGTAGTGTACTGTTGAGCCTCCAAATACAGCCTGAAAATGATTGGACATGGTTTGTGGTCGAGGCGATAATGCATAAGCTTAGTACACAGAATACCATATGTACTGCGGCTCTGGCATATATATATAATAATAGTAGAGCAAGTAATCCATGACCACCGACAGGGGATCATTGTTTCATCGGCCAACACAGTGCCTTTGATCTGTTTTCTTTGAGACGTGCTCAACACTATCGAGGTCTGTGTTGCATGTCAGCTTTAAGGGGTAGGCACATATATATTATGTGTCGGTAAAGTGCAAATCCATCAGCTAGTTAGACCCACCCAGTCTAGCTCCTTAATCACAGTATATACCCTCAGTACACACGCTAATGAGCATACATACATTTGATGAGCAAATAAACACATGTACAAGACAGTTAAATGTACGTACATTATTATAATGACACGTGCATACTGTCTGTAAGTATGCTGTGCGTCACGTTACCTGTTACGAGAGAATTTGTTGACCCCCAATGTTTGGCTCTGGACCTGTCGTCTCATTATGTTCCTACCTCACGTGTTTGTATGCAGAGATCACACACATAACATAAATACCTATCGTATTAAATCAATGTAAGTTAGCGGAACTCATTAATAATATTTTCTCGGAAATTGCTAGCGGTATACTAGTTAGTCCATTTTTACACACACTTGCAGGGCAGACAGTGCCTTACCTCCTGGAAATCAACATTAATCCTCCAGAGACGCTTTAGCACTTTTCTTCTGACAGTCCATTCAGGGTATATTGGATGTACTACGGACCATTTGAAGAGATAGAACTACCAAAGCTGTATGCATATTGTATATATATACCATCCTATAATTTCAGCCCATAAGTTTGTGTTTTGCTGTAGACACACTTGCGCAAACAGAACGGCTTTTGATGAACATGTGCGTATTATCTGGGACTTGGCCTCTCGGTCTATGTGTTGTTGTATACATATTCATCATCGTAGACTGATTTGGAGAAGTTGTGCAATATGTGCAGAGTACGCGCTCTTTATGATACTTTGGAAGTTGCAGGAGCGTATATAGTATGTTTGTATGTAGAAATTGCAGTAGGTTCGGGTTGTGGTATATTTACGTGGAGTTTGGGGTGGGGAGTTTCAAAGTAGAATGAATACGTACACAGTGTGTGTGTGTTACCTTGTGCAGGAGGCACACCACTCGACCGCACTTGAGAGTCGTCTGTGGTTTTTACAACGTACAAATCTTGCACACCTGCACATTGTTGTGCCCCCATAGTGCATGGCTTCTCTTCCGTATTACACGGGCCTCGGTGATTGGGGGCTCCCTTGGTTATGTTGCACTTGACGAGCGAGTAAACAGTTTGGCGTAGGTGCCTTTGATGTGTGTCTGGAGCCCAATAGCCTTGCACTTGACACAGTATATACTTATGACACACACACACGCGCACTATTGGAGTGGCCTTTAAAGCTCTGTAGCCGTATATGGATATGAAAGTGATAGATATTGATACTTGGTGTGGGGCTAACACCACAAAGGGCGGCCTAATCTTCTAACATGCTTGGTCTACCCGAGAAGCTCAGGTGTGTAAACTCGCAACATCTACATGGTTTATGCAATCATTGACTGGATCTAATTCCATGATCGCCGCACTCTTCAGAAGTCTTCTGAAGAGAAAGTCAGGCAGTTCTTTGATGATTAGTTCAAGCACCTATGACATTAACTCTGTTACCCTCCTACAGACGGCAGGTAATGGCTGCTGGCATGCTTGGGGCTATTGACCTGACAGGGACAGGAAGTAGAACACAGAGTGTGGAATTTTGTTAATCCCTGCAGAATGTGGGTAGGTAGTGATGGCTTACATGAAGAACCTACCAGAATGTGTATATATCGGCTTTGAGAATGTTCATTGGGCACCCCTGGGGCTACAAAATATATATATAGGAAGTGCGTGCATTATGGTGCATTATAGGGACTGTTCGTCTCACTAAAACTCAACTCTCACAAAGCACTGTTCCTACAGCGGATGCACGCATATTGCCACAAGAATTTTGCTAAACTTTTCTTTTGATTTCTGAAGGGTGCACTGGAAACATGATGATGAGACTTATGACTGTGGTATATATCTGTACAAACCAATATGGCACATCTGAATATTTTTTACACAGCGTGACACGGAAGAGGTGGCAATTAAGTGTACTGACAATCTGACAAAAAATGGGGTTTCAAAAAATAATTGAGCAAACAAAATATTAAGGTTCCCCGTGGTGTATTATGTGGTGGTAGTGGTGGTGAAGGTGTGTTATCTTGTTCGGAGAGTCCTCGGCGTGAATTGCGATAGTGGCAGCCTCCTTTAGTCTGGGGTCCAACGGCCGAAGCATACGGGGACTGTCCACACTCAGGTCAATAACAGCCATATCAGTCGCGGGGCTGTCCCTGCCGGAACGAGATTTCGTTGGATATGCCAGCTCCTTGAGGTGGGAAAGTCTCTGCTCTGGAGACGAAGGGCCGACTACATCGTGCTCTAGCTCTGAAGACTGAGCCACAGATAAACAGTCGTCAAATACAACACTCTTTCTCTTGCTCTTGTTGACCCGAAACTGGTTGTGCTGCCGTCTCTCGTGACGGAACGACTGGGACTTGGGAGGCCCCGTGGGCTTCTGGTGCTCTCTCTCATGTTGCGTGACGTTGTCGTCCACGCAGCCAGTGCTCTCCTGCAAAATCTGAGCAACCGTTCTCAACTGGTAGAGCGTGATGAACCCAGAGCCTTCCCCCACACCCTGCACCTCCTGTCGGTTGTTGTGAGAGCTCAGTTTTAGCTCGTTACCACAGGGGACCTCCGAGGAAACTGTTGATTGCTGTTTCTGCCGTGGTCGTCTACTCTGTCTCCCACAGACTGCATCTTTCCCAATGCTCTGCAGACAGTTATCGCACACAACATGTCGGTGGGTATATCTTCGCCTAATGAGGTTCACCCCGGGGCAATTGTCGTCTAACGAAACGTCGACAGGGACGTCCTTTGATCTACCGGTTCTTTTTCTTCTCTGCTCGGCTCTGTGGAGCGGCTCGTCTGCGTTGGGTGAGCGAAACTTTCTGCTGTGCTGCTTGCAGGCCCGGCAAGTATTGGTGTCAGGTGACTGCTCCCCTGCACATCTGTGATAGTATGACTCCTCGTTGCTGTGAGTCTGTGACTGCAGCTCATGGGACGGACTTTGTGGGGACCCGACACCGCCGGTGACACCACTCTGACTGGTCTGTGGATCACCGACGTTGGTGTGCAGCTCATCGTCGCAGTATACTCCTGGGCTGGACACGGGTCTCTCTCTTCGCTGTCGTTTGTGTCTTCGTCTCTGTACCCTCTCCTCCGGCTCTCTCCCCACCAGGCACCGTTCTGCTCCAGACCCCACCCCACTCCCACCACTGTGTCTCGGGGACTCTGACCCGTCAGCTGCTCCCGCCGAGAGTGTTCTGTCACTCACTGGATCTTCTGAAGGCATCGATGCGGTGGTCGTTTCCGTCTCTCTTCCCGCCGTCATTGACTTTTTCTGTTGTGCCGTGAGAGCCTGTTCGACCAGAGAGCTCTGCAGGGTGTCCTTGATTGTGTGGCATATGTAGGAGGCAAGATGATTTAGCTCCTGTTTGAAATTGAAAGGGAAAAAATTGGGGTATAAAGAGATAAAGTGGGGTATCCTAAGTAAGAGTTCATTCCCATGGAGATTGAAATTCTCCACATTCCTAGGGAAAGTATCGTAGCATTCAGAAATCATGGAGAACACTGATTGACATTGGGGAGTCATTTTGATGTGGCTACATGTCTCGCTTAATACCATTGTGCTAGGGGGCCCACCTGAGCACCTGTTGTGTGCTCTTTCTAAATACTCACTGGCTCCATGTGACTATATATACAAAGCCAGTATATAGGGTCTTGCCTCTATGGCATTACATAGGGTTTTGGACACAGGAAATGGTCTGAGATTGGGCCCCAGTGGGTTCAGGAAGATCTTTGAAGTGAACACCCACACAACTAACACCTATCCCAGAGGCCAGGCTATGGCAGGAAGTCCCTGTAAGGTCTTACTATTTACACCCTGCTTTGCACCTCCAGTCTCTCTCATGTGGTCCAGCGACAGCCACTGAGTCTGGCTTAGGCTACCATTACACTCCTTTGCACTTCACTCAACTTTTACTATGAAACCTATAAGGATTCTCTAGGAATTACTGAGCATTTCTGGCCTTCATAGTAAGAATGGTTGGCATTTTTAAAGGGGCATGCCTTGGGTTTTTTAGGGAAGCATGCGTCCATACACAAATCTGTGGTAAGTGACTAGTGAACTGACCTGGGGTGAGCATTGTAGTAGTGATTCTGGTAGCTGGGCACTGGAAGGCGGCAAAGGAGTGTCTTTGCTGTCAGTGTTATTGGTGGTGGTTTGAGGAGACTCTGGATCCTGTAGGGGCAGTAGTAAAGGGAGGACACATGACGCCGGTGAAGTGACGCAAACAAACAGTACAGTGGTACGGTGGAAACACGGACACCAAGTAATGGGAACTTGTAACAAAGACAATATTGTTTGCACGTATAGGTTTCTCAGTGGGAAAGACGAGAGCGCTGAAGTTTGCCTCCAATCCTCATTCTTGCCGGATCAGTAGGGATACTGTTACATATACAGTATCCCTATGACACAATACTCTGTCCAGAGCCCTTGCTTGTATAGCAAGGCCCTTACTACACATAGTGCTCCTGTGTTTCGCAAGCTAAACGTAAAACTTTGTAAGGCAGTTCCTACACTTTGAAGTTTGGTGGGGAAAACCATACAGTGTTGACTGGGGATGCCACCTAACCCACAGGCCTGCCAGAGTCATGGAGTCAAGTCCCACGTACATGCAGACCCCAGTTCCACTGAAGTGGAGTCATGAGCGAATCACCAAGAGCTTCAAACAAAACATTGACTCTGAAGACAGATTGCAAGTACTATGACAGTTAATCCAACACCCCAGGAAGCTTTTTGATCTCTTTATGGCCCTAGCCACAGCTACACTTGACAAGTTAGGCTGAGGCTATGATTACACTTAATGGACCTTCCACCAAAACCAATTTCACAACCTGTGAATATTTTATCCCCTTCAAAGTCCTTTGTGTGCATAATATTCTTGTGCTGGAAAGATTATACCGTTACACTACCATGGTGAGAGAGGGTCCTACCTTCTGTTGTTGTTGTTGCTGCTGTTGCTGCTGCTTGAGCATGGATTTGAGTAGCTGCTGAACTTCTCTCTCCATTTGCCTCTGCTCCGGCGCCACCACAGCTGTGGCTGGTTTGACTGCAGCTCTGGAGGACTGGGACCGCGTTGGCAGGACCCTCTGAACCAACTTGCTCTTCTGAAGAAGAGAGAGGGGAGGGGAGGGGAGGGGAGGGGGGAGAAAGGAAGGAACAAATTACCTCACATGTTACACTTAGGCCACTGCCCTGCCAGGCATCCTTTGAAGAGCCCAGAGGCTAGCCTTTGAAAGGGGGAAATGAGCAGGAACTGGAGAGCCTGTCCTCAAACAAGCATTATACTGGAGCCTGTCACAGCCTCTTTGAAGGGTGGACTACTGAGAAATGCCCTATTGGAGCCAGACTCTGGGTCTGTTTGTTCCTACCAAGTGTGTCATCAACACTGAGCCAAAGCAATCAGGGATCAAAGGCAGAGAGAGAGAGTGAAAGTGGTGACACTGGGCGCTGCAGTTCTCATGAAGAGGGATAGGATATGGCATAGTGTGTCAGAGGTTAACTTTGGGACCACGGGCCAACCCTCTATTTGGTCTGCACCCTAAACATGCACCAATTGCATCGGTGCTTGTGTGCAAGGGTTGGTGTTGAGAATTACTAAGGCAGAACACTGGTTAGGTATAAGCACCCTGTGGATTGGGCTTACGGTTAAAAACCTGAAAAGGGCAGTGAAAATTATGAGGGGGTTGAAAGCAATTACAGACAGTGTGAAAACACTGCACGTCCACTTAAGACAGCAGGGACTTTTTGAAGTGTAGGCGGTAAGTAATCGTCACTGCCAACAAAAAGGCACAGATTATTGGTTGGTTCTGTCACCTAATGCATCACGCCTGAGTGAAGGCAATGTTCTGCATGGCGTCTCTGATTGCGTTGCCTCCATTTGGCCACCAAATGGAGAGCAGCACAGAGTTGGATGGCAGTGTGAGAAGACGCCAAGACCTGGCTTTGATCACTGGAGAGGTGTAGCTTTAATGAGCCGACCGCCATCCAAAAAGATGTGGGCAGACTCCGTGAAATGAATAGAGGCTGTTTGACACTTCAGATGCCTGTGTGGGTAGGCCTTGTGTATGCGCGCCATGTGTGTGTGTTGCGCGGGCAAGTGCCTTGTACACGCCCGAATGTAAGACATGAAAAGAGCACACTTGGTAGGAACAAACAGACCCAGCAAGGGAATGGCATTACGAACCACTTTCAGTATCTTTGTGTCACGAAGCTTTGATCAGCCGGAGCACACACAGATTTGAGAGCCGGCAACACTCCACAAACAGGCTGCACACGAACCGAGTGTGTGTCAACCGGTTTTGAAGTGCCGGAGAAAAAAGTGAATTCAAAGCTTTTCGGGCGACTCTTGTTGTTTGTTCTTGTGGGCCAACAGAGAGCGAGAGGGCAGTCAAAATCCCTCATGTCATCTTCACACAGGAGGCGAATGGGGCACAGCGCCACAAAGCTACACACACAAAGCGCCCTACACACACACACACAGAGAGCTTTGAGAGATTGTTGGAGTCACGTTTACAGGAGCACGGCCAAAGCACAGAGGAGCCAAGCCGCATAGTTTATGGGGGTTAAGCACCGGCTCTGGTTCAAACCTTAAAAACTGGCATCGGAACCAATAGAGACTACCTAATACTAAAGCTAATGGGTGTGAGAGGGAAATAGGCTTATTAACTTCAAAGGACAGTTCCTTTATTGCTAGGTGTGATGCATGTCCTCATGTGTTCTTCCTGCAAAACTCAAAGTGGAACACTGCTTCAATCTCTACCACCATGAGTGTGAGATAGAGCTACAAATCCACACACCCAGCTACAGACATATTGCTCTGGAGGCATTTCTGGGGGTGCACACTTAAGTGATCAAGTACCACTAATGAGATTAGAGTGGCAGATATAGTCAGGAAGTGGCCCTCCCAGCCACTTGTGCACACTACTCTGAATGCAAGGAGAGTGGGTGGAAATAGACAATTGGCATTCCTGAGAGCCAAACTCAGCAGTAAAATACACATGTCTGAACAGTGCCTAATGAATACCTGCTTTCAACCATAATCTCATTAGCTTTGATTGGCATTACAGAAGAGGGCACAAAGGAAACAAACGAAACTCACATTCGTGTTTTGGTGTCTCGAGTCTTTTCGGCTCGCCAGCTCCGTGGCTGTCCGTGTGGACACACCTCCTCCACCGCTCACACTCCCAGAAGTCACCGGGGCACACTTCTCACTCTCTGCTGGCAAGGACGATGTCAGGTGACCCCCTCCGCTGGTTCTCCGGCCGGACTTTGACCCCGTCATCTCTCCTCCATTCCCCTGTGCGGGCGGCTTGTCGCCACTCGTCTCTTGCCCGACTCCTCCTTCATGTTCCAATTCCTTCTTCTCGGTCGTTGAGACTTGGGGAAACGCACTCTCTGCAGTTGTAACGGAGGCTGTTTCGAGCAGAACATAAGTGTTTCCCTTCGAATCTTTGGTCCGTGACTCGGCCATTTGTCTCTGCGTGTTGCTGACCAATGGCATCGAGGGAAGGGGAGTGGGGGAACACCGGGCCCGTTGACTGGAGCGTCCGCTGGCTCACCGACGTACTGATGGAGTCGAGGCTCGCCGACCGAACACTGAAGAGAGCTCGACCTAACGGAAGAGGGGCACACAGTTCATAAAATTATAGCGTCTACCAAAATGCATAGCGTGCACTTGTACACGGGTTTTGAATTGTACGACTGCGTCGAGTAGATGCTGTCATTCACTATTGTGTATGCACCTACTGGCAAACTGAGTCCCGCAGCAAAGTCAGCTCAGTTGTAAGATGTTCTAAATTTTTATCCCAACACACTCGAATTGCACAATTAAACCATGTAAACAGTTCACATAGGTGACATCTTTGTGCTTACGGCGCCAAATTCCGCGACACACACACACACATGCCAAAGAGTCTCTCCAGACGACACAGACTGCTACTCTACCCTAGCAGAAGGGACTATTTCTCCTGGATGCCACAAAGGCTCGGGGAAGCTGCACAGACGTATCGTGAGCCCCACCAAGTGTGGGACAGCTATGCAACCACAATCCGGTTGCCACGAACACCGAGGCCCCATACATATGCAATGCAGTGAAACTACCCACCATATGGCATACACCCTACTCATATTACAAACTTTCATACAAAGTTGCTGTGCATCATACCAATTCTAATCTTATGACGTGTGTGCCAAGAGGCCACATTGAGGAAGTAATTGAAAGCAATCAAGATACCCTACCACACTTCCTTTGAGCTCCATTTCCAAGAATAGCTATTATGCTATCTGAATAACCCAGCTTCAAGCATTATACAAGTCTTGCTAGCTTTAAAGTTATTTACACTATTTTGATCACAATTCCTACTTGCTGTAGTATAAATTTTGACAGCTAGCAATTTACCTCAACACATTGGTTATTACTACTTATTTTGGACAGAATTGAGCAATTAGTTTGTGAAGTTCACATATTTCAATGGCCCTTTTCACTCATTATTTAGACCCAATCGGACTGCTGTTTAAAAAGAAAGTACAAAACAGCATACAGAGAGTACAACGTATAACCCCTCATAGTCATCACAAAGGCATTTAGTCAATATTTATCCAATACAGCAGGGACACCCCACATTCCACGCTCGATTAGAGTAGCCATCCATGGCAGAGCCTCCGAGGCGGTAAACACGATCACAGGCTTGAAGCTGCACACCGGTCCCTAAACAGAACCCCCAAACTAACCCCATGCAGAGGAGGGAAGAAGTGTAGGTTTACTCTATATTCTTCTACCGTAGTGAAACACAAGAGGGGTGTCCCTGGATTCATACACTACGCATTTCCTCTGCCACTCGAACCAGGTCAAGTCCAGATACATAGACATACGTGGACTGTTGCATGCATGCACTTTTGCCCCAAGGAAAGTGTGGGCGGGTTCGCTACTTGGCGTGAGATTTTCGAGAGAGGACGACTGTGTACAAAACCTGGACTCTGGAGGCCCTACATAGAATAACAGATGTGGTGGGGTTGTATCCCATCGATGTGAATTTTAGAAGTCTCACTGACACCTTTTGCCTGACTTGTGGGTTTAGCACTCCATCTGTGCGCTTACTATTCTGTAGTTCTTAGTAAGAGAAACAGATGCCAGCACTCACTGCGATATTATGCCTCAGAGGCCAATGGAGGCATGGTACCCATAAACCACACAACAGCCTCCAACACACTGGAGCGCCACTTGTCTAATCAGTGCACCAGCAACATTCCCACTACGAATGCCATGCCGCCAATGTGCCTACATTGCATCCCTCGCATCACCGTCAATGAAAACAACCCTTTTTGGCAGTATTACCGAGCGAGCCCACAAAAATATTTCTCCCAATAAGTGTGTGTTGGTTACAAGAGGCTGAACTCTTCGTATGCCGTGCCTATTTATAATAATGCATCAGAGTTGCAATCGGCAAACTCCCGACTAATCGGTACTTGCCTTATAGAGGCATACACGGAATAGCACCGAAATGGAAGAATTTGTTTGAGGAATCAAAATAATTAGGGAGACTGCCAACACATTCAGTGCTGACAGTAGACAGAGCAGACAGTAGACAGAGCAGAATATGACAGTAGCACTGCAGTAGAGCTGCACACAGGGTGTTGAAAACTGACAGAGCTACATACAAGGCCAGGAAGGAGTTCAGTGAGGGCAAATAGCAGCCCACCCACACTCCACTGATAAGAACTCATTAGATATTGTTGCTGAGAGAGTGAAGCATTGCAATGGGCAGAGGTGGTAGAATCAAAGTGGCTCTTTGTTTCCCACTTCTACTCCTCTTTCTTCCCTTTCCACCTCAGATTTGGCATGGCTCTCTAAAGACCCTCCCCCCATTCTTATAGGGGATAAATGAGTATGCTGTAACCTCAGTAATTTCTGGACAAGCCTTGCCCTGGCTACCATTTACATCCTGGTCTTGTAGTCACATTGTCCATTAATAAGAAAAATACCTCTATGCTATGGCTAAAGGAGTGTCACATTTCACAATATCTACTGTGGCTACCACTTTGATGGAAAATTTAATAGTAGGCTCATCCCATCATGCCCTTATAATTTCTCCGAGGATAAAATTTGCACAAGCGCGACGGTATTTTAGTCACAAAGACCATGTGGGCAATTATCAACACTGTAATTGCTATTAAATCCTTCTATGATGGAGGGGAAATTGTTCCAGACACTTTTCTAGTCCAGATACTGCCGAAACATATTGATATCAGCGCTCCCCAATTATAAACAAATTTGGTCGGTTCCAAGGCAAAAGGGTGAGGTTTTCAGTAGCTCAATTGCTATAGGTAGGCTACAGACAGAGAGTGACAAATTTGTAGGCAGTCTTTGCTGTGCTCCTCCGCCCGCCCTCTCGGACCAAGTTGGAGCAAGGAGATTGTGTTTCGGGGCCATTGTGAGCTACACGGTGTTGCGATGTTCACAGACAGTAGAATTTAGCAAAAATACAGCAGCAAATACCCACACCCTCGCTACCCCTCTACTTTCCACCTACTCCTCTGTCATCTACCTAACAAGCAGACACAGCCTCGAGCTAACACTCCAGACACTGCGAACAGGATATTTGTCGGAGAGCATGACGTGAATTGCTTGGCTCCGTCACACTCGGTATGTGTGCATTGTTGATGGCATCCAAGGATGCGCACAAACCTATTTCTCCAGGGCACCCCACTTGGTGATTGATTCACCGGCTAAAAAGGGAATGCTGTCATGCCACAGTCTCCTTGTTTCTGGCACAGTGGTAAGATTCCTAGCTCAACACACTGTCAGCCACACTGCTGTGATTTATATTAGCATCAGCTTTTAGTGCAAAACTTTCTTGAGGAAACCAAGGGCATACAAGGTTTTTTGGTGGAGTATGGGGGCATTGGTGGTATTGGCTGAGATGCCTACAGGCACTGCGCACACGGGGAATTTCAATAATGCAGCGCCTTACACAGGGAGTGTAGTCATCACTACAAGGTGTGGGCATGCAGGCACATTATGCATAGGCACACCTCAGCTGTCGCGCGCATCGTTTTGTAATGAAGGTCCCACATCAAAGGCGACGCTGCGGCATCTGCCGGCAATGCTTCGCCTTCTGCTGCAGTCCACTCCCCCGCCCGACCCTAGCAGAAACACAACGCTCGGCTGCCGACATCAGCGTGCAGAGTCAGCCAAAATGTATGCCCGCGCGTTTGTCGGAACCTTCGACTTGAATGTAGCCATAAAGCACTGGGCTTTAGCTATAAAATGCAACTCACTCTGACTGGCACTGTCTCTGCTCTGTTTTCCTCCCATCTCCGGCGGCGTCGAAGTGAAGACCCTAGGCTGTAACACAAGTCGATCCTGCAGTGCACATCACACACGCACGAAGCATAAAAGAGATTTTGCATGAGGCGGTCCCTTTCATTAGCTAACGGTCTGGTTTTGCTGGGTAAGCTTACTACAGCGTACATTTCTCATCACATCTGCTATTCTCAATGTCTTCGTTTATGCGAGAGGCTTGTGTGTGTGATAGTTTTGCTGTGTTCTACCCAAGCCCACCTCACCTGGTCTTTCGTTGCAGAATTCACGGGCAGCTTTCGGTTGCACGGTCCCTCCGAGCAACGTACGTCCGCACGCCAGTTGTCTAGTAGCTACCGATCACAAATAGGCACGTATGGCCGTCTACTGACTCGTTCTCACACTGCATGCGGGACACACATGGGGCGTGCACAGCCACGCATTGTGTATTTATGCAGCGCGCTCGCGTCGCAAGGAATTCGCTAATTGACAAGTTAAGTTGCGTCATATAGACGCGTGCGCTGGTTTACCACAAAAGCGTATTATCAGTTCGCCTTATTTTGATCACTGCACTGAGTATTGTTAAGAACATCACAGGTCCCTGTGTATAAAGTTGTACAACAGAGTTGATATATGACCAGCACGGCGATTAACAATTTGGTGATCCATAAAACCAACAACCAAGCTTTTCATAAAACTGTCAACATGCATCTGCATAATGTGGACGTTGGCACCCAACAAGAGATGCTACATGGCACTGTATATTAACTGCAACCCATGAGTAGAATATCTCCATATTAATTAAATCATTGGCTGAAAAACAGATTATATTAATCCACCACTGATGAGATTAAAATGAGAACCACTAAAGAGTCGAGGAGATAGCTTTTGGCGTTCAGTTTGCATGAATCAGCTTATTAAATTCAAATGTTGTGTGTTTGTTTGGTTTTTTTGTGTTTTTGTGTTTTTCAAATGTATAATGTGTAATGTTCCTCGAAAACCCTTATTACTGAAGACACATATATATTTGCTGTTCAGTTGCATGAATCAGCTTATTCACCACTCAAATTTATAATGTTGTAATGTTCCTCCTCGAAAACCCTTAATTACTGAAGACACCATAATTATTTTCTGTTCAGTTTGCATGAATAGCTTATTACCACTCAAATGTATAATGTGTAATGTTCCTCCCTCGAAAACCTTATTACTGGGAACACACCATATTATATATTTGCTGTTCAGTTGCTGAATCAGCTTATTCAACCACTCAATGTTTATGTGTAATGTTGTCCTCGAAAACCCATATTACTGAACACACCATTATAACCATCCCAAATTTTGCTTCAAGCAAAAATGTCCGATTTTCCAAACCCGATGCAATGCCTATTTAAGCAACAAGGCACATATTAGAGACCTTGATTATCATCGCAGTCTAAACTAAAGAGCACAATTCCAGCTGGCCAACAGTCCATGTAACTGACCGCATTGGCTAATCGAGAAACAACATGTTACTGACAAACGGACAACGTCAAAACAATTCTTAAAATGATGAGACGATTATAGACTAAGTCCTTTTCTGCCCTAGATAATTTGAGTCTAATCTCTCTCTAAGTTCCTCCTGTGAGCTAGGATGCGGGTGCTCAGCCTTAGCTTCACTCTTCTCCCAACCAGACTTCTGTGGTTCCTCTTCCTTTCCTCCTCCATCTCCCTTCTCCACTGCCGTGGTCCCCAAACCCCTCTCCGTGTCCACTCCAGGCCGTAGCAAGTGTGCAAAGGTCCTTGTTTTTGTGTGTGGGCTTGGCAGCAGCAGTGGAGTGGCCAGTTTGTCTCATGCGGTCATCTTCTGAAGGGGCACAAAATAGTACTTCATTTCATTATTTTCATAAACATTCCTCGTCACACGTAGGGATTGTAGTCAAACAAAGTCGGTAATATAATGAATTACGTATCAATCTCTGTCAAAGAACAGGGGTATATAATAATTAGGGCTGTCCTTATGAAGAACATTTTTACCATCTCTCCCAGG